AAAGTAAAAGGAAAAGATGATGATGTCATTGTAGACATGTTAAAATCACAGGAAGCTTCTTTGGTTAGTCCTGAAATAATGGAAACACTAGTGACAGAGACAGGTACTGGACATGTTAGAACAGCTGCTATGTTTATTAATGATCTTGTTAGCCTGGCTCTATACTTAATATTTCTTTTGCAATCAGACCACTGTTTCACTAAAGCCACCAAAATATGACTTGAACCTTGTATGTAAGACTTAATGCATCACAAATTAGGTTGTTTTACAAGGAAAGTTAAATGCATTATTGTTTGGGATAAAAATAAATATTGAAAATATTAAAATATCCTTTAAAAGCATATGGGTTAAAAAGTTGTAAATTAGAAAATCCACATGTTTTTTTCTGTGTTTCTATAGGTATAGGTTTTTTCTCTCTGTTTTAAGGAAAACTTTTCTATTTGAAGTAACTTCTGTCATCTCTTTCTGGTTTGAAAAATGCTAGTTGTTTGCTTTTCATATAAAAATGTAATTTTTTAAAAACTTTATGAAACAAAGGTCTGAAACTTTTTGAGGTTTAAGGGGCATTGTTCTTGCTAACCAAAGTTTTAAGTTAGAAAACTGAATTTTGAAACAAACTTACACTCATAATTTGGCCTCTTTTGCTCACTATTGAAAACATTACCAGTGGCAAAGTATTTCTATTTCTGTAAACATTTTGTTCATCTCAGTTGTGTAGACTTACAAAAAAGAATGATCTTTTCTGTATCAGATGTGTTTGTGTGAAAAGCCATTGCTTTGCTAGATAGGGGTTGATTTGCTATAAACTAGTTTTGGGATTGATTTGAACATATTTTAGACAATAAGCAGTAAGAGTGTAACGTTGCAGTTTCTTGATATACTATTACACCACTAGTTTTGATCTTCTGCATTCTCTCATAAACATTCTCTTCCTTAAAAACAATGTTACAGAAAAAGTAAGTAATAGAAATAATAATTTTATTCGCCCTTATTTTCCAAGTTGTCAAATATAAGTTTATATTGCATTGATTATAGGTTTCATAACATTACTAAATATCGTAATATTTTTTTTAGATTTATTTACAACATCTACATATTTAGAAATGCTACTGTTAAGTTAAATAATCAAAATGAGATGATATTTTACATAAAGCGTATTAGGAAATTTTGCTTTTATAGATATTTAAAGATAAGTCAAAAGGTGTAAAAAAAAGACATCTTGAATTTGTTTACTGCTGTTACCTAGATTTCATAGATTTGCTTCTTTGTTGTTTTGTCTCTTTCTTTAATTTCACTGCCCTCAAACTTCCTTATCTCAATTTGGATTTGAATTATTTTTTGTGAGTTAAAATTTATTTCACGAAAACAAAAAAAATAGATACACTTGTCAGGCAATATTAGAGTAAAACATAAGAAAAAGTGAGAGAAAAAAATCGTAGTGATTACCAAGCAAGTTAATTATAATGCATCATTTATGTAGCATCAGAGTTTTGAAAACATACCCTGTATAACTCTTTATTACAATTGATTTAATGTAATTTGTTAAGCAAACAGTTTAAATCAGTTTACTGCCAATTTTTTTTTTCAAGACAATTTTTAATGACAATTTACATTCAAACGTTTTGTTAAGTCCTTACCTACATTATGTAACAAGTCAGAAACTGTGAATTAAAATGAGGGATTATTAGCTAGGGGTTTGTAATTGTGTACTAGGGTTTATTTATTGTGAACTAGGGTTTTATAATTGTGAACTAGGTATTATGATATTATGAACTATAGACTGATTTGATTTTGTGAATGGTGGGTCTGATATTGTAAACTAGGGGTTTTCATTTTGTGAACAAGTCATTTAGTCAATTGATACTGGGAACAAGTCAATTGATAATTTGATACTGGGAACAAGTCATTTGATACTGGGAACAAGTCATTTGATATTGGGAACAAGTCATTTGATATTGGGAACAAGTCATTTGGTACTGGGAACAAGTCATTTGATATTGGGAACAAGTCATTTGATACTGGGAACAAGTCACTGGGAACAAGTCATTTGGTACTGGGAACAAGTCATTTGATATTGGGAACAAGTCATTTGATATTGGGAACAAGTCATTTGGTACTGGGAACAAGTCATTTGATATTGGGAACAAGTCATTTGATACTGGGAACAAGTCACTGGGAACAAGACATTTGGTACTGGGAACAAGTCATTTGATATTGGGAACAAGTCATTTGATACTGGGAACAAGTCGTTTGATACTGGGAACAAGTCATTTGATATTGGGAACAAGTCATTTGATATTGGGAACAAGTCATTTGATACTGGGAACAAGTCATGTGATACTGGGAACAAGTCATGTGGTACTGGGAACAAGTCATTTGATATTGGGAACAAGTCATGTGGTACTGGGAACAAGTCGTTTGATACTGGGAACAAGTCATTTGGTACTGGGAACAAGTCATTTGATACTGGGAACAAGTCATTTGATACTGGGAACAAGTCATTTGGTACTGGGAACAAGTCATTTGGTACTGGGAACAAGTCACTGGGAACAAGTCATTTGGTACTGGGAACAAGTCATTTGGTACTGGGAACAAGTCATTTGGTACTGGGAACAAGTCATTTGCTAGTATGGACCAAAGGCATTATATTAGAGCCAGGCAACATGAATTCTCTTGCAGGAAGCTTTATCGTCTGGTGATACTTTGCGTCGTTATTATATATTTTTTGTTGGTTTTTCTAGCAGATGGAATGGCCTACACCCTGGAATGCGCTATTGCTAAACAGCTTTGAGAGCGGATAAATAGTTGCATTATAATAATTTATTGATTCTAGAAAAACAAATATCAGATGCCAGTACTATTATTGCATCATAGGTTGTACAATATGATTATATATAGATAGTGAAGAACGTACCTTATATGTAACAATATTGCAGTGTTTATTGTAAAATTAAATAATAAAATAATTAGTTATCATTTGGCATCTGATTTAAAGATATAAACAAGTGTATAAAAGGTGTCGTGTTCTGTAATTAGGCATATATTCGTAGTGAACAAGATATGCAATCAGAAAAGTATTATTTCCATATTAGGTACTAAGTAACCGTGATTGTTCATATCAGAAGTATAATATATTGCATAATGAATATTCATAGACATTATTGTGAAATGTTATATTAGAACATTAGTTACTTGAAATAGATTGATTGACAATAATCAGTCAAAATTAAGGTGAAGGTTAAAAACTAGATGAAATAAATATTTTCTAAATTAAACTGGTAAATTAAATAATTTATGTTCTTAAAAATTATTGATATTTGGCAAATTTTTATTAACTTAGGTCAAAAAAATGTTTTTACAATTATTTATTTAATATTTATGAAACTACAATTTCAATATTTAATGAATTAAGACTAATAAAATGCTTAAGGAGTTAAATCAGCATCAGGAGGCTGTTGTGTGAAAAGCTTTTTTGAATTGTTGAATTGTCACCATAATTATGTCCAATAACGTCATGATTAAACATTTCTTGTTTGTGTACTGATTTCTCTGAATGTTTTTTTTTGTTTTTTTTTCACTTTTGTGTGTCCCCCTCCCTCTCTATGTATGTTTGTAATCTTTAATTGTTTTATTTTCAATTCTAACAGAAGTTTCCTTTTAGTTTTATTTTATTATTATTATTGTGACAGCAGTTTTAATTAATAGTGGTACAAAAGTTAAAGAAAAGTTAAAATTAGTTCTAGTCTTTTAGACCTTACTTTCATGTTTAAAAGGGTTAATTGTTTACATCTTTGAAATTTTGTGATTAAATGAAGTGCCTGTTGCAGAAGAAAATGCTATTTTCTTAGCTTGATATAGCTTTCTTGTATGTTCAATACATTATTCTACAGAAATACTTTAATCTTTTGTACCTCTATATTAACTTTTATATTTATTTATTATTTACTTGCTTACAGCGAATGTGTAAACAATGGACGTGTTTCAGTGTTATGTGTTGTTTTGTCTTGTATAAGAAATGTGTGTAGCAAAAGACCTTGTTTGTAAATTTGAAAGAACTGACTAAAGTCTGGAGGAAAATATAAACTCTGATAATTTCTAGTATCATTGTAGATTTTAATTAACAACTTATAAAAGATAATTGACTTTGATTTCATTAAATAAGTCTGGAAATTTTGTGAGTACTAAGTAAACAGGGTCTATAAAAATTACTTTATTTATTTATAGCATTAAGCAGCATTTCAAATAACTTTGGCAGAACTTGGCTGTTATTGTAGAAACTACTAAAATATACAATTAACATAATTTAACATGGAATAACATCAGTTTGTAGCATCTTTTAAGTTTATACAGTTAAATAAATAAAGTTACATCTAAAACTTGTGTAAAAAAAGTAGTAATTATTTAATGTGATTTACTATTTTAAGTAGACAATTTTCATTTTAATAGATTTAGTCATATTTTTTTTTGTAATTTTTATGTGTTTAAATGTTTGTCCACTGTTTTTTGTTTAAAATAGATTTATGTGATACATATTCTATGATTTAAAAATTGTTTGCATGTATTTCAACATGTAAAATAATCATATCTTAAATTCAAAGTGGCACTTTGTCTTTTTGAATCCAACAGATGACAGTTACTTTGAGTGAATTCTTAATACATATAAAAGAATTATTTGTTTTCCTGCAAAACAAAGCAAAACAATTATTCATTTTATGATCAGAACACATTGGATTGACCTTTTTAGAAACAAAAGTTACAGTAAAATTATATATCTTTTATTTTGATCATTTCTATTTGGGGGGAAAAACCGAAAAATATATATGAAAAATATTCTTTAACAAAGAGAAAGTGCAATGAATGAATATAAAATTGATTATTTTTGTGCTTGTTTAATATTATATTTGTACCAATATACCATATGTCCCACTGTCTTTTTTATTTTGGGGATGCAGTATCTAAATGAAAAAGGCCTAATTGATTTTTAATTGGCACTATTACAGTACCAGAAGATGATGTTGTACGTGCAGACATTAGTGTCACAGAAGATATTCCTAGTGAGGAAGTTGTCTCTGAAGTATCATTTGATGTTGAACAACAACCCTCAACTGAACAGACATTTGAGGTAAATTCGTAAAAACATCAAGATTTTTAGATTTTGGAATTCTAAACTTTTCTTTTATCAAAACTTTTCAGTTCATAAAAATATGGTCAACTCTTGATTTTTAATCTTGATATTTTGAATAATAATAATAATAATAATAATAATGATCATAATGATAATAATAATAAAAAAATAGTAATAATATATCTTTATTTAGAGAAGGTAACACATTAAGAATATTACAACAGCAATCATATATCTCTTTTTTCCAATGTGGCCTTCTGAAATAGAAAAAACAACAAGAAATAAGAGTTTTAAAAATGTGTTTAAAATCACAGATTACCATGGATACAGAAGAAATCATAATGGAGAAGAAACCCACTGAGGATGAAGAAGTTGCTGTAGAACTGTCAATAGAAGAATCTGTTCCTCAACCTACAGGTAGAAAATTTATAATAATCAAGTACACATGTAGTTGTAAATCAAGCATAATTTAGTTAAAGATATTGTTTTATTGTTGTTACAGGACACATTCTGCTGTATTCGACTAATGGAGAAAAAAACAACAACAAAAACAACAGTGTATATGATTTAAAAAGTAACTCATTTAGATATTTCTTTTACATTGACTGTGTATTTATCTGGAAGCATACAACAAAATTAAATGTAAATTGGAATTTATTAAGTCTATGCATAGTGTGTTTGTTTCATGAAAGATTATTAAAATAGTATGTGATGGCAAATTTTGTTTTGTTTCATATTATTTTTTAATAATTAGGCAAAAGCAGCAGTTTTATTTGTTACCTGTCATGACAATATGACAATATTCAATATAGATACACGTTATAAACACCCGTTGTAAACACCCGGTGTAGAATTACATGTTGTAAACACCACCCCATGTAGAGATAGATGTTGTAAACACCACCCCGTGTAGAGATAGATGTTGTAAACACCACCCTTTGGTAGAGATACATGTCAATCACCTGAGCAGACATCTGCAGTAAACTCCTCTTGTAATGGGATATCATTGAATTAATACATCTGTCCTGGACCCTGCAATCTTCAATAATTATACCAAAATGCAGACATTCAGTTGTAACAATATTTAATTTTTTTTTATTTTTTTTTTTTGTGAAAGAATTTTGTTTCTGGACTAACCTGAGATAAGGTTGCGCATGCGCACTTCATTTTTCCAGTTGTGTTTCACGTATTGAGCAACCTTCAATATTTAATTGGGTTTTATCGTCTTAGATAATACTATTCAATTATATTTGTTGATATTGTTTTGCCTGTTCACAGAATATTGATGTAAGGAGAGTTTACTGTAGATGTAATTATATGCACCATCACATATTGTACTTCATTGCCCAGTAATGCACCGTGTATTTCCCTTATACTGTAGATACATGGGAATGTTACATTTTGATGATCAGTTTGTACAAACAGTTAAAAATAGTAACAGTAATAGTTAGTTTCATAAGTATAAGCTAAATAAGACCATTTTAGAAAATCTCCAGGTTATGATTTAATTTTGATTTAAATAGAAATGACTTGTAGGTGATGGACTATCAAATTTTTTAATTAGTTTTGATTGTCAAAACACAAGGACTCATAGGGAATTTCCAAAAGCACTGTGTTTCGGTATATTTATATTGAAAAAACTGCAAATCTTCTTTTAAACTCTGGTGAGCTGTTCATATTTTCAATAGATTTAGGAATAATTTGAAACCACTGCATCATCACAACCTTTTTGGCTTTTCTTTTTCCATCAGAATTTTACCCCGTTCTCTCAGATATTTTAACTGTAGTCTTTACTCCTTTTGTATTTGATCCTTACCTTTCTGCTTCACCAACCTGTTTTCCATTTATATCAAAAGTTTCAGTTGTTGCACTGGATAGTGAAGTCAACAAACCTTCAAGGATACAAGAAATTTCAGTTAAAACTCCCCTTTTAAGCAATATTAAAAAAGAAAAATCTGCTACTGAAACAGAATTAACTATCCCAGAACTTGTGGCAGAAATTACATCTGAAGATAAGGAAATGGAAAAGCCTTCTGTAGTTGACATGACTGTTACACAAGATGTGGCAGCTGATGTTGAAATCAAAGAAGAATTTGACACAGAAAAAGAAATATCTGCTACCGAAGCTGAATTAACTATCCCAGAACTTGTGGCAGAACTACAATCTGAAGATAAGGAAATAGAGCGGCCTTCTGTAGTTGACATGACTGTAACACAAGATGTGGCAGTTGATGTTGAAATCAAAGAAGAATTTGACACAGAAAAAGAAATATCTGCTACCGAAGCTGAATTAACTATCCCAGAACTTGTGGCAGAAATTACATCTGAAGATAAGGAAATAGAGCTGCCTTCTGTAGTTGACATGACTGATACACAAGATGTGGCAGCTGATGTTGAAATGAAAGAAGAATTTGAAACAGAAAAAGAAATATCTGCTACCGAAGCTGAATTAACTATCCCAGAACTTGTGGCAGAAATTACATCTGAAGATAAGGAAATAGAGCGGCCTTCTGTAGTTGAAATGACTGTTACACAAGATGTTGCAGCTGATGTTGAAATCAAAGAAGAATTTGAAACAGAAAAAGAAATATCTGCTACCGAAGCTGAATTAACTATCCCAGAACTTGTGGCAGAAATTACATCTGATGATAAGGAAATAGAGCGGCCTTCTGTAGTTGACATGACTGTTACACAAGATGTGGCAGCTGATGTTGAAATGAAAGAAGAATTTGACACAGAAAAAGATATATCTGCTACTGAAGCTGAATTAACTATCCCAGAACTTGTAGCAGAAATTAAATCTGAAGATAAGGAAAAAGAGCAGCCTTCTGAAGTTGAAATGACTGTTACACAAGATGTGGCAGCTGATGTTAAAATGAAAGAAGAATTTGAAACAGAAAAAGATATATCTGCTACCGAAATTGAATTAACTATCCCAGAACTTGTGGCAGAAATTACATCTGAAGATAAGGAAATAGAGCAGCCTTCTGTAGTTGACATGACTGTTAAACACAAAGTGGCAGCTGATGTTGAAATGAAAGAAGAATTTGAAACAGAAAAAGAAATATCTGCTACCGAAGCTGAATTAACTATCCCAGAACTTGTGGCAGAAATTACATCTGAAGATAAGGAAATAGAGCGGCCTTCTGTAGTTGACATGACTGTTAAACAAGATGTGGCAGCTGATGTTGAAATGAAAGAAGAATTTGAATCAGAAAAAGAAATATCTGCTACCAAAGCTGAATTAACTATCCCAGAACTTGTGGCAGAAATTAAATCTGAAGATAAGGAAATAGAGCTGCCTTCTGAAGTTGAAATGACTGTTACACAAGATGTTGCAGCTGATGTTGAAATGAAAGAAGAATTTGAAACAGAAAAAGAAATATCTGCTTCCGAAGCTGAATTAACTATCCCAGAACTTGTGGCAGAAATTACATCTGAAGATAAGGAAATAGAGCGGCCTTCTGTAGTTGACATGACTGTTAAACAAGATGTGGCAGCTGATGTTGAAATGAAAGAAGAATTTGAATCAGAAAAAGAAATATCTGCTACGGAAGCTGAATTGACTATCCCAGAACTTGTGGCAGAAATTACATCTGAAGATAAGGAAATAGAGCTGCCTTCTGTAGTTGACATGACTGTTAAACAAGATGTGGCGGCTGATGTTGAAATGAAAGAAGAATTTGAATCAGAAAAAGAAATATCTGCTACCGAAGCTGAATTAACTATCCCAGAACTTGTGGCAGAAATTAAATCTGAAGATAAGGAAATGGAAAAGCCTTCTGAAGTTGACATGACTGTTATACAAGATGTGGCAGCTGATGTTGATATGAAAGAAGAATTTGAAACAGAAAAAGAAAAATCTGCTACCGAATCTGAATTAACTATCCCAGAACTTGTGGCAGAAATTAAATCTGAAGATAAGGAAATAGAGCGGCCTTCTGAAGTTGAAATGACTGTTACACAAGATGTGGCAGCTGATGTTGAAATGAAAGAAGAATTTGAAACAGAAAAAGAAATATCTGCTTCTGAAGCTGAATTAACTATGCCAGAACTTGTAGCAGAAATTACATCTGATGATAAGGAAATAGAGCGGCCTTCTGTAGTTGACATGACTGTTAAACAAGATGTGGCAGCTGATGCAGAAATGCAAGAAGAATTTGAAACAGAAAAAGATATATCTGCTACCGAAGCTGAATTAACTATCCCAGAACTTGTGGCAGAAATTAAATCTGAAGATAAGGAAATAGAGCGGCCTTCTGAAGTTGAAATGACTGTTACACAAGATGTGGCAGCTGATGTTGAAATGAAAGAAGAATTTGAAACAGAAAAAGAAAAGTCTGCTACTGAAACAGAATTAACTATCGCAGGACTTGTGACGGAAATTAAATCTGAAGATAAGGAAAAGGATAAGCCTTCTGAAGTTAAAATGACTGATACACAAGATGTAGCAGCTTATGCTAAAATCAAAGAAGAATTTGAAACAGAAAAAGAAATTTCTGCTACCGAAGCAGAGTTAACTATCCCAGAACTTTTGGCAGAAATTAAATCTGAAGATAAGGAAATAGAGCTGCCTTCTGTAGTTGACATGACTGTTAAACAAGATGTTGCAGCTGATGTTGAAATCAAAGAAGAATTTGAAACAGAAAAAGAAATATCTGCTACCGAAGCAGAATTGACTATACCAGAACTTGTGGCAGAAATCAAATTTGAAGATAAGGAAATAGAGCGGCCTTCTGAAGTTGACATGACTGTTACACAAGATGTGGCAGCTGATGCTAAAATCAAAGAAGAATTTGAAACAGAAATAGAAAAATCTGCTACTGAAACTGAATTAACTATCCCTGAACTTACAGCAGAAATTAAAGCTATTGATTTAGTAGATAATGTTGAAATCGAAACACAGCCAGATAAAACAAAATTAGACATAAAGATGATTTATGAGAAAAGCTTAGAAGGGGATGTTTCTTCTGAACTTGATTTTCCCACTAGTCAAGGTACGGAAGTTTGGCATGCATTTATGACTTCCATGTAGATTTTTTTCTGCGTCCAGTCTTGTTTTGCATGATGAAGACTTTATGCTTCCATTTCCATATATATTACAATAATGGAATAATGCAAAGCATGTTTCAAATTAAGTTAAAGGAAACATTTTAAAGAAAGTCCTGATTAATTTTGTTGTATTACATGTAAAACTATAATGTGTTAACAAAAGTGAAACTGGTAAATATTGGCCAAGGAAAATTCTTTTTAATGAAATATCAAACTTTTTTGGAAAACAAATATATTCTCTTTCTTTAAATTCAGAAAATGAATGTTTTGTGTGAGACAATATATTATCATAAATGGCAAACTAAAACAATTTTTAGATTAAAGGCATTGGCTTCAGATTTATTTGCATGAGCTGTTCAAATTAAAAAATACTTTAATTATTGCTGGCTCAAAAAAATGTATAAAAAAATGTATTTTTTGTAGCATTTTACATTTTTGAAAGTTGTTAATTATTGTTGGTATTTATATGGATGGCTGATATGTTTGCAGAACTAAATCCTATAATGGCAAGCTTAAATCTTGAAAAGTTGTTGTTCTTTTACTATGAGGATGCCAGGCATGAATCTTTTTTTAACTGGAATCTTTTACATTTTATTTCTTAACAGCAAATATAAACATTACATTGAGTTTTAAAAACTTTAAAGTTGTATGTCAATGATTATCTTTGAAAATAAAATTGATAACTATTTCTAACATGGCATATATTTTGATGGTTAATTGAACATTTATATACATGTATTATGGTCACTGTTAAAATATTACAATCATATACATGTAATTGATAATTATATAATTATTATAATAATCAAGATAATATTTACCTAGTTACCAAGAATGAAATCTTAAATAATAAGTTTTTTTTTATATTCTCATATTTGATTAAGCTTTGATAACAGATGGTTTTAAAACATTGATGTATGAATTCAATTACATCAGTTTGGTTGCTTGGTATTAACAACATGTAGTTTAATAAATCATATGTACAATGCTTTAATTGTTCTATTAAAATTTCACAATAACATTCATGTATATATTATTAGTGCACATGCTTTATAACATGGTATATTGGTATATAATCTAGAAATATATTTAACCAGGTGAAGATGTGACACAAGACATAACTATAGAAGAGGAATATCTCTCTGAAAAAGAAAAACAAGTTGGTATGTAGTCATAGCAACCAAAACAGATTCTCAAACCAGAACAAAAATATGGGGCATAACACATTTCATTATCAGAAAGTTGGACATAAGTGAATTTGAGATTATAATTGGAGGTCTTTTTCAAAGAGTTATGGCTCTTTGTTGATGAAATTTGTTGGCCTTTTTATCCAAGACTCATAACTGTTTGTGTACTTGAATTCAAAGAAAAAATATACTTTTGAACATTATACTTGCAGATGATACAAGAAAAAATCTATGAAATATAGTAACTTTATTACATCGAATCACCTTTAATTTGTATTTGTTCTTAAGTATTACTTCCTACCAGGCATCAATTTTCACAATGCTATTTTTAACTCACATGACATGATGATTCAGAATGTTGTTCAATTATTTATATCTATCTATTTATATATATATATATATATATGTGTGTGCTAGAAATTGCACAATACATCTAACAGAAAAGTTTGGAAAGTTTTATTTCTTTGATAAAATCACCTTAACATTGTTTACTGGTACTTAATTATATTCAAAATGTAAAGGTCTGGAAAAAAACTTCTATGAAATTTTAAGTAAAGAGTAGAAAAGGTGTCAATTTTCTTGATCATATTTCATTGAAATGTTGAGTATAATAAGCAACATCGAAAACAAGGTAATACTAGACAGTTACCTATCTGTATTCTGTCAAAATTTTGTACTTGTCTGTTGATGTATTGTTTAATTTGTAAAAAAAAGTGTTAATTAGGTCTGAAAACTGCTAGGAAATCAGTGTAGAAACATTTGCTTTAATGTTAAAATGATTTTCCATGCAAATTCATTATAAATGTATACTAATTAGGATCATTTATCTATGTTAGATTTCAAATTTTCTGATTTGTATGTATGTTTTTCAGAAGAAGAAAAAGAAACAATCTCTGACGAAGAAACTAAAGTTCCAATACATAGTAAGTTTTTGTAAGTTTTTTATTTGGGGGCTTCATGTCGTGTTGAATTAGTTTTGTTTCATTTAATAATGAAAAAAAATCTCTTTTCCATCTATCTATTTGATTGCATGATTTCATTGGATTGTATAAATATTATTTATATTAATTTTAATACTTTAATGGATTTAATTGAAAGTATTGGGAAAAAATACATTCTAAGGATTATTATACAGTTAGATTATTCACTGCATATCCAAATTTACTTTAGTTATCGACTTAGTATCTAAATTGTCATTACTTTTCTTTGTTGTGTATCTTAGTTTACATAATTGTTCACCCTGTGTCCTAATTTTCATGAGTTATAATTTATATGCATGTATGATTCATTCTTTGTATATATAAATTGATGTAAAATATTCTTTTACAATCATTATATCAATTATTCACTGTGTACCTAAATATACATATCCTTTAGCTACATCCTATCATAATTTACATGAATTATATGTCTATTTATTTTTCACCAACAGCTGTTGAAGAACAGGTTATCAAAACTGCACCTGAATTCACAACTCAGCTGGAGGATATTACTACTACTGATGGAGGCAAAGCTCAATTTGAGTGTATCATCAAAGGTGAACCTCTTCCCACTGTCACCTGGCTGAAGGACAGTACTCAGGTAGAAGAAAGTGAGGAGTTCCAAATGACATTCGAGGATGGAGTGAGCATTTTGACCATACCAGACGTCTATCCCGAGGATGCTGGAAAGTACACTGTGGTTGCCAAGAACGAGCTTGGAACTGCCATGTCAACAGCTGAACTCTTTGTTGAAGGTGAGTAGGGCAAGGTTTTCTATAAAAACAAACATTTAAATGTTTTCTTTATACCCAAACAAACAAACAAAGCTTGAAGGGAGCATAAAGGAGTCAGCTTGTCTTCTCTCCAGTGTATCCTCGCCTACAATCTTGTTAATGTTATTCTTTAATATGCCCTTTGAATGTTTTGTTTTTACAAAATCAGATCGTACAAAACAATTTGCATACAAATTTGTGTGCAAATATAGACTGCCATTTAAGGGAAGTCAAATTTTATATGAAATTGCTCCTGTTATATGTTAGTCGTATTTGATTTCTTTTTATATTCTGTATGAAGTGTGGTGAAGTAAAAGCTTATGTCAAGTCTAAAGTAAAACAAAAGCTTGTTCCTAGTGTAGTCTTAAGTAAAATAGGAGAAAATGCCTAATCTAAGGTATAATAGAATCTTGTCTAGTCTAATCTAAAGTAAAAAGAAAAGCTTGTGTCTAGTCTTAAGTAAGATAGAAGCTTATGTGTAATCTGAAGTATCACTTATTTAAATTTTCAGCTGCAGAAGAAGAGGTGATACAGCCCACTTTCCAACAGAAACCTAAATTCCAGAACGTAGACGAGGGAACAACTGTGTCCTTTACTGCAAGGGTCATTGCTATACCAAAACCAGATGTAAGTCTAACACTTTCATTCCTTGGTTTTAACTGAATGCATGCTTATGATTTCAATAAAACATCTTACAAGAAAATCTGAAAGCATGTCCAGATCAATTTATCTTTTTCGAAAAGGGGAGGGGATTTTCAGGAAGAAAAATTTTATGAACCATTTATAGTGACCTAAACTTTGTGTAATAATTATACAATGAAATAAGAATAAGCAAAGCATAGAATTACATAAATAAAAGAACCTTGAAACAAAACAGTTTCATAATTATTGTAATACTATTTCATAATAAAATGAATGTTACAGATTTACTGGAGTCACAATGGTGTACAGATAGAGGAGGATGACCTTCACACTGTGGAGATCATAGAGGACGTCAGTGTGTACACAACAACACTCACCTTGGAGAATGTGACACCACAAGAGGCTGGCACCTATAAATGTGTAGCAATTAATGAGGTTGGGGAAGAAACAGTGTCAGCCTCACTCATTGTAAAAGGTAAATTAGGAATACAGCAAGGAGAAACCATACCACTTTTACATTGTTGGTGTAATCCAATCACAAATTGTCATTTTTTTTATGGAATATGGTTATAAATGTTAAGTAAAAGCAATAGTATCATTCAATACCTTAGTATCCCAGGTTGAAAATATTTCAGTGTCATTCATGCAATATGTCATTCTAAAAATTAGTTTATGAGCATTTAATCATTCAAGCGCCTTGTCCGGTATACGCTGGAATACAGTATTTATTGTGGTGCTCCAACACTTAAATCTCACTCTATATACCATGCTGTAGGACTTCTATTTCATTGTAGATAAGCTTAATATTTGATATTCAAGTTTCTCTTGTTCTTACTCCATTACAGAAGCACCTGTTCAGAAAGATCTTAGAGAACAGTTGAAGACTAAAGTGTAAGTGGTTTAGTAATTGAATTTAAAAGCAGCCAATAAATCAACAAACAGAATGGTTTGGTGGTGAAAACTGGTAGTTTCTAGATGTATATTAATATGTTGCCTTGTAAAGGTTTATGAAATATGTGTTATAGAAATGCATGTTACAATGTAATTGGTTGCAAGAAATATTGTTTTTGTAAAATAGTTTAAATATGAATTTGAAAAAAATAAAGGAATGGTAATTGGTTAGCAATGCTTGCAATGAACTTTGTTTTTGTAAAATAGTTTAACTGTGAATTTTAGATAAATAAAGGAATTGTTAGCTATATGTTTGCAATGATTTTTGCTTTTGTAACATAGTTTTAAATGTGAATTTTAAATAAAATAAATTAAAGGAATGGTTAGCTAGAATTTAATCTTAGTTTGCTATTTCTGTCATTTTGTTGCTTTTTTTGTAATTCAAGCTGGTGAATGACCTATTTTACATCATTTTATATTATTGTTTGTGTTTGGTAACTAACAGAAATTTTCATTTAAAAAATACTTAATTGGTGCATGGACACTTTGACAAAATTATGATATATTTTCATATTGTGAGGGCAAAAACATTTTTATGTTTTTACACTTCTGAGTTTGGATAAGTAATTGTGAGTTGTTAGTTAGAGGGATTTCAGTATAAGATCAGATTGCATGAGATTTGTGGCTAGCTGGGCATTATGTTGGTAACAGTTATGCAAAGTTCTGTCAGAGTCAAAATATTTTGATTAATGAGATTAGACTTTTCACATTCAGACAGATTTTAGTCTGCTAATTAGACAAAAGAGTCCATGTACCATATTTAGGTATGATTGTGTTTATTAATAAATATAGAAAATGTTTGTTTTAATGTAGAAAAACTAAGGTTGGCTTTAGGAAGGTTGTAGAACAGAAGGATTTCCGTGACACCTACATGCAGCATGTATGCATTTGTATCAGGTGTGTGTTATCATACTAGAATCCTATCAATGGATCTTTCACACTTTGTGCTCCTTAATGATATTGCCATTGACTCTGATGGTCTTTTGTGATACCTTAGGCAGTGATTTTTTTACAAAATTTATTAGTGGGCCCTAGGACTCTGTAAATCCTATGAGTCCCAAAAATTAACGAAAAAGGCCAAGTTTAGTGATATGAAAGGTAGATAAACAAAGAAAAATTAAGTAAAAGAATAAATATAGATTTACATGTATATATCAATTACAATTTACTGACTATGAAATTTTCCATAGATACAAAGTAAGTAGCCTTGTTGGACCATTTCTCAAACAGTAATTTCAGTTAATTTTAATTCTTAGGTTGTTAAATTTAATTTAAACAATGTAAAGTTCTTGACTGTACTGGTCGGGGACCATCAACCGGACACTTTTTGAACATTTTTCCGTACAGATTTCATAATTTTTAACCTAGAGACCTTAAAATTTGACACAGTTTAGCTAGGTTCTTCTCCTAACTAACAAACTAGTTTGTTTATTTCTGATTGTATTGACACTTATATCTGAGGCTCGACAAGGAGGGTATCAAAATTACCTAGATTGTCTACACTACAGTACCATGTGTCCGGACAGATATGTACACATCACATGATTTAATTCAGATAAAAGCTTGGGTGTTTTTGATTTTAGATTTTTATCATGATAAACAATATTTCAGCAACAAATGCTTAAGTTTTGGATATCTATTGTTTACTCTGCAAATGATTATAGCTGATATATGAGGTCAGGCAATGCTTTCTTGGCCCCCCAAATGACAACGTCAACATTTTAGAAAAAGGCATTAAAATATTACCATTTACGGAGGTTGAAATAAATTTATTTTCTTAATTTTAGTAGAAACATGCATTTATTGTTGATGAAAAAGTGACTGAAAACCACTGAACATCGAAAATACTAAATTAAGCATTTTCGGGGCCGTCCGGGTTTGGTGGTTGTCCGGTTTTGGTGGTCCCCAACCAGTAGAGGCATTTATTTTGTCAGTTTTGACCTACTTAGAATTTGTCAACATGACCTTATGAGCTCACTGGGGTGCTTGATATGTAAATCAAAACCAATTACCTAACCAAATCATTTATAGTTAATGATGAACAAGAAGAAATATGAGATCATTTTAATTGAAACTAGAAGCATAAATTAAGTTTTATACTGTTACATAGAGCAAAGCAAACAAAGTTTTCATTTATTTTTATGTCATATTACAGTACTGGAGTATTCATTGGGCTTTCTAAATAAAACAGCGTCACATATCACAAGCAACAATACAATCACAAGGAACAATAGCCAAAATTTGATTATCCATGTTTAACAATTATAGGCATAGAAGGAAGTGTAGAAGAAATATATTTAGTGGTGTTCAACTTGATTAATCTTGTTCGATTAAAAATTTAATTACTCAAAATAAATCAAATAATTAGGTCAACGTTGACAGTTCATAAATCAAAACAAAAATAAAGTAAAATTAACGCTGACATTTCTTGAAACCAGGGATCACACTGTATGCTTATTGATACGTTTTATTTGACAAATTAACATCAGTAAAGAGATAAATTTCCAAGAAAATACAAATTTTTAAATGACAGGCATTGAACATTCGTCTGCTACAAAATGAGACTGCAAGAACTTTGCCAAAACAAAACAATTGTAGGCACTTTATTAAACTTTCCATTATTGCACAACGTAACTTTGATGCGTAAACTATAAAATTTGTGACTTTGGTCGAGAGATGGTACTGTTCGAAAGGCTACTAAATAGACGATTATATTGGGGTTGTCACGGTGCCAGGACTCTGACCAAAACTAGGTCCAGACCCCAACAAAAATGTGAGAACCCTGACATAAAGTCACCCCTTTGAGAATAAGTGTATGTACACGGATTTATATTAGATACATGTATCCATGATTTTTCCGTATTTTTTTGTCGTATATTGATATCCAAATTGTAAATTTGTTGTTACATCGTCATATCGTTATTTTTAAATGTTATTTATGTGAATGACGCACTTGCCGGTGATATACATTCAAACCGAAAGTTGAATTACTTCTAAAATTTGATTCGTCGATTGCTCAGGACATGTTGCACAGCACTTTTAAAAAAACTCTGATCCTGGTAGTGTTATTGAAAGTTTTAAACTAACTTTACAAAGATTTCTCCGGATCTGAAACGTTTCAAGGTTTAAATAAAATTCCTAACGATACTAGCCTAGGTATATGAATTTTGTCATCGGGCGGGTCTAATTACTAGAATATATTCCGTGTAGGTTGACATTCTAAACAAGCGATACACAATAAAATGTTTGCAGGCGATAAGCGGTCACCAGCCCTCTATAAATATAATAAATGGTAAAAACGTAGATTATCCGCATTTATTGACATAAGATTGATATGTCTTGATATTGACTTAGTATTTAATACCAATTTTCAAGCAGACAGGACAAAGCATGCGTCCAAAAAACGCACATTGTTACTGAAACTGCGTCCGCAGCAAAATTCAAATGTTGCGTTCTCACGGTTCTGAAAGCAGGACGCTGAATTCTTGTGCATCAGATAATTGATTTCGTTAGTTTTACCCATGCCGAAAATTTCATCTGGCACGGGGATGCCAGATGAGTCGCGTGCTCTATAATGATCTATTTTAACGCATTTTGAAAATGAACCGCGTTGAAATGACGTCATTTCCGGCGTGTATAATTCGCCGTTACGAATTCATAAGCTATTGTCAGAAAAAAGTTACCCACCCATAGGTGGAAACTCGGCAAGCCTCTTTACCACACAATAAGTGGCTTCCCTTGGGATGAATATTCTGGTTTGAACTCCAACATATAACACCTTTTTAGTAAAAGAATCACTGCCCCTTAATGACATTTTTGCATTCCAAATGGTATATTCACTCCCTTTATGATAAATGCACTTCCTTTTTAATATTTTTTCTATTTAATGATATGTTTACTCCAATAATAAGTGATACATGCACTTCCTTTTTTGATATTACTCCAATAATGATTGGTACATGCACACCTTTTTTGATACATTCACTCAATTTTTGATTTATTCACTCCCTTTGATATTTTGTCTTCCTTAAATATATTTTCACACCCTTAAATGGTATATTGATTCCCTTAATCAAACATTCACCACCTTCATCGACATTGTCACTCCCTTTATTCCTGTAATGATATTTTCACATCCTTAATCTCTGAAGGATACATTCACTACTTTGATATTGTTGATTTCATAATGATAAAGAATGAAGTACCCTGAAAATTTGAATTCTTCTCATAATCAAGTATATAATGTTATGTGTTACAACTTTATGAAAATTTGGTATAGAAATGTTTATATACATTTACTCTTGATTAATATTTAAGTTTTGTCTGCTTTGTGGGTTTTTTTTTTGGTGGATTTTTTATTGTAAAATTTTGTATGTTTTTTAACTACCATGCTTATATGTCTCTGTGGCAGAATTGAATGGGGCTTAAAGCATTTGATTAGATGTAAGAGAGATATTCTAACATTGTTATGATTGAAATAGTTATCAGTTCCCTAACAAAGCATGTGGGGGAACTATAGGAAAACACCAAAGCATGTGGGGGAACTGTAGGAAAACCTTTCATCCGTCTGTCTAGGTTGTTTATGAGCTTCATTCCATCATTAATTTTAGGTTATTTAAGAAGAAAACTACATAAACAATAGTTTAAATGTATTTTTCACTGGTTTAATAACTTTATTGTTAAACTATTCCACATAAAGATAAAAAATGTCCATAAACTTAAATGATAAACCTAATATGTTTGAACATCCATCTGTCTGCAAACAGTTCTGTGTCCTCTACATGTTTTGAGCCAATAGAAGAAAATGGAAACTATTTAGTAGAAATGTTTATCATAATATGATAATGGACAGAGAGCTGGTTTGAGCTTCCTGTGATCAAGGTCAAGGTCAAAGTCAGTTGTGACAAGGCCATTTCCACTTTGGGATTTAAAAAGTGATCAAATCAGAGACCATTATTAACTGGAATGTTATTTAAGAATTAACCAACCAGACACGGCTAGAATTTGCAACTTCTCTTAAATGTCAATTTTATCACCTTGAATTTGAAGCTTATTGTTAGAATACCTGAAAAAATGATGCTTTTATGATTGTTTTGCTGTTGTTCTTAAGAATGATTTATGTTGTACCAATTTTGCTTTTGCATGTTATAGTCAAACTAAGGAAGGTGTGAGAAGTGATGCAGAGCAGGTCGACTTTAGAGATAATCTCAAAACCAAAGTGTAAGTAATTTCAAAATCCAACTATACACATATTATAATCTAAAAACCAAAGAAGTGTATGTCATGAACACAGTCTATGTAAGAAATATAGTATAATGAAGTAACAAATTAACAATTACACATAATTGCAATATATTCTTATAATGATATGATATATGCAGATTGCTACAGTGTTAGATGAATATATTCTTATGTTATATACATGTGCATCATATATATAAAATGAACTGAAATTTAAATGTATCCTCCGTCTCATAATGAGTTTACTTCTGATGATAGTAAATCTTTTAAAGATATAGAAAATGTAATTTTAGTTTGATGGTTATTTTATCAGCTACATATAATCCTGATAAATTGCATGTTTCTGTATGGCAAAAGTACAGTAAGTGCAATTCTCTGTCTTAAAAAAACCCCACAAAAACACTCAATAATTCTCTCCTTTCTTTTTTTCACTAATTGATCTTTAATTAATATTTGATTGATTTTTCATTTATCACATGTTATAACACAGTCAAACTAAGGTTGGTGTCAAACATGATGCAGAACAAAGGGATTTTAGAGAGAAACTTGTAACAAAAGTGTAAGTTGTGCTCTAACATTTCTTGTAGTTTTCTTTTTATAATGAAGAAACTTCATTTTGAAAACAAACATAAGAAGCGCTTAACAATTAAACAGTGAACTTAAACAGGTTATATTAGATTTTGTTTTAATGAAAACATATATCTGATTACTAAATAGAGTAAGAATAATTGTAAGTAAGGTGGAAGAAAGAGTTTTAAGTACTTTAAGCTAACAGAAGGTATTCTGCTTTTATATTAAGAAGCTTTAAATTCAAACCATGAACAGCTTGTAATAAAAGCAAGTAGATAAGATAATGAGAACCATGCTTAGATCTCTGGCTCTATTCTTTTATAATAATGCAAAATTCTCAATATGTAAAAACAGAAGCAGAAATTTAAAAGACATCTTTTTATTATAATCAACAGCAAAAGTCTTAGAAAAAGGCAGAAAAAAGGGTAATAAGTGATTTTAAAAATAGTAATGTGGCCTTTGTGACCTACAATAAAACCTTTTTTGGGTTGCTGCCTTATTTTATAAAGTCACATATATACATACAATACCTTTTATAAACCTGCAATGCTGCATACTGTTTCACACATTTTATATGAGTTGACTGAACGTAGTGCATTCAGATGGCATAAACTATGTTGCTTAATTCAATAAAGAAAGTTACACAAATTTTACCCTATAAGAAAAACTATGTACTTAAATGATCAGAAACTATTTTTCCGTGTGTCTATTGTTGCTTGTTTGACAAACAATTATTAAAGTATTATTTGGAAAAAATAGCAAATCTAGTTGACTGATAAAAGAAAATTTTGTGAATGAACAAATACAGCTACATTACAGTTATATGCCATATTATGTGGTGCACTTCAGTTACACTTGTACCATAATATCAGGGTTGTCATTAACATTTTTTGCAGAAGGTTTGTTTTGAACTTGAGGCGGTCATTTCTGTCTTTATCATGCATAACAAAGAGTGTTTTCTTAATTTTGAGGCGGCCCATAATGCATTTGAGACAGGCATTTTGGCCTCCTGCCGCCTCTTAATGACAACCCTGAATATACATGTGTACCTAAACCAAGCATGTAGTTAAGTAATGCTTGTTATTACATGTTATTTATGTTTCTGTAGTTTGTTTCTATGGTAAAGTTAAAAAAATGTTTTAATTTAAAAAAAAAACCCAATTATTTTGCCTTATGGAAAAATACATGAAAATTACACATTCAAAGAATTTTTGTGACACAAAATACCAAGTGAAATTATTTTATAGGAAAGTATTATCATTTTATGACAGAAGTTGAAGCTTTGATAGTACTCGTTGAAATTAAATGAACATTTTAAATTGAGAAAAAAATCATGACTTTATTGGTCTGCCATAGAAAGAAACTTTCTACGAACATAATTATATCTTCCTTGCATGATTTATCAGTGTTGACCTTGTTGCATCTTGTTATTTTTTGCATATACAGCGATACTAAAGTAGGAGAAAAATTTTCTGCTGAGCAAGTAGACTACCGTGATGCTCTTCAAACTAAAGTCAGAACAAAAGTGGATGAAAAGTTTGAAGTTTTGCAAGTTGATTATACTAATGCTTTAAAAAGAAAAGTTGACACAAAAGTTGGTGAACAATTTGATGCAATACAAGTTGATTATAGGGATGCTCTTCAAAGCAGTGTTAAAACGCGGGATGCCGAACATTACCAGGCCGAACAGAAAGACTATAGGACTGTATTACACAATAAGGTGGAAACCAAAGTCGGTGAATCATTTGATATGACTCAGGTCGATTATAGAGATGCTTTGGTTAAAAAAGTGTAAGTTTCTTATTTGGGTGGTGGATTTTGGTTAACTTGAGATTTTCTGGGATAAAGATAGAATTGATAAGGTTTGTTAAAGCTAATAATGTACTGGAGAGCAAGATTGAGATTATAACATTATAAATATTAACCCTAACCCAGAGCATGTCTTCTTTGTACTGTAATGATATGATATATTTTTGTATTTGCCAAAGAATATATAAAGAAAACTACTAATACCTTGATTATTTGATATTAGCATGGCTTGTTACTAAGGCCCCCACGATTAAACGTTTAAACGGATTCGTTTCGATTTTCATTTGTAAACGTTTACGATAATTTTTACCGTTTAATCGAAATTACCATATTGTCTTACAAAATTTCTTAATCATTGCCATTTATCATGGATTTTATCAATTTTAGTGGTTTATTCCAAAGTAAAAAACGGAAAATGGTTGTTTACAACCCTCCACACAGCATTACCGTGCACAAATTGCTCCTGACATAATACATTTTTAGTAAAAAATGGGGATACAATGCAGAAAATGTGTGCTGACTTAATCGTGATGAGCCCTGAATATTCTTTATTTGTACATGTATTAAAAAAAGAAAGTAAGTCATCATTTGGCGACTCAAATACAAATACATATAGTACATAGGGGTACCACCGTTTAAACGGTATCTTTTTGGTTCTTGGCAATCGTGTAAACGTTTACAAAAAATTGTAAACATGGGAGCCTTACTTGTTACTAAAGGGTTTTTAGCTTATGACGTAACTGAGGAGTTGCAACCATTTCACATCAAGTCAGAGAATATTGTCAGTATAATAATTTTAATAATATTTGATTAATTGATATTAATATTCAATGTTTTTGCATGTATAATATTGTGTGTTTTTGCATGGAACAGAGAAACTAAAGTGGGAGAACAATTTGAAACGGAACAAGTTGACTATACAAGTGTGCTTTACTCTAATCAGTAAGTACTAATGTCTTAAAATCAGTATATACATTAACTTTAATTAGTATATAACTGTAACTGGTAACTGAAATTAGTGTATTTTTATTTGTATCTTAACTTTAACCATACTAAATTATTATAAATATGTAATAGAATATTTCTGCTTTAGGAGAAGCCCCAAATATTCTAATTATTTCATAATCAAAATACAAATAAATTCTATTAGCTTGTTTGTCAATAAGTTTAGTATACAGTTTCTAAAAGTAGAATAATTGATGTTTGAGACTGAGTATATCATATTTGAGTGTAATTGCCTATTTATGAAGTTATTATCAACTTATATAGGACATTGCTTTTTTAAGTTTGCATCTTTTTATTGTGACTGCTTTTTTTACTTTTTCATCTGCATTTTAGGGCAAAATTAAAAAGAATTTATCCCTTTTGCAATTTATTGTTTATTTTCAACAAATTAGGACTTTCTCTGTCTGCATTTTAAAATTTTAATTTTTTATAGTTATTATGCCCCCACAATGTGGGAGCATATAGCGTTGCACTTGTCAGTTCGTCAGTCAGTCAGTCCGTCCGTCAGTCCGTACGTCCCGAAATCTTGTGAACGCAACTCCTCTTAAACCGGATGGCAGATTTTGCTTAAACTTACAGGGATGAACAACCTTAATGTGTAGATGGTAGTAAAGGAAGGAATTTTTGCTGCGACCAAATTTAACAGAATTATGGCCCTTTGTTGATTTTTTCACTAGATACTATGTAGAAATTTTGTGAACGCAACTCCTCTGAAACCGGATCGCAGATTTTGCTTAAACTTACAGGGATGAACAACCTTAATGTGTAGATGGTAGTAAAGGAAGGAATTTTTGCTGCGACCAAATTTAACAGAATTATGGCCCTTTGTTGATTTTTTCACTATATACTATGTAGAAATTTTGTGAATGCAACTCCTCTTAAACCGGATGGCAGATTTTGCTTAAACTTACAGGGATGAACAACCTTAATGTGTAGATGGTAGTAAAGGAAGGAATTTTTGCTGCGACCAAATTTTACAGAATTATGGCCCTTTGTTGATTTTTTTCACTCTATACTATGTAGAAATTTTATGAACGCAACTTCTCTTAAACCGGATGGCAGATTTTGCTTAAACTTACAGGGATGAACAACCTTAACATGTAGATTGTAGTAAAGGAAGGAATTTTTGCTGCAACTAAATTTAACAGAATTATGGCCCTTTGTTGATTTTTCCACTGTATACTATGTAGAAATTTTGTGAATGCAATTCCTCTTAAACCGGATGGCAGATTTTGCTTAAACTTCCAGGGATGAACAATCTTAATGTGTAGATGGTAGTTAAGGAAGGAATTTTTGCTGCAACCAAATTTAACAGAATTATGGCACTTTGTTGAATTTTTTCATTATATACTATATAGAAATTTTGTGAACGCAACTCCTCTTAAACCGGATGGCAGATTTTGCTTAAACTTCCAGGGATGAACAACCTTAATGTGTAGATGGCAGTAAAGGAAGGATTTTTTGCTGCAACCAAATTTAACAGAATTATGGCCCTTTGTTGATTTTTAGTTTTCAACTTGTGGCACATGTAGTCCAAAAACTATTTGACCTAGAGTCATAAGATTGACAGAACAGTGGCGTGTGGGGGCATCAGTGTCCTATGGACACATTTCTAGTTTAAAATAACTTAAAGCTGAAACACTACACATATGAATTTTAATAGCAAAAAAAAGGCGTACGTTTTTGTTATTATATTCTTTTTTTTAAAGTTATTTTTCATATATATGCTTTTCCCCCTCATAGTCGCTATAAAAAACCATGGAATGGTCATCATAAAAAAGTGTAAGTTACCTGTTTTTAGTCAACTGTAGAACAGTTTATAGATACTGTTTACAAAGTTTTATTGATATTTAAACAGTTTTTACTTGGGATGTTACATACTTAATGGTGCAGAAAAAAGGTTTACAGAATTCTGGAATGTTTGTTGTAACCTTATTATCTCAGTTACTCTTTATGATTACAAAGATGCTAGGTTTCTACAATAATAGCCATTTTTGTAATTTGAGAAAACATTTAGAAATGTTGAAGTGTAATAGTATAAATAGAAGGTTCTTATTATTCACCTTCAATAGCAGAATGATTCTTTCAATGCAGATTTCTTAGTAACATATTTTTTGATAAAGATAGTGAAATTTTAAATAGAACTCTTCTAGCATCTTTGAGGGTTATTTTACATATGTAGTGAGGTTAGTTGCATGACTTTTATATACAAAACTTCCATTTTATCATCATTTCTTTCCTTGTTGTCATTTTCCTATGTCAGTGTCGAAGTTCTACGACAGTGTCACTGCTCTATGACAATATCACTGTTTCAGTGATGGTAATACTGACCAGTGACGGTGTCACTGTTGTATGACAATGTTACTATTCTGAGACAATGTCACTTTTCTATACTGTTATATGACAATGTCACTATTCTTTGTCAGTGTCACTGTTCTATGTCAGTGTCACTAGTTGTATGACAGTGTTACTATTAAAGATTTCTTTAAGATTTAGCATGTTTTCCTAGGCACATATCAACATGTTCAACTTTCTTTATTCAACTCTATAATAAGGCATGAGTTATAAATACTGTGCATGTGTAAAAAAGTATACATTTTTGTATGGGATGCATGCTTGCCATATATTGCCAAAAACAATACTTAACATCAAAACGTCAGGCAAGAATAATAAAAGAAATGGAAGCAGGCTTGAATAAGAGGAAGAGTCGTGTAAATTGAATGTTAAATGTACAAATATAATGTCAGTAATTGATTTAAATTTGTAAATATTTATTACATCTATTTTATAACATGCTTTCTTTTGCTTCCTTTATTGTATGTATAATAACATATTGTAGATAAAATGATTGGTGAGATGTTCTGCACCAACATGCAATCAGGTTTGTTGCCAATGGTTGTTTACATTTAATATGATTTGTTTGGCTATTGCAGATTTTTTTTCCTTCAATTTTTACAGAACTTTTGCTGAGGAGGTAACAACATTAGAAGAAGCTGAGACAACTGAAGAAGTTGTTTCTGGGGTGGAAACCACAGCAACTATTGAACAACAAGATGAAGCACCACAGTTTGTTATAACACTGGAAAATGTCATGGTCAAAGAAGGCAAACCGGTTAAATTTGTTGCCAAGGCAACTGGTGAACCAACTCCAAAAATTACATGGTATCACGACAATGAGCTTATTGTAGATGGAGACATTTACAAAATCAGGTAAAAATTAAGATTTGATTATGTTATTTATGTAAGATAATGAAAGAGTGTGAATAAAGAAATACGTTAATTAGCTATATGAAAATGCCTGAGATCATTCTATCCCAATTTAAAAGGGAGAGATGACTTTTGGTTAAGATGTCTACCTCTGAGCCAAAGGAGGGTGGGATTGAGCCAAACTTTGGTCATGGTCATGTTTTAAATGATACAAGTATTGGTTACTTCCAGAAAGTGGATGTAAGTAGGGTAAAGATAAGATTCAAGCTTCCTGTACCATCAAACTGAAATAAATCTGTTGTAATTGCTGTACCGGCATGCCAGCAGTTTCCGTAAAAAGCAGGTTTCCAGAGATATTTAAAATAATTTACATGACTCAATGGCCAATTTCGTACATAAATATGAATTTATTTGCAGATACCCATCAGAAGGGGAAAGTTCATTAATGTTGGCTCAAGCATTCCCAGAAGACGCTGGGGTCTACTTTGCCAGGGCAACCAACGAGCTTGGAGAGGTTGAATGCAGTTCAACTCTGGAAGTGGCAGGTAAGCCTGGGGGAAAGAAACAAACCAAAGAATTTGTTCAATGTCCTGTTCAAACATTTTTGCCAGGATTACAGTGTGCTTGACAATAAGTGTATTCAAAATTTTAGAAGCTTTGTTAATATGAGAGCAGTCTTAAATGTATTGTTTAAGAAATTTTGATACCATACGTTACATACACTTTGCCTTGGAATAAAATAATGAATGACATTGTTTTACCACTTGTGTTTAATTATCATTCAACTTATAAATGATCTTTACTTACTTGTTATATGAAATTTCTCTGAATTGATGGATAAAACAGGATTGATAATACATGTGAAATTATACTAATTCATGTGAATGATAATAATTCATGTGAAATGATAACTATCTTTATTGTATGATGAGAGACCTTTTTGATAAAAGACCTTTTTAATGTAACATCTGAAAACGGCCATGACCTTTAATGTAAAATGCATGAACTTGTCTCGCCTTTCTGTAAATTTCATCTGATAAACATATTTTGATAATGATGGGTGAAGTTTACACATAAAACTTAACTATTTTGTATGTTGATTAGATATTGACCTTTAAATGTTTGATGACCTTTGATTATTGACAATTTTTGTGTTACAGATCTTATTGATGAACCCGAGCAACTTGATTTTAGATTGGCTTTAAAGAAACCTGTGTAAGTCTTTGTTTCCATGGTAACATAATTCTTTTTTTACATTAACAGGAAAAGAACCAACAAAAGTGGAAGAGTAAGGGTTTCTTATGATCGGAATGCAAATTTACCTTGTTTTTGTATTTGCTAGAAGTGATTTGTGTGCTAGATATGTTTTTATTTTATTTGATATGAAGGCCTGTTTCAATAAATATTTTTTACTTCAGGAAATTTGTAACCTTTCCCCCTAAAAATGAGAATATTTGACACTTTTGTAATGTATTTTGGTTACTTAATGTTTCACAGAATTTGTATAAAGGAACAAGCCGTTATAATTTGCTTTTTATTAGAGCAGACAATAATGTCTTGTACATATTTATGGCAATATTATTTTATGAACATATTTGTGTTAAAATCCATTTATATCAAAAAGGAGATTAGGAAAGATTAAAATGATTTCAGGGTGTCAAATATTTGTTGATAAAACAAAGTATACATATATTATCTAGTTTAATTATTCCAGATACAAAATTGTGCTTATGTGAATGTTTTTAGCTCACCTGAGCAGAAATTGCTCGGAGATGACTTCTTCTGATAGCATGTTGTCATCAATATAACCACAATATAAACAACATCTTCTATCATACTACAAGATAGCTTTTAACCAAACTTAACTGGAAAAATGATTTTTACCTCATTAATACATTATAATTATATTACACCCATTCATTTCATTTGCTTGTTTAATCTTATTAATTTGCATGACTTTCAAATATAATAATTTTTATGCATGAACAGGCAAACGAAAGTTGGCCAGCAGTTTGATATGGAGCAAGTTGATTTTAGATCTTTACTTAAGCCATCAGCTCAAATATCAAAGTAAGTTCTGTTCCAAAAAAAAAATAGAAAATTTTAGAACTTCCCTCTAAAAAGAATTAACTAAGTCACTGGCTAAATATTTAATTCTTTAATGGCAAAATTTATGTTATATAAAGTAAAGGTAAAGAACCATTGGATATTCTGTTCTATTATAAATGCTGAAACAATATACATTGTATATTATCCAATCAGATTCAAGAAATATAGTTGAATGTTTTAAAAAATAAGATCTTTGTATTCTACATCAGTATCATGACCAATGTTCTAGTCTAAATTATAATATTTTGGTTAAAAAAAGTGCTGGATAGTTCATTCTCACATTATTAAAAAACAAAATAATGTTTCCATGTTTGCTAGAATAGTGTGTTGTTTTTCTTTGTTGATTAAGTAAGAGCATGAAAGGTTTCTAATTAAGATATTTTAAAGCATGGAATTTTATTGTTTTTGTACTGGGTTTCTGACATAATTATTTATTAACATTTTAAGCACCAGCTTTAATTAAAATAGTTAATTTATATCAAATTAATGATAATATTTGTTAACTTAAATTTGGTGGTAGTTACATACCTAATGATTTCTCAAGTTAGGGTATTATATGTCCATTTTATGATACTATGTTATTATGGCACTAAACCAATCAACAATTAGTTTCACTGTACAATTATATTGAGTAAACATGGAAAAATTGAATGTATTGACATTTACAGGAAATTTGAGGAAGATATAGCTGAATCTGTTACCTTGACAACAGAAACACCAGAAACAGAACAAGTTGAGGTTACAGCTGTTATACCCGAGGTAAATGTTGTACTTGATTTAGTTACCCTTGTTTGTACATATGTCTGTCAGTAAAAAATGTTTGCAGTATTCAAAGACATGTTATCCACATTAAGAATTTGCTTAAAGTGAAATAGTTTCATATCTTAAATTAATTAGAACCAACTTATTAAACTGTAGCATTGACTCTTTTAATACTCTTACATGTATATTCTCTTTCATGTTATAAGTTTTGCCTCATTTTATTTTGCTACTGAAGGTGGAAGAAGTACAGTTAAGTGTCCCTGAATTTGAGATCAGAATTGCTGACATGACTGTCAAAGAAGGTGAGTGTACTACATTGACTTGCAAGGTCAAAGGTCAGCCAGTTCCAGAGGTCACATGGTACCATGCAGATGAGCCAATCACATCCGACGATGTATACAGAGTGATACCTGGTGATACAGAAGGGGAGAGTACTCTTGAGATACCTGAAACGTTCCCAGAAGACAGTGGTGTTTACTCTGTGAGAGCAACAAATGAAGCTGGCTCTGTAGAAGCTACTGCTTTGCTCACAGTCACAGGTAAGCTTGCTTATATTACACATTTAACTTATTTAGTTAGACTGAAAAAGTCATAATCTGGGTAGGGAGAAAGTTGTTTTTGTAATATTATAAAGTCTATGTCTGATTTAGTCTAAAATATGTTAGGCATTCTGAAATTAATATTTTGATAGCAGAATGCCTTGAATAAAATTATCTTTGAAAATAAGAGAAAATATAATGCTGGCTTTTGTTATGGCAAAAATATTAGAAGTTCACTTGAATTTTGAAATATCTTTTCCAGACACATACATATTAACATTTAGTACAGGTATTTATGTGTTTTATTGTTTAAAATGATTATAGTATATGGAAAATAATAACTGAACCCAACTGTCACAAAAATTCCATAACACTGTCTCCTGTAAACTTATTTGATGTGGACCTAATATCTATACATAAAAATACAAAAGGGACTCCACTGAGGTTTTCTGATATGAAGAGATAAATATTTTTAGCTCACCTGAGCAATGCTCAGGGTGAGCTATTGTGATCACCCTGTGTCCGTCGTCCGTCGTCGTGCGTCGTCAACTTTTCACATAAACAACATCTCCTCTGAAACCAATGACTGCACATCAACCAAACTTTGCAGAAATGATCCTTGGGTGGTCCACTTTCAAAGTTGTTCAAATGGTTCCGGTCTGTTGCATATGTAGGTCACAGGGCCAAAAAAGGATTTCAAAAAACACAAAATAAAAAAATCTTCTTGTCTGAAAGTACATGGGCCAGAGCTTTGATTTTTAGCTCGACTATTCGAAGAATATGAGAGCTATTGTAGTCGCCCCGGCGTCGCTCCGCGTCGGCCTTGCGTTTTTTAAAGTTTTTGAAAATCAAATCTAAAAATTACTTTTAATATTCAATTGAAACTTTTCAAAAACTTATTTTTATAAAAAGTACATCAATTTTACAAGTTGATAACTCTGCCTACAATTTTGACAGAATTATGCCCCTTTTTAACTTAGAAATTTTGGTTAAAGTTTTTTGTAAAGTCAAATATCTCAATTATTGCTTGAGATATTCAATTGAAACTTACAATACTTATTTATAGTAACAAGGTACATCAGATTGACAAGTTGGATAACTCTGCCTACAATATTGACAGAATTTTGCCCCTTTTTAACTTAGAAATTTTGGTTAAAGTTTTTTGTAAAGTCAAATATCTCTATTATTGCTTGAGATATTCAATTGAAACTTACAATACTTATTTATAGTAACAAGGTACATCAGATTGACAAGTTGGATAATTCTGCCTACAATATTGACAAAATTATGCCCCTTTGGAACTTAGAATTTTGGTTAAAGTTTTTTTGTAAAGTCAAATATCTCAATTATTGCTTGAGATATTCAATTGAAATTTAAAATACTTTTTTTATAGTAACAATATAACATCAGTTTGCAAAATTGATAACTCTGCCCTGCAATATTTGCAGAATTATTTGCCCCTTTTGAAACTTAGAAATTTGTTAAAGGTTAAAGGTTTTCAAAGATATTTACTTGAAACTTTACACATGCACTTAGGGTCATAATTGGAAGGTCATAATTGTATGTCACTGACCAAGTTCCATAACTCTATCTTGCATTAAATCTGATTCATATACCCTTTTCTACTTAGTCTCTTGGTTAATGTTTACATGCAAGTTTTACATATCTCAATAACTTTTAAAGATATTTATTTAAAACTTCACATATGATTTAGGGTCATAATTGTAGGTCACTGACAAAGATCCATAATTCTATCTTGCATTTAGGCGGATTTTCTCCCCTTTTTCAATTTAGAAATTCATGGTAAAGTTTTCCTTCCGAATAGTCAAGCCAATACTGTATAATTAGACCCTCTCTAAGGCCTATAACATGAATTTATAAAAAAAAATTAGCCCTTTTGTGAACTTAAAAAATTTAACATTTTCAAAGCTCTTTTACTATCAAGCATTTAGAATAGTCGAGCATGCTGTCCTACCGACAGCTCTTGTTGGTATATGGTATTATCTATGGGTCCTCTACCAAAGTTGTTCAAATTTTGTCCCTAGTGTCAAAATTGGCCCCGCCCCGGGGGGTCATAGGTTTTTCCTTATATGTCTATAGGTAAATCTAAAAAAATCTTCTTCTCTGATTTGGCAAAGGCTACAGATTAGATATTTGGCATGAAACATTGTGTAGTAGACCTCTATCAAGATTGTTCAAATAATGGCCCTAGGGTCAAAATTGGCCCCGCCCTGGGGGGTCATTGATTTTCATTACATACATATAGTGAAAACTTGAAAAATCTTCTGGTTTGAAAGTAAATGGCCTAGAGCTTTGATTTTTGGTATATGGTATCATCTATGGGTCCTCTACCAAAGTTGTTCAAATTTTGTCCCTAGTGTCAAAATTGGCCCCGCCCTGGGGGTCATAGGTTTTTCCTTATATGTATTTAGTAAAATCTAAAAAAATCTTCTTCTCTGATTTGGCAAAGGCTACAGATTAGATATTTGGCATGAAACATTGTGTAGTAGACCTCTATCAAGATTGTTGAAATAATGGCCCTAGGGTCAAAATTGGTCCCGCCCCGGGGGTTCATTGATTTTCATTACATACATATAGTGCAAACTTGAAAAATCTTCTGGTCTGAAAGTAAATGGCCTAGAGCTTTGATATTTGGTCTATGGTATCATCTGAAGGTCCAATACCAAATTTGTACAAATTTTGTCCCTAGTGTCAAAATTGGCCCCGCCCCGGGGGGTCATAGGTTTCTAAATATGTATATAGTAAAACATAAAAAAATCTTCTTCTCTGAATTGGCAAAGGCTACAGGTAAGATATTTGGCATGAAACATTGTGTGGTAGACCTCTACCAAGATTGTTCAAATAATGGCCCTCGGGTCAAAATTGGCCCCGCCCTCGGGGGTCATTGATTTTCATTATATACATGTATATAGTGAAAACTTGAAAAATCTTATGGTCTGAAAGTAAATGGCCTAGAGCTTTGATATTTTGTCTATGGTATCATCTATAGATCCAAAACCAAAGTTGTTCAAATTTTGTTCCTAGAATTAAAATCGGCCCCGCCCCGGGGGGTCATTGATTTTCCCTATATGTATATAGTAAAAACTTAAAAAATCTTCTTTTAAACAACCCAAAGAGCTAGAGCTAAGATATTAAGCATAAAACATCTTCTAATGGGTGTCTACCAAGTTTGTTCAAATAAAAGCCCTGGGGTCAAAATTGGCCCCGCCCCAGGGGGTCATTGATTTTCCCTATATGCATAAAGTAAAAACTTTCTTTGAAAGAACCCAAAGGGCTAGAGCTAGTATATTTAGCATGAAACATGTTCTAATGAATGTCTACCATGTTCGTTCAAATAAGAGCCCTGGGGTCAAAATTGGCCCTTGGGGTCATTCATTAGCTCGACTTTTTTTTTAGATATATACATATTATAAATATACATATATATATATATATATTTATATATATATATATATATATATATATATATACATACACACACACACACATATATATATATATATAAATATATATATATATAATATATACATAATATGTATACATATATATATATATATATATATATATTTATATATATATATATATATATATATAGATTGATATATATATAGATAGATATATATATAAAAAAAATCTTCTTTTAGAAAACCCAATAAGCTAGACCTTAGATGTTTAGCATGAAACATCTTCTAATGGGTGTCAACCAAGTTTGTTCAAATAAAAGCCCTGATGTTTGAACTGGCCCCGCTCCGGGGGGCCTATATACAGGTGAGCGACTTTGGGCCATCATGGCCCTCTTGTTTGAGAGTTATGAACCATTTGATGGGGGATGTCTGGCATAATATTTTGTGTGCAACATTTGAGATAACTTGCTCACTTTGTTTTTCAGAATAATATTTCATATATAATGTACATAATGACCGATACTTGAAAAGTGTTGAAACACCTAACACAAATCAGGCTAAGAATCACACAAAAAATGAATTTCAGTTTAATTCTGAATATACCTCTACATTGTCTTTTGCATAAATTTCGTTTCAAGTGCAAAAAAGTTAATCAATGTAAGAATTTGAAATGTTTGTATGTTTTTACAAATTTTGACTTCCATGGAGCTCCTTTAAGAACCAACCTGCCTTCTATCTATTATTCAATCCTCGTAATCTGATACATTTTATTTTGTGTGTGATATCACATTTTCTACTCTAAGTATTTTACCATGCCTGTAAAATGGAGGCACATCCAGAGGGTTGAACAAACTTCACAATAAATTCCATAGGTTCATATACCAAGTTATTTTCAAATTCATTTGAAGTCGAAAGTTTAGCTTTTAACTTCATTATGTTCTCCATGCAATATTTGTTTCATTTTATATGGACATTGATAAAATTTTGATTTTTTTTCTTAATAAAACATGTTTCTGCAGTCTCTTTAGATATTTGCATATCTTACAATGAAAGAGGTAATTCAATTTTTACCACTTTTAAGTTGTAGCCTTTATTTAAAACTTGGCCCTGGCCTTGTTAACCATGTCTGAATGTTGTTTTTATCATTTTAATAGAGTGGTAGTTTTTTGACAGAACTTTTTATGATATATTCTATATGATAACCAAGCGTCATAGGACCTTATACCAGTTGATACATATGTATCATGTATAATGTAATAATGAAAAGATGATAGTAATGAATTTGGTGAATTTTTTTTCTAGAACTTATTGAAGCCGATGAGGAGGTTGTCGAAGAGATAACAGCTGATGTCATCACCAAGGAGACAGAGGTCACTGTAGAAGCTCCTCAAGAAGACGTTGATTTCACTTTTGAAGTTCCTGAAACAGAGGCGGAGTTTGTTATACAGAAAGGGGAAGATACTGAGGCGGAGTTACAGGTAGGTGGCTCCACATATATTCTATGTGTCTCATTTTGAAGTTTTGTCACACCTACTTCTTGAATTTAATAGGATATTAAAAAGATTAAATAAAATTTGTAAATTTCTAGAATTTCAGGCATTTTTAATCTAAAAAATGAATATCAATTCCTGTATTAATGTTAGTTTTGTAGTTTGGAGTTGAATAATTAGTTAATTTTGATATAGGATAGATTTTTAGCTCTTAAAAACTGAATGGTTTATTTACAAGGTTGGCATGATCAATTAAGATTTCATGAAAAGTAGTCAATTCATTTTAGCACAAATGTATTTTATCAGTGTAAAATGTATCAGAATGAATAAAATAGATTGAACAAGGGTAGATTATTTGAATAAAATGTATTCTACAGTTATATGATTTTAAAGTTAGTAAAGAATGTTAAATATATGGTCATTATGATCTTAAAGCAGTGCAAGCGCATTTTATTTAAAGAATAAACGAGTTGAGAAGATTTCTTTACTAAAAGCATGACTTGTGATATGTATATTTGATCAAATATTATTTAAAATTCACCTTCCTTTAAATTGTTTACAAGATTTCATGTAGATGTATGTCCTTTTTGTTCCACGTTTTCTTACTTTACCAGCTTCAAATGGGAATGTCCTGAATATGAATTGGGAGACTTTTTCGCAGTTGTAATGCTAATTACTCAGGCGGAACATGCTAATTTTTTTCTCATTATGCTGTTTAATTCTTATTCTTTATCATATGAAAAAATCCCTCCATAAATGTTTAAATAAAATACCAGTCCTGTATTTTCAGTATGGCATTATTGATACATTATTAACATGAAATCTTAAACAATTTAAGTTGAAAAGTGCCTTGGAAATATTTTCTTGTCTTATGTTCTAAACAACAAAGTACCTTTCAAACAGATATTTTCATTTCTTTTGTTCTACACAACAAAGTGTCTTTAAAACAGATTATATTTCTTAAGTCAATGATGAGTTTTTAATAATAACAATTTTTTGGTAAAATAGTGATTATTTTATGATGTATAATTATACAGAATGTAGTTTGCTGCACTGTGTTAAATGATACAATATTACACATTGTTGCACAATTGCCTTTTATATGAACAATTTTCCTGCTTTCTTTATCCAACCAAAAGCACTTTGCACAAATTCAAATGCTGCAATGATAAATGCACCAATTTTAACTTGGATATAGACAACGGCTTTTTGTTTTGTGTGCAAACTGGGGAAACTTAGATGCTTGGGCTTAATATGTTTTGATAAAATAAGTCAGTAAAAATAGTGTTTGTTAAATGATATAACAGGCTTGTTATATATATCAACAACTAATTTTGTACATTTTAGGGGAAAACAATTTAAGACAATTTTGTTTGTCTGGAATCAATTGGGTTAAGAAATTCAGGAGATTTGAAATAAAAACACTTTACATCCATTTTTTACAAAGAATAATGTATAGGTTAGGTACTGTTAGTTTTTTTCTGTTTTTGTTTTTAAACAAAACAATTTTTTTTTAATGTAAACTTTATCGGCTTTCTTGAAGAATTGCACATGTTAAGAAACTTTTTAATTTTGAAAAGATATAAGGAAATATATAACCGGCTGTTCCATTGAACAAAATATGGCAATTTTGCAGCAATAGCACCTGATTATTTATATCTGGAATAACCTCTGTAGATACAGGCTTGTCTAAACGCATGTTGCTATCAATGTGTCATTGTACTTTTGTTTCTAGTCACCGCATGCTAAGCAGCTTCCAACTTTAGATAGTGACAGAATATTCACTTGGAAAATGACAAATGTTAACAACGAGAATGAAAAGGTACCTGCTATTTTTAAGGAGGAAATATATGTTGAAGACCAGTCTGAACTCCAAACTGAAGAGTATTCAGATGAGACCAAAGATGCCTCCAAACCCAGAGGGCTTGAACGACAAGGAACTGGAAGCAGTGAAGAATATATACCAGAAATAACTGGAGTTGAATTTGATGCCTTTTTAATTGAGAAGAACCCAGAGCCTGAGATCTATACCGAGTTTGAGTCAAAAATTCAACCACAAGAAAATTTCCCAAAATTTACAGCAGATGTTGAAGTAGATGAGCAATCCCCAAGAGAAAAGCCATTTAAACCTGAAATTGAATTCAAAGAAGAATACCAGTTTAAAATACCTACAGAGGGTTACATGCATGAAAGACAGTATGGATATGAAGTCTCAGTAAGAACAGAAGATGAAGTTTCAGAACTGCCTGATTCTGAAATAGCTTCTCTGATATCTGATAGAAAAGCTGAAGAGAGAAGAGATTCTGATGTTTCACTTTCAGACAGGGAATATTCTGACAAAGATGATGAGAATGTTGTTATCTCAGATTATGAAGCTGAGACAGAAGTACCGTTTACACCTAAACAAGATGTAAAACTTGATAATGATAAAACAGTTGCAATAAAACCAGAAAGTTCTGAAGAGTCATCAGATGAAAAGTCAACTTCCAGTGATAGTATTGATAAAAGTCCCAAAGAGCATGAAGGCCCAGAAGGAGTTCCAGCAGAGCAAATTGATTTAGATGTGTCCTTTGAAGAATCTGAATCTCTTGGAGCTATACCTTCCAGAGTATATGGTTATCAATATATGCAAGAAATAAATAGATTAAAAGATGGACTATTGACAGAAGGTCCAGAACAATATCAAGAACCTATTAAGGTTGGGGACACTCCATCTAATATTGATGATGTGGAAAAAGTGAAACCAGCAATTTATGAAAGGCCTGAAAGACACATTGTTGCTTCTGAAAATGATAGCAGTAGTGATGAAGATGATGAGCGAGATGTGCCAGAGAAAACTAAGAAGTATATTCTTGACAGAGATGAACATGGAGCAGGAGACAGATTTGGAAGCGTACCAGAATATTATATAGCAGGTGAAAGAGACCAGAGACCAACAGATGGGGAATATCCATATGGGAAAGGTTTACCTGTACCAAAGCTGAGACTGAAAAGAGAATCATCAGATTCTGAATCTGATGTTCCTCGAGAAACAGATGAATCAATGCTTGATAATACAACTGACCTTGAAACTACTGTAGATTTCGAAAACTCTCCTCATAAAGGTGAAAGCCCTGATGCAGTTATACATATATCTGACCAGGATACACCGGGGAAAACAACTGATGAAGATTCTTCTACAATCAAAGAAGAATTTATAACTCGTGTTGACAGCTTAGAAATGAGGCCAGAACATATGATGGAAGTGAGAGAATATGTTTCATCAGAGGAAGATGAAGGTCAGAGAAATCAACCACAAGTAAGAGTAGTAGAGGATAGAAGTGAATCGCCAGAAATCCATACAGGATTTGCTGAAGAGTTGGAGTTGTCAAGAATCACTGAAGATGAAGAGCCAGAAAGTGATGATGACACATCTGAATCTGGGTCCACAACTAGTGCCGAGAGTGTAAGACAAGTAGAGATTCCATACAGAGATGAAGTACTACAGACTGTACCAGAAGAATCTGAATCAGCTGATGTTTCCATGGAGACACCACATGAAGGGGAAATAAGTGATACCTCGTTTGATGTGGAAGAAAGTTTTAATGTGGAGGGTCCACTGGCAAGGTCAACACTGGTGAGAGAAGAACTAACACCACAGGAGGTAATTCTGGGGTAGCACATTTTATCCCATTGGGGGGCTTTACAAGAAAATATGAAATTGGGTGATTAGGAAGGGCAACATTTTGAATAAGATGTCTTCATGAAAGACAAAATTATGGACACAAGTTTTAAGTTGAAATCAAACCCATCACAAAGCATGATTATTCTAACTAAATTTGTTCACCCTTTTTTTCTCCCTGTATGCTCCATTGTCTATCAGTGCTTGATGTGTTTGCATCAATCAAAGACACTATTTTGAATAAAACAATGATGAATATAAAGAAGTTCACAATGTCTATAAGCATGACCTCTGTTTTGTTGGTTTTTAAAGCAAGTTACTGTGAAAGGAAAGGTTTTTCACTGACATGCATCTGATTTGAGTTGCAGTGATTATTGTTCATGCCCCCTGTTCTTGTCTTTCCAGAGTTCAAAACTGTTTGATTGAAAACGAAAAACCCTATAAGCATGTTAATGTTGTAATTTGTTAATAATGAAAATTAATAAAACTCATGCCATGCAATATGCGCGCATTATTTTACTGGGAAAAAAAATTGGTTGCTATGTATTGCAATATTTTGAATATTACTTTTTCCACCCCATGCATTTACTATATTTAGCAAAATTTTGAATATTCCTTTCACATCCACCATGCAATATTGGAAATTGACCAACTTTTTCATCTTCCTTCAACCTTTTAATTAAAAATGAATCCAACACATTGTATTTTATATATAAGAAGAACACATGTTTTTACTAGGTGTGCTCAAATGTACAAGTTACTCAATGATTAAAGTCTGTATATTGTTATCATAAACAATACTTTAAACCAAATCATATTGGATTCTAACAAATTTAAATATATACAATTTATTAATTTGTACTTTATAAAGTTAAAAACGATAAAAATACCGAATGTGTAAGTTACAAGCAAGCGATCAGCAGTTGCAAATAATAAGGTTGGATATAAGCTGCCATACATTATAGTGAGTTCAAATGCTTTTCATTGGTATTTTGTTATATGTAATCTCTCATATATTACTTCATACTGTCTTTCATATGTGGTATGGGACAAATTTAGAAGAATAATATACCTTTACTAACAATTACAAAAATAATCCAGCAAACAACAGAAGAGGGTATGCTGTTTCAGAAGGAAACTTAAATCTGCCTTTTTATTTCCAACTAAACAATGTACAGAGTATGGAAATATTTGAATTTTTACAAATTCAAATTTTTTAATTATTTCCTTTAATGCATTTTTTCTGTTATTTTTACCCACAATTCTTAGATCACGTTGGAGGAAGAAGATACTAAAACTGTTGAAGATATCAGTGTAGAGCTTGAAGTACCAAGATTCCTGGAAGAACTTTCAGACCAGGAAGTGACTGAGGGTGACACAGTGACATTCATTATCAAGGTTGAGGGCAAACCATTCCCTGAACTTACATGGTAAATACTTTGATTTTTATCTTCTTTTCACATAAGTAGATATTAATTATGGTTGTCAACAGAAACCAGTATTTATATTAACTTTTTTTGTTATCATAATGAAAGGGTAAGAAACATTTTTAGATTATACAGTTTTGAGTATACACCAGCATTAGGTATGGTTAAAAACAAGAAAAGAAATTGGTATAATCCAGAAACAGGTAATGCCTGATTCCTTCAGACCTATGTCAACGACTTAACCTTCACAACCAAATTAGAATCTTTCCAACTTGAATTTATGCTAGAATTGAAATATTATGAAATGGATAACCCTAAAGTTAAATTTAACATTTCCAAAGTCAAATCTAACAAGTTCACTACACAAACTTAGCTAAAGATAAAAGATTTATGGAAAATTCTTGATTAAATACCTGATAATTTAATTTCTAGGTATCGTGATGGTGTAGAGATCACCCGAGATGATCGTCATGTTATTGACATACGTGGAAACTTCGCAACTCTCATCATGAAAGATATACAACCAGAAGATGATGCTGAATATTCTGTAACCGCTACTAACAAAGCTGGATCCGTGACATCGAAATGTGAACTCTTTGTAAATCCATTAGGTATGAGAATGACTTGTTTTCATTCATATATAATTTGAATAATACAGATCATTGTTATGATCGAAACTAGTCAACTTTAATTAGTCATTTTAACCTATAAAGTGGTGACGTGTGGTTTCTCTTAAGACTTTCCCTGCCTTTAGTTCATATATAATTTGTCAAGATTGTCTTTGTTTTTGTTATATAAATAAGTTTTCATTCGTCTCAAGGAAATGTTGTACTAAATATTTCATAGCCCAGATTACTTTTTTAATTAGGTTAAGTGCTAAAGTTTAAAAATCTTTCTTAATATGACTTTTTAATGTGTATTTGTATATTTTACTCACTTAATGTTTTTGACATCACACTTTACCTTGAGAATGATGCTTTATATTGAGAATTATGAAATTAAAAGTAATCAATATGTTTTAAAGGAGAAGCACCATCGTTTGTGTCAAGTATCTCCGATATGGAAGTGGAACTTGACTCACCAATCAAATTACTGTGCCAAGTACGCGGTACTCCTAAGAAAATTACCTGGATGAAAGATGGAGAAGAAATTGAAGGAGACAGATTTAAGTATGTTTAATGTTGTTTTTTCTTTATTATTTTTCTTGTTGAACCCTCATGTATTTTAAGTTCATATTGATTGGATTTCTCATTCTTGATGCATGAGATCATCATCTTACAGAGAGAGGAAGAAATAACCTTTATTGTACTGATATTTTTTTTAAAAAAGATAAAAATAATTCTTGAAAAAATTTCATTTCATTTTTAATTGACATGGTGATATAAAGTATATGTAAAATATACTCAAGATTTTTTTTCTGTATCTGAAAGAATGCCTATAGGTAAATCATTGGCGTTCCTCTAAGAGATAGTCAGAGAGTTGCAATATGACCATTGATTATTGACCATGTATTACATATTTTTGTTGTCAAAATGAGGCATTAACAAAAATTATAAAATTCTAGGATAGAATCTGAGTGGTAAGTTGGCCTGCATTACTCAAGTTAAAGTATTCTCTATTGTTATTTTGTATATTTTTATGATCAGCAATTTTTCTTGAGAAAATGTTTCTTTCTTGGTCGAATTCTTTGGTAATGTATGTGTTATGTTGTAGCATTGTGTTATAAGGTTCTTTACATGAAATGTATGTTTGGCATATGTGTATTATGCAATATTATGTATTGATGAGATCTACATAAAGATTTGGGCATTTCCTATGTATTTGTATAGTTTTATTACATAAAAATGGTGGCTAAGTTCAGTCCCTGATGCAATTTTTTGGTGAAATGGTTGGTTTCTTAAAATTTAGAAAAAGAATGTTTTAAAGAGGTTTTTTTTTGAGTATAGAGGGAATTGTGTTTGATCTGAATGGGTCAGAGGTGTTAGTTTTATAGTACTTTTTTATTCAATGTAGTTGTTTTTTGTAGAAATTTAATAAATATTTTTGTGATATGAATAAACGAACATCATTATATGCTACATGAATTAAGATTGATTGTGACATATTTGTTTTTTTACAAGGAACAAGCCTAGTCTTGCATATATGTAAGGTTTTATCACAGCTTTATAGTAGTCACATCTCTTGTAGCACATGTTTCATTGTCCGTATAGACTGATATCCAGATGTTAAAAATAAAATATGTAATTATACATTAAAGTAAATAAAATTGTTGTTTAATAACTATCATTAGTACATGTATATGATGAGTTTTAAGTGGATACTTGAATTATTTTTTTGAATGAAGTTTATTTAAACTTTAATTAGTTCTGCATTAATAGTATTAAAAGTATCACATGAATACAGCATCATTAATATCCCTCTTGTTAATAGGTATTATATTCTATGATTAACGACGGTTCTGTCGCCCTTTCAGGCAGATATTTTGATATGCTCAATACCTTATATCTTATTGTAGCAGCAAAAATATATCTTCATTTTAAGCCAACACTGATTGGCTGATTTCATAATCTAAATGTAGCACAATTTTATTCATTCTTGTAAGGGCAAGATTGATTGGCTATTACTTCTTACTAAGCCAACATTGATTGGCTGATTTCTTAATCTAAATATAGCACAATTTTATTAATTCTTGTAAGGGCAAAATTGATTGGCTATTACTTCTTACTAAGCCAACACTGATTGGCTAATTGTATAATCTAAATATAGCACAATTTTATTCATTGTAAGGGCAAGATTGATTGGCTATTAATTCAGTGGTATTTAATAAGTTCAGTGTTCTGATTAGCTGAATTTATTGCCAGCTTGTACATGCGACACCAGTAAAGTCTAATGCTTCCTGCATGCCTGCTAAGGAATTATTAACTTATAAGAATATTTTGTAATACATGTATATCAATAATATTTGTAAAAATGTATTTATTAAAGGTTTTAACACTTTATTGACAGTGGTCTCATATAATTGATATCTTAGGATAAATAAATTGTCATTTAGTTTGAATAATTCTTTACAGAATTGTTGTCATGATAAGAGCCAATCTTGTTTGATGCTGCTTTCTCCAGCCTCTAAATGTGCCTTACATGTACTCTTATTGTCTTCAACTCTTCAAAGTTACAAATGAATTTTCATAATCTTTTTGTTGTGCATGTTTTAAATTGTTTTTGACATTTTTTTCACATTTTACACAATTGTTGTCGTTCATTGTTCTGTTTTAAAAATCAATTGAGGAAAAAAAAGCTTAGAAAAAAAAGAAAAGTATAAAAAGTTCGACAAACCTGTATGTCCCCAAACAGGACACTTGACATAATCTGTACTCATACTAGATAAGTTTAAATTGTATCAATGAAGAGATCATATAATCAATTATATATCAATATATTTAATGGTTATTGAAATATTTTGCAGGACAACATACGAAGATGAGGTTGTCAGTCTAACTATCGAGAACTCAATACCAGAGGATGAAGGAGAATACACAATTAAGGCAGTCAATGATAAAGGCGTTGCCACGAGCAGTGCCGAGGTTCTGGTGCACCTTGAAGCTCCAGTTTTCACCAAACAGCTCTCAGACGTCATTATTGAGCTGTCACAAACTGCTGTCTTTGAATGTGTTGTTACAGGAATACCTAAACCTAAAGTGTCATGGCTTGTTGAAGACACCCCTATTGAGGAGGGTCCAAAATATAGCCTCAGTTACCAAGACAATGTAGCTACTCTAAAGGTGAAGGACGTATCTATGGACGATTCACCAATATTTGTAACTTGTAAAGCAGAAAATGTTGCCGGAGAAGCACGAACCTCTGCAGAACTTGCTGTTGAAGGTATTTACATATAGAAAAGTACCATAGCTATGTAACTTAATAGTGACTTCTTAACAGTTTGTACCCATCATGTAACCAGGACTAAAATAACAAACAGTTGCCATGGAAATAATTTTCAAGATTTTATATAAACAGTTATGATATATACATATATATTTATATGTTTGGGTCCATTTGTTAATTTTAAATAATTTTTATGCCTTAATGTCTTTGAAAAAAAATCTTATTCATGTTACCATGGCAGCTGAAACTCTCCAACTTGCATTTTTCTTATCCATTGTTCATTATTGAACCACATCAGATCATCAGCTTTCTCATTTTGTTCATATTCTTATTGGAAATATTTCATCTACTTGTTTTGCTCAATTCTAGACTAGTTTAGACAGTCTTAGACATATGTTCATAATAACCAAGTATTAAAACATTAAATTGTTATATTGTAAAACAAGACATGCATTTTGTATAGGAGATTTATGTGGTATTATACATTTTGGACTTTGCAAATAATATTCAAAATACTTGTTGTTATGAGTGTTAGTGGTGATATAATGTACCATTGTGGCAAGTATGCAGTGAAGTTGTTAATCTGGGCTCTGTGACAATAATCTGCATTTTAGTATTTTGATAAAGAAATCCTTTAAATGACTGTTGCATTGCTTCAAATTCTCAGTAGTGACTATGGTCGAAACCAATGCCAACATGAGTCATCTATGTATATGTATCAACCATTCTACTTGACAGCATTTTAAATGATGCCTCTGTTTTGATAAAAAGTGAAATTTAATATAGCATCAGATCTTGTTTAGTTTGATGAATTGTTTTTATTTTTATTATGCCACCGCAGCATCTGCGATGCGGTGGCATATAGCGATTCACCTGTGTGTGTGTGTGTTTGTTTGTTTGTGTGTTATATAGATTATATAGTGAACTTAAAAAATCTTCTTGTGAAAAACCACTAGTCCAATTGAGACCAAACTTGGCAGGATTGATCCTTGGGTGAAGGGCTTCCAAAGTTGTTCAAAGAATTTCATTCCATGCAGAAATCTGGTTGCCATGGCAACCAAAAGGAATTATAAGAATAAATTTAAAAAATCTTCTTGTAAAGACCCAAAAGGCCTAGAGCTTAGATATTTTGCATTAGGCATTGTCTGGTAGACCTCTACCAAGATTGTTCAAATTATAGCCCTGGGGTCAAAATTGGCCCCCGCCCCAGGGGTTATTGATTTTCACTATATGTACATATAGTAAAAACTTAAAATACCTTCTTGTAAAGACCCAAAAGACCTAGAGCTTAGATATTTTGCATAAGGCATTGTGTGGTAGACCCTTACCAAGATTGTTCAAATTATAGCCCTGGGGTCAAAATCGGCCCCGCCCTGGGGGTCATTGGTTTTCCTTATATGTACATATAGTAAAAACTTTAAATACCTTCTTGTAAAGACCCAAAAGGCCTAGAGCTTAGATATTTTGCATAAGGCATTGTGTGGTAGACCCTTACCAAGATTGTTCAAATTATAGCCCTGGGGTCAAAATCGGCCCCGCCCTGGGGGTCATTGGTTTTCCTTCTATGTATATAGTAAAAACTTATAGTCAAAACTTTAAAAAAATTTCTTCTAGCAATTGAAAAATGCTAGAGGTTAGATATTTTGCATGAAACATTGTGTAGTGAACCTCTAGCAAGACTGTTCAAATTATAGGCTTGGGGTCAAAATTGCCCCCGCCCCAGGGGTCATTGATTTTCAATATATACATATAGTAAAAAATCAAAAAATCTTATTGTCTGAAGGTACAAGGCTTCAAAAACTTAAAATACCTTCTTGTAAAGACCCAAAAGGCCTAGAGCTTAGGTATCAATACGGTGGCATAGCATTTTTCTCAAATGCAATCTTGTTTTGTCTTGTATAATCTTTTGTTTGTCATGCTTTATGTTAAATGTTGCATCCATCATCATCATCATCATCATCATCATCACCATTTACAATATTATATTAACAACAATACAGCCTCTGTATTAATACTTTTTTTCAATATAAGCGCTCGAATTATTTGGAGTGTATATTCCCGCATGTCGTTATCTTTGTTGTGTTTTTTTTACTGAAGAGAATTATCAATGATATTAGAAAAGGTTTTATAAGAAAAATCATATTTACTTAGAATTTAGAAAACTTGTTAAAATAGATTGCTGCAAGCATATAACCAAAAAAAAAAAAAAATTCAAAATTTGTACAAAATGTTTAATTTAACTTTAATTATACTCACTTTCCAATGTTTGGATCAGTTTGAATTTAGCTAATCTAGCATTTGTTTTATGCATTTTTGAAAAAAAAAATGTTTGCTTGCTTTTTCATATGTCATGTCCATTTATTCCATGTTTTTAATTTTTGCACCATGAGTTTTGTTCATAGTTCTGAATGATGTTTATATGGACTTTTTTGCAATGTGAATTGACTTTGGTGTGAAGAAATTATTTTTAACTAAGTTTTCTTGTATGTAAAAACTTGAGAGAGAGAAAAGGCATGATGAAAAACTGATGGCTATGAAATTGTCAGAAATTTTTACATATTATACTGTTGTTAGCATTTGAAGTGTGGTACATAGCAAATACAAATGTACAGGCTATTTTGTTGTGTTTCATGATCCTGAATTATGAGCAAGATATGGTTTGTTCTCCTATTTACATATAGATAAAAAATTGTCACAAATCACATCTCCACCAGTATAGGTTATCATACATTCCTTCATCATTTTTTTACCTTTAAGTTTTATTGTACTATATTCTGGTCCATTGATTGCATATCTGTTATCTGTCATATAGTCTGGACATGGTCACTTTTATCCCCGGACCTTCCTCATATTTCATATTATATTAGTTATAGTAAAAGTTTCAAAACAGGTTCACGTCCATCATTACATTTCATTTAAGTTAGACCTGTTTTTTGTGTGTGTCAAGCCAAGTATTGTTATGATATTGTATTGGCAGTGTTTGAGGGGAGCGGTAGATTGTTGGTTAAAGTTTGACTCCCTCCCTACACTGGGATCATGGCTCTACTGCGGGACATGATAACATGTTTTCCAAATATCACAGTCCAGGAAGTTGACTGATAATAATAAGGTCATGTTTTGATCAATATGTTTAACTTTGTAAATCAACTCAACTTGTAGTCATCAGTGTTTTATTCAGGAGACGTGCTGTTGTTGTTTTTTCCGCCTCATTCCAGAAAAGATTTATATATTTATGATAAGTTGTCTACATTTTATCAAACATTCCAGTGTTAAATGCAAGTGTTAATTGTATATAGATTATTATACACTGTTCATACATATTAATGACACATATATCTGTATAATTTTAGTAAATATTTAGATCTGATTCACCTGATTAAATTAGTGTTCATAATTCATTTATCTTTTTTTGTTTACAATATTCATTCCTGTATATGTGATATATATATAAATAGATCTATATCTTATAATTGTTAACATAGAATATATTTTTCAGTACATTATAGAAGTAACTTTTGTTATATTATCATGATAGAAAAATATATATAAGCTTTTATCTACATGGACGTCAGTTGACAATAAATTGATAAATCAAGAGAAGTTTACTCCTGAGAGCAATATATACATTTTTTTATATGGATTGTCTCCCTTTGAAGATCTTTTTTCTTAAAATTTAGGAGAATAGTTTATTCAGTTTATGATGAGATAATTCATGTATGAAATCTGCTTGTGAAAATAGAATTGCAATAAAACCATTATTAACAACCTGAAGTTTTTTTGTTTTTGCTCCCTTAGCATAGGGTTTGTACATTAGAGAAGTTTGTTTTATGCTTGTTGGTGAGTCTGTCTGTCTGTGCTGCATGGTTAGATTGGAATGTTGAATAAAGTTACTCTGTAAAGTAGGTATCTAACCTTACATCAAGGCTGTCAAAGGAATGTGATGCATGTAATAAACTAACAAATGAAGTATCTGTTGTAAAAGTAATGTAAATGCAGTCATGTTATAGCAGATAAATGTCACTGTAATGAAAAAAATAACATTGTGAACAGCAAAATTTAATGCACATCATAAATCTGTATTAAGAGTTCATAAATCTATGGAGTAGTTAAACAAATGGTTAAATAAAAATTGTCAAAAAGATATCTGAGCTCGGGGAAACATATAATCACAAAAAAGATAATAAATAAATAAAGAGATTATTGTAAATATTTATGTTGAAATGAGGAACAATCTTGAGCAGTTGTAATGAACCTAATTTGCATAAATCCTTGTATTATATTAAATAAAGAGATTAAAGTCAGTATTGTTTCTGTAAAGGCCTGTATTTAAACTATAGTATAGAAGAAGGCAGGTAGATCTTCAAACTGTCCGATTACTCTAGATCTCAAACTACCAATTTATTGAACTACTAAAGACTTTATTGTGATAAAAATTTCTGTATAAATTATTCATGTGGTGTGAACAATAGGCCATTATTAAAATCAAATACCAGGGTTAATAATTCTACATGCCAAATAAAGAGATATTTAGGTGTACCAAAGTTGGCATACAGGCTATCTAAGGTATTTCAGATAGTACACGTCATTATAGGTGACCGTAGGGTCCTTACCTGGATATTTGTGACAGGTGAAATAGATCATTTGGTCACTTTATGTGCAATTAAATTGGTATAAAATGTAAAACTTTATGGTTACTGTATAGCTAACAAGCTGTTAACTTGGACACAAATGGCAAACTTTTTCTTGTATGATTAACTTTTTATATGATTGGGGTAAGGAGGGGAGGTTGGTACAAAATTTGCTTGCAGGACAGACTGAAGCTAGGTACAGAATTGGACAAGGATTGTTGTGGGGTTTTTTATGTAGAAAATACTGTTTTTATACAAATAGCACTGCAAATATTGTGAAGACCAAATTCTTTCATTAAGATTGTTTTCTTGGTAGAAATGCTGACTTTTTTTTTCAATTTAAATATGACCTTTGTAAGAGGTATTAAAAACAAAACATTGATATGTATGTAACAAAATAAAATCTGGTGTAAAAGAAAAAAACAGTCTTATGTCAATAGAATAAAATAATCCTTACGATACATAATGTTACAAAATCTCTTAAAATAATCTTAAATAACCATCTCTTGAGCCTAATTTACAATCAAAGCGGTAAAATATGTCACGCAGCCACACTCGATATACAATCTTTGCTGAATGTTGAAGAAAAAAAAAACGGATATTGACTCAATTTAAGCAGATTAGGGTTAGGTTGGACGTTTAAACATATAACTTGAAAAACATTTTGTGGTTTTCAAGTTTTAAGACAGGAAGTTATTATTATGATTTTGAAGTGCTTGTTTACATTTTATTTTCTGACAAAGGTTTTTTATCAAATGTGCAATAAAGTCTTGTCATTTTAACAGTATTGAATTGTTAGAAAAAAAAATTACCTGCATTTGAATGTCTTAAAAGTCTTACTGGTATTTTAACTATTTAACAGATAGTAAATAAGATACTTTAAACATATAAAGAGTGGTGTATATTGAATACCTAGCGTTACTGTGTTTATCCGCTATATGATCTAACATATTATGTTTAACTTAACTAAATAGATAATTTCATAAGATAATATTTAAAAAAAGAATAATATTCCATGGTTGACATCTCAAATTCTTCACCAATATAAAGTTCAGTAATATAAGCTCGTTAATGCAGTATTGTGTATTATTCTAAAAGTAAAGACGGCTAAAATCTTAGATATTCTCAAACAGTTCACTGCCCGTTTTAATGTCCTTTTAAAGGCATTCTTTGGTCTCCACAATTCACTTCGTCTATTCAGACGTTGTAACAATGCCTTATAATCTAATACTGAGCAAGTTTAAGGAGGAGACCTGCTTATATATTTATAAATGTTGACCTTTGACCTGTTATATCATCAGGAAATGGGGACATTTCATTGGTTGAGGGGGTGTTTAAAGTATGGTGATGAATATTCATGACATTAAAAGGTTCATTTAATGTAAATGAAGTATACTGATATGTTAATGTGATATTCAATTAGTAAATTTGTGTAGTTTTTGACAAGCAGGTGTTCTGGGGGATCAATTAGTAATAGGAAAGAAACAACATGTAACTAATGCTTTTATTGTATTAAGAAACCTGATCATCTTGTTAACTGAATTTTGATGCGAGACCAAACAAAAATTTATGTGTTGATGGTCATCAAAAAAGAAAAAAAAAAATACTTAAAAGTTAATTTAATTTTTTCTTTCATATAATTATAGTGTATCACTATAAATCTATTATTAGAATCACTTTTTATATGGCTGTTTCACCTGAGTTAATGTGTACCTTTAAGATGAAGTTAATTATATATTCAAGCTCTGCATGAGTTGTTGACATTCTCAATATTAATATTTAATTTTCATGATAAATTCAACACAAGATCTGTGGCCCAATACCAAACTTTATTGATTATACCTTAAAGGGACTCAACTGACATTTTTTTTTACTTGATGAGACTGGTAATAATTTTTTCGTGATTTATGTTCAAATAACTTGTGTGCGAAATTTGAGATCATTTGCTCAACCTGTTTTTCCTGAATATTTATTTTAATTGTGAAAAAATGAGACATAATTAAAGTGTTGCAACGCTTTTCACTCAAATCGGGCTAAAAATAGCACAAAAAATATGATTATCAATGTGTGTCCGAGTATATTTTCTTTATTATCTGTAGCATATCTTTCTTTTTATGTTCCCAAACTCATCTATGTAAGGAATTTAATTCTCACCTTTTAGACCTTGGTGGAGTTCCTTTAATGTAAAAGACAAAATTATTTTCAGTATCGTTGTTTTTTTGATTTTTTTCCTATTCTTTTGTCAATGAACAAACACATCAAACTTCAGAACATAACAGAATCATTTGATTGAACAGGTGTCTATAAGAATATTCATTTAAACTAAAATTTTAATAATTAAGATACTACAAATATGACAATGCATGTTATAGTAGTATTTTATTAATTCAGACTTGTCTATGAATTTATTAACAATTTAAGGTATAATAGGCTGTTTGATAAGGAAGACATTTTGTTACAAATTTGTAATAAGGAAATTATATTTTTTATAAAAGATTTAAAAACTTTATTTAATATTTATTGACCCTCTCAACAAATCTGTGTGGTATGCTTAAATACTATTTTAGGAAGATATATTGGGAGGAATTTATTGACATGGTGGGATAACACCAGAAAAACAAAATGACAAATAATTATATCTCAAGATAAAGATGTACAATTTTAGAGAAGATTTTAGTTAACATACATGATGGCAACTAATGGAACATGACTGATAGATGAGGACATTAAATGGGTACCTGAATCACCTGGTGGTTTCACCTTGGGCGAAATAGTCACTTAATGTGATAGTACACTGGTGGAACACTGTGGTAATTGGTACATTATCAAACTGGGTGATTTATGTAGTAATGTTTAAATTGTTAATAAACTTGAAGCATTAAGAAAACATAACGGAGATGGACATTATACATGTATATTAATGATTTGTTGTTCATCTTAAACTATTAATTGTATAAATTATGATAAGTTCATAAATAAATTTCAAGCAAAAATTGTGTAATTTTCTTGTTCCTATTAAATAGAATAAAAACCTGTCCAATAAGCCTTATTATCTCTTTCCAGATTAGCTTAATTAATGAAAAAATAACATTTATTCAATTTTGTTACTTTTTATATACACTATTCATCTTTTATATCATTTATTTTTCTTTTTACTTTTGTTTCTTCATTTTTTGTTTGTTTCATCCTTATGTTTTTGCATGATGCTTGATTGTTTGTGAATTAATTGTTTTGAACATTTAAATTTTATATTTTCATTACTTGGTTAATCATTTAAATCATCATTATCATCATCATAATCATCATTACTATAATTGTTATGATTGTTGTAGTGTAAAATATAATTACAACCAATAATAGATAACTAATGATGTCATAAATTTTTTATCTAATGATGTCATATTTGATAACTAATGATGTCATAATTGATACCTAATGATGTCATAATTGATAACTAATGATGTCATAATTGATACTTAATGATGTCATAATTGATAACTAATGATGTCATACTTGATAACTAATAATGTCATAATTTATAACTAATGATGTCATAATTGATAACTAATGATGTCATAATTGATAACTAATAATGTCATAATTGATAACTAATGTCGAAGTAATCATTTATAACTAATGATGTCATAATTGATAACTAATGAAGTCATCATTTATAACTAATGAAGTCATCATTTATAACTAATGAAGTCATCATTGATAACTAATGATGTCATAATTGATAACTAATGATGTCATAATTGATAACTAATGAAGTCATCATTGATAACTAATGATGTCATAATTGATGACTAATGAAGTCATAATTGATAACTAATGATGTCATAATTGATAACTAATGATGTCATAATTGATAACTAATGATGTCATCATTTATAACTAATGATGTCATAATTGATAACTAATGATGTCATCATTGATAACTAATGATGTCATTATTGATATCTTATTATGTCATAATTGATAACTAATGATGTCATTATTGATAACTAATGATTTCATAATTGATAACTAATGATATCATAATTGTTAACTAATGATGTCATAATTGATAACTAATGTCAAAGTCATCATTTATAACTAATGATGTCATAATTTATAACTTATGATGTCATAATCCATATTGTTACCATCACTGTCATCCTTTATATGTTTATATTTCTTTAGTTTCTATAAACAAGTTAAACATATCTGTAAAATAATGGTTTATCATTATCATATTTATCATCATCATCATCCCTAGCAGGTTAGTGTATATATTTCCTTTATCTTTTGTTGATAAGGTTTATGCATGTCAGTATATTCATTACAGGAACATCATTTTGATTATCAAATTATGTTTCCCTGTCAAGTTAAATCATTTACTAACATCAATATCTAACTTCCCTATTACATATCTATTTCTCTAATTTAAATGCATGCTCATATTCTATGACAACATTTAATGATTCATCCCAAAGATATGTTTCAGTAATTGCTTTAGATTATAATTATTATACAAGGGAAAAAACTCTTATTTGCCTTGCATTAAATGGAAATGAGTTATCTTTCTTAAACCACAATATACAAGGGAGAAAATATATTTATCTTACATTAAATAAGGAATGAATTATCTTTCTTGAGCTATAATTGCATATTTGGATTAAAAAGCTAAAGATTTGTTTTTGCATAGTCATTAAAAAGTTAATGTTTGTATAATATTAGAATATCAATTTATTGCAAATGAATTTCCTTTTACAGTTCCCAAAACAGAAAGTCCAGTACCTGAAAAAAGTGAGTATTTATATTAGGTATATTAAATATACATTATACTACATGTATATTGTTTTAAATTGCAAAAGTCCCCGGTGTTTTATTTTAATTCAAACAGGTTGTATGCTAAATATAATAAGCAATTACATGGGCTGACAATTAAAGTTTTATATTTACAAATCAAATCAATATAATTCTTTTCTTGGGGAAATAAAAGATTTTAATATGCACTTACAAAGAAAAAAACAAAATATTAAAAGGATCTTACACCGGCTGCCGGTACAGACCAGATTATCTGGCTGTAAAATAACTGTTAATAGGCTGATATGAGACTCTGCCAAATTTCCGCTAAATAACCCGAGAGCTAGATATTCTGGTCCGTATTGGCAGCCAGTGTCTGATCCTTTTATTTGCATATTATATGTTAATCATAATTAGGAAAGAAATAAAGACGACTAATAATTTCATACAGCACATTTTTGTGTCGCCTTGAAAAGGTGACATATAGGGGTTACTTTTGTCGGCGGCGTCGGCGGCGTCTGTGTCGTTGTCGGCGTCCCCTAAAGCTTGTCCGGAGCATAACTCAGTCACTGTAAGTCTGATTGACTTCAAACTTGGCATGCATGCTTCTTTCAATAACCCGAAGTGCAGTGCACAAGGACCGGTACTCTGCAGTTCTTATTTTTTGAGTTATTGCCCTTTGTTAATTTTCATACTTTATTTTTGTCCGGGCCATTTCTCTTCAACTAAAAATGCTATGGACTTGAAACTTCATAGGATGATAGATCTCATTAAGAAGAAGTGCAGTGCACAAGAACTGGTACTCTGCACTTCCTAATTTTTGAGTTATTGCCCTTTGTTTATTTTCATACTTTAATTTTGTCCGGGCCATTTCTCCTTAAGTATAAAAGCTATTGACTTGAAACTTCATAGGATGATAGATCTCATTTAGAAGAAGTGCAGTGCACAAGAATCAGTACTCTTCATTTTTTAATTTTTGAGCTATGGCCCTTTGTTAATTTTCATACTTAATTTTTGTCCAGGCCATTTCTCCGAAAGTTAATAAGTTATGGACTTGAAACTTCATAGGATGATAGATCTCATTAAGAAAAAGTGCAGTGCATAAGAACTGATACTCTGCATTTCTTATTTTTTGAGTTATTGCCCTTTGTTGATTTTCTTACTTTATTTTTGTCTTGGTCATTTCTCCTCAAGTATGAAAGCTATGGACTTGAAACATCATAGAATGATAGATCTTATTGATAAGAAGTGCAGTGCACAGAAACTGCTGCTCTGCACTTATTATTTTTTTAGTTATTGCCCTTTGTTATTTTTCATATTTCATTTTTCCTGGCCATTTCTCCTAAACTACATTGTTCACAAGGCGACACATCCGACTCGCGGAGTTCTAGTTCTTATAGTAGCATAATTATGAATTGACAACTTCATTCAAAACAGCAAATGGACATCATTCTAAGAATGCATCATTCATAAAAGGCGCACAAAAAAGACATCAGTTAAAGCACGCGACCTGTCTCACACGGGGTTGTAAGACAGATTTTCATCTAGCACCGATATAAACAGTAGTTTATCCTGTCTGATATGCTAAAAATAAGTACCGGGGTACTAAAAAGCTACAAACTAGAAATGCTCGATGTTTTATCCAATTTTTAATTCGTTGGAGATTAAAGAATTAACTTAAGGATCTTATACTTAATCTGAAAACGAGAACGCAATGCCATAATATGCTAATCTAAATGAAGGATTAACAAAATAATAATAATAAAGTGTCAAGTTTTTGAGGATTTTACAAAGAGAAACCTCCTCTCATGAAAGTGTTATTATATATATAGATATATAAATCATAGTTTATGTCGACATCATTGGAACTTTGACAGAAAGTGCATAAAGTCAAAATGCTCATTTTTAAAACGTTTAGATTTAGAAATGCAAAACATTGCATAGACAAAAGAGAATTGTAATGGTGCTTAGGCAAAAGAAAATTGTAATGTTTGTTTTAATGCGAGAAATAGAAGTTAAAATGAAATAAAGGTGAAATATGGCATTGTTGTTGTTGATGACTCGTAAATGAACAAGTGGATATATATGGATTAGATATGGAATGGTTTCTGTGAAGTTATTTAATGTATTAAGTTTTTGTGTCATTTTGGAATCAAGAAAGAAGCATGGTTTCAAGCTGGAGGGATAGGAATAAAGTTTTCATAAATATATTTTGTAATGTGAGAATTGAAGATATAATTCTGATATATAGCAATAGAAATGGTAAGATTCTAAGAAATGTTGTTTAAAATCCAAACTAGGAGAAATGCTAGGAAGCAGATGAACTTTAAAGGTGTTTTTATCAAATGGGAAATTATTTAAAAAAGAATTGAATTTATGGAAATAAAGTTTTCAATACATGATTTTTTTAACGATTCAAGTTAAGATATTAATTTCAAATTGTTACTTTTTTTAAATAATTTTAAAATACGTGTATTAAAAAATATTTGAATTATAAAAAAAGAGAGTAAAACATGATATCAGTAATTTATTTACTGTAACAGTCGTACTTTTCATAAAATTTAAGTTATTTTTTTAAAAACAATCCAAAAGAAAAATTCAAATCAAAGATAAGTCAGCATAAAAAATTGTCCAAAATATAACCAGAACAATAGATTTTAACTTTTATGTAATTCTTGCAATTATATCCAAATTGTCTCCTTTATTTGTGGTGTAATTATCTACTTTCAGAAACAGAAAAGGTCAAGAAAGATGACACAACAGCTGTTGTCAAACCGGAGGGCAAGAAACCCGAGTTTGTTCTCAAGATTAAAACACAAACAGTAAGTTGACATTATTAAATACATCTTTCAGCTATATATATTCTAAATGAATCTAAAATTTTTGGGATTCTGTAGCCAAGTGGTTAAGGCGTTTCACTTCAAATCACATAACCATCGTCACTTTGGGCTCTTATCCGCCCTGAGACATTGATATTTTTAAGAGGAAGCTATCTAGATTACTACAAAGTAAATCATTAGTTTTACCGTAGTAATCCTTTGTGTTTTAATTATGATGCAGAGAGGTCTTAAGGTCCTCAACTACCAGATAATATGAAAAAATCTAAAATGAATCTTAAGTAGTGAATATAAGGCTTTAAAATATATACAGAAAAAATTAGACATATTTTACAAAATATTTAGACAAATTTTGACAAAATATTTAGACAAATTTTTGTTCTTTTTTTGTACAGCTTGATGAGGGTGACCAGGTTGACTTTAACTGTGAGGTTATTGGTGAACCTAAGCCTGACATCAAATGGTTATATAATGGTGAGGAAGTGAAATCCGAGGGCAAGTATATGATCTACGAGGAAGAATGTCTTCATCACCTCGAGATAACCGATATCGTACCGGAAGATGCTGGAGAATATATGGTGAAGGTAGAAAATACCCTCGGCAAGGCAACTTGCACAGCTCAGTTACAAGTTATAGGTAATTTTATTGGCTATTTAAAAATATTTGGTTTTAAACATACTTGTAAGTTTTTACAGTAAATTTTATTACGATGAATTAAGAGCTTGATATGTTTTCCAGGCAATGTCCCCAATTTGTGTCCCTTCTCTGTACTATCAATCTATACTAAGGATCTTTCCCTGTACAGTCAAACTCACACACCAATATACTGTAGGTATGTTTCCCTTTGGATGATGTATAATATTTTGATATACTTAATGTATGGAGTATGATGAGTTAGTTTATTAATAAAAAGTACATTTACAGTTGCTTATTAGTTGTCAGATCACAAACAAAAATCTTCCTCTAAAGGCAAATTGGATGATTTACTACAGGCCTTTTTGACTCACTGTGTGGATATAACACCAAATGATTTTCCTCTATTCTCTATTTATTAGAAAAACCCAAAGAAGAAGTACAAAAACTTGAAGCACCAAAATTCACAATTGAGATTCAAACTGTAGAAACAACAGTGGGTGAGAAGGCTTCATTCTTCTGTAAAGCCAAGGGTAACCCCGTACCAAATATCCTTTGGTACAAGGAAGACAAAGAAATCACCAAAAAAGACAATAGGTTTACCATAGAACATGGAAAGGAAGGGGATTCCTCGTTACTTATTATAGATGTTATCCCAGAGCATGATGGGAAGTACATGGCTGAAGCTAAAAATGAGGTTGGAACAGCCACAACTAAAGCTGAGCTCTTTGTTCATGGTACATATCAATTTTTGATTTTCACAATTTTTCAAAATTGACACTGATGAAATAAAGTTCAATCAAAATATTTGTGCTCATTTTTCCCCCCTTTTTACTTGGTAATTTATTACAAACTTGTGGATTTCATACTAACTAAAAGATTAAATTGAATAAAAATTTTATTGGATTGTAACATTGACATGGAAAGTTGGATGAAAATTTGAAATCATTATAGGAATCATTGGTTCAAGCCCTTCTCGGGTCACGATCATGATTCCTCATATGACACCAATACTGGTTAGTTCCAGGAAGCACGCTCAAAAGTGATTAATATAAGTTGTAAGAACTTGTTTTGCAATCAAGCTAAAATATTTTTAAATTAAAGTCTTAATCGTCATGCCAATAAAATGCTGCGTAAGTTGGTACTAAGGAGTGAATTATATCCCTGCTATATATTAACATTTGATAGACGTCCTTTAATGTTTACATTTTACTCATGTATTCCCATGTTGTAATATCAAAGTACTTAAAGTATTTTTTGTATTACAGATAAAGAAGAGACCTATGCACCAGAATTTATCAAATCACCCACTGAAGTCATATCCAGGGAGCGTGACCGTGCCCAGTTCCTGGTCAAAGTCATAGGCATGCCTAGCCCTACAGGTCAGTCATTTTCGATATTTAATTAGAAATTATACTAAATATGATAATTAATTTGTAATAAGTGAAGTGTTATTATCAACTTTTTCATTCTGGCAATGATAATTTATAAGTTGCTTGTAACTATTAGCAGTAGAAAATCAAGCCAGTCTGTATGTTCATACCGCTGTCAGCTAAATTCATCAAGTTTGATATGGTAAATAAATGATAATTTTTAAATTTTTGATATTTGACCTTGTGCCAGATTTTTGTATAATCGAAAATAATAAAAATGTAACTGAGTTCTTGAAGTGATAAGAAATTTAAGTAAGTTTGTTCTGTTTCTTGTTAGGTTGATTTTATAAGAAAAAGTCAGAAATTACTATTTGACCAAAAGACAATCGCATTTTGATAGCCAATTTTTAACTTTTCATGATGCATTTTAGTGACCTGGAAGAAGGATGACAAGCCTCTGGATGACACAGATCTTTATCATATTGAGAGTTACGAGGATACTTACTGTTTTGAGATCAAGGACACGAGCCCTGAAGATGCTGGCACATATACTTGTGTTGCTACCAATGAAGTTGGTGAAGCTATCTGTGAAATACCTCTTGAGGTCAAAGGTTAGTACTCCCAACATTCAAATTTTTCCTTTATGATAATATTTATAAATTCCAAATATTATCTTTTCATAAAAGTTTTTCTTTATATCCCTTTGTAGCGTATTCATGTAGAAGTGTGCAGTGATATAGTGTAATCTGTAGACCTTTTAGTAACATGCAAAGCTTTTTCTTTTTAGTGATCTTTTAAAAACTTTTTTATCCTTACTTTATACATGTGTTTCATCATGTGGATACATGTATTTCATGAACACGTGTAGTCTTCCTCATGTTTGTAAATCTGTCTTGTTGTCTTCTCTTACCTTTAATCTTCATCGAACAATGTAGACATTTTACAAGAACGTGATCCTTGTTATTTGATCTTTGAATGTTTGAACAAATGTATCATTTGTTATGAGATAACGTGGATGGGGGTCATACTGGAATCAGTCAGTCCATCTGTCCACCTAGATGCTTGCAGAAATCATAATCATAAAGAAGAAAAATATCGCTTTTCCACCAATTCTTATATTTTTCATTTGTTATTGTACATAAATCTTTGTAAAGAGATAAATAAAACACCTTATAGTGCGTTTCGGCATCTGAAAAGGCCAGATTTTAGCATTTAATCATTCAAGCGCCTTGTCCATTATATATCGGAATTCCTGTATTTTAATGTGGTGCTCCAAACACTTTTTTTGAACTCGCTCATAACTATTTCTTTAATAGATATTAATTCTATCAGTTAACCTTTTTACAAGATGTCATCTTTAAAACACTCCTGTTGACATGTAGAAATGTCTGTTTTTCATTTATCATAACCATGTTCTGTGTAATTCATATCTATGTTCCTAATAATCATCATGGTAAATTTTATCATTTTTTGTGTACCCATGCTTATCATTATTCACTTATCAATCCCACAATTCTTAGGAGACAATGATCTACTTATTGAACCAGAGGAGGGTATGTATAAAACATTGCCAACTATCAGAATATATAAATTATTATCATCATGTTTTATGTTGTGGCGTATTATATATGTATTGTTTATTTTCATCATTATTGATGTCATCTTAAATATGCCGGTTGTGTAAATTTCACAATATAAATTTATTGTTAAAGTTAATAGCACATAATAATAGGTATAATTTGAGTTATATTTTTCAAAAATTCTAAAACTCTTAATCTTTTTTTTTTTGAGAATATAAAGATTTTTTTATTCTTCCAACAATGGAAAAATACAAATTTGAAACTTTTCTACCAGTTATTCAATGTTTAAAGCAGCATGCCTCTAGATTTATGCAAATTATCATGAAAATTCTGAAAAATTTATTAAAAGTTATATATTATGCAATGAACAAAAAAAGTAATTTTGTTCATTGTTGATTTTCTTGAAATATTGTGGCTCATCTGGAGGCATGCAGCTTTAAGGCAAAGAACTTTAAAAAGTTCAGAAATATTTTAGTTTATAGCTGGCATATCAAGATGACATTAAATAAATATGTAGTCGTTTTGTTGTCATAAAGCATCCATTTAATCAGACAGAAATGGTGCTGGTTGAAAAAAGGAAATAACAAATCTTATATATTCAAGTTACAATAAGAAACAGTTTTGTTTTATTGTAGAATCAGTATCTACAATGCATGTTTTGTTAATTATTTGGGTTTTTTGTCTGAATAAAGGTTTATTGAGCAACATAATTGTAACTGCCTCAATACCAGGGTGCCCGACATACATAAGGGTTTCACATGATATTTTTTGCTTATGTAAAATGTAAAGTCATATGATTCAATCAATGTTTGATAAAAACATGTATTTTTTTCCATAGAACTTGGCAAATATTGTCCTGATTCCAGTAGTTACTTTATTATTATTCCTATAAAGCAATCAATTTCGTTGAAGTGTGGTCAAGAAAAATATCAAAACCTCACTTGACTGTCTTCTATAGACATGATACATTAAAAATTATTAGATATTTTACAGTGTGTTTTGGTGCATGTTTTTCATTAAATTTAAGTTGTTACAATTATGTTGTACTATGAAACTCATTATTTTTATGGACTGTCTAAGAATATTTAAAATCATTATGATTTTTTTGGCACCAAAACATTCAATATCTACTTTGAGTATTGGTACTTTTATTTTAGTGTTTAACAACAGCATGCATAAGATTTTATGGTCTATGATTTTTTCAAAGACATTTTATAAGAAAACTTTCTTGGAGCTTCTTGGAGTGAGGTTTTTTATCCACAATGGAAAAAAAGATTTATTTTCATAGAGAATAGTTGCTTAGAAGAAATATTATTTGAATGCATTGATATTTTGTAACAAAAAAATAGAAAAATTAGACAATAACTTGCATGTAAGGAAGCGAATTTTCATAACATATGAAAATGTTTGTAAATCAATTGAATAAAAGCCTGTATTTATAGGGGAAAAAAGAATAAAATCTTGGTTGAAATATTTACATTTTTATGTAAATTTTGTAAATGACACTAAATTTATTATAAATTTATTGAACGTATTTCTTTAAATTTTACCAACTTTTATGCAAAACTTAAATACAGAACTTTTTTTGAATACAGGCTTTTAATGAGACATTTACAAAGAAAAGAGAGTATTTTATTTATCATTGTTATTTATTTAAGAAAAATGAGATTAATAATGAAATTTTCATTCACTTTCATTTAAGTAAGTATTTCATCATTCAGTTATGTCTGGTTACCAATTTTGCAATATCATATTTGGTAAAATTATATCATACTGTATCATTTTTCTTCACAATTATATCATATATAAGTTTATCAATCAAACATCATAACTTAAACACTAGTTCTAAATGAACCAGAGAAACATTTCTATTTTCGAATGGTTCTAAATAATAAAGTTCAACATTTCAATTGTAGAACTGTTTCCAAAAAAGCTACCAAACACTTCAAATTTAGACTGTTTTACAAAGATTACAAATTGTAAGGTTTGTTAGAACGTTCGACATAAACGTTTACTTATGTTGTATTTCAGTTACTCGTGATGAAAGGATCACAGAATCACCTCTTGTGCTCAGATCTCAGGAACTCTCACAACCACCAGAATTTACTGAAACTCTCACTGATATTGTAAGATATTTACTTTTTCCTTATTTTGATAATATATTACTTTTTTCTTTTCTTAAATTGATCATTTTGCCATTTTCTGTTTTCTCAGTATGTTTTCAGTTGAATACTTTACAAATGGAAAATCACAAGTTTGTCAAATTATAACAAATTAATTATGCATGGGGTATCATTTTGTGCTGAAAGACAATTTTACCTGCATGTATTCAGTCAACTTTTATATGAGAACTGTTATGAAATTATAATATCCTTGTTAAATTAAGGTAATAGCTGTCTTTAAAAGTTAGCAGCAGGAAAGTTTCTATCAGATATCAACAAAAACTGACCCAAATATCACATTTTCATATACCAGACTCATCTTATACAAGGGTGAAAATAAAAATAAAACCTGTGAGATATCATTGAAGTTGGGGCTGTGTCTGATAAGAAAATGTATGGTACAGTATACCCGGTAGATATGATATATTAAATTGTTAATTTCAGACTGCAATGGAAGAGAAACCCATGACCTTGACTTGTAAGGTTGTTGGATTACCAAGACCAGAAGTAGCCTGGCTCAAGTAAGTCTTCGTGCGTTAAAAATTGTGAAATAGCAAGAAAAATATTGGTAAAATTACACCATTTTGAATATTTCTATGCAAACACTTTACTCTTGTTCAGCACAGATCTTATGTTGCATCTATCAAAAAAAGTAAAATCATTCTTACTATTACTATCAGTAACTAAAGTAGAGTTTCATATGTGGAGACAAGAGTTACTTAAAATGATTAAGTAACTTGACCACAATGAAAGCAAATATCATGTTGTGTTATTCTTATGTTGTTGTAGAGATGGTAAGGAGTTGATACTAACACCAAACATCAAACAATCTTATGATGAAGATACAGCCATTCTTACCATCAACAAAATGTCCATGGATTATGATGGAGAATATAAATGTATAGCAGAAAACTCGGCTGGTACAACAGAAACTGTTGCTAAAGTCGTTGTAGAAGGTTTGTACAGCATTTAATGTAACTTTACAGATTTTTAAGTTTTTAAGCATTTTCTAATTATTTTGATATTTCTTGTAAAAGTAACTTAATTAATGAAACTGTTGTTCTTTTATTTCTTGTAAATTTTTGTTCCTTTATGTTGTCCAAATTTAATTTTACACTCATTTGATTGATTACATGATATATTATAATATATTGATTCCTTTGATTAACTTGTAGGTGAAATATATGTATTGATTTCTTTGATTAACTTGTAGGTAAGATGGAAGGTCCAGAATTTACAAGACCACTTGCGGATCGTGAGTGCCGTGAAGGAAGACCAGTCAAGTTTGAATGTGCTACCAAGGGCATTCCTAAACCTGATGTCAAATGGTAAAACTTCATTTCTCTAAATAGTACCTTTCATACTAATTTTTGTTTATATGAAGAGAAAAACAGAAATACTTTCCATACAATAATCAAATATTTTGGTGTATTGACAAATAGTGAAGTTTATTTATGATTAGGAGGTTTTGTTCTTCAGAATATTTTGGACAGAATACATGTGTATATGTCTTTAGGGTTATTTTGCATTATGAAAAGTATTGCACAAAAATAGATAATTTAAATATGGGAAACCACTTAAGCTTTATGTAGAGAACATCCAGGAATTGATATTCTTTTTAGTAAGATGATGGTTCGATAAAAACCGGAACTGGTAAAAAATAAATAACCTCAAACCAGCTCTGGTGTTGATGTGTTGTATGTCTTAATTTTCTTCTTATTTTTGTAACAAAGCAATTAATATTATAATATTCAGGTTCATCAATGACCAGCCCATTGAGCCAGGTCTTAAGTTCCACACCGAACAACGTAAAGGTTTCGGTGGCGACATTACACATAGTCTTAGTATTGACAACACAGAAGTTGATTATGCTGGCAAGGTCAAGGCTGTTGCCACAAACAAAGCTGGAGAAGTTGAAACCACGGCAACTCTTACTGTTGAAGGTTTGTTTTCATGCTGTTTGTTTCATGTAACTTGAAGATTTTTTATTACAGTGTGTTTTTAATGTGTAAAATTATATGCATGTAATACATACATATTAATTATTGCAATATAAAAGTTCATAATGTCCACTTTTTGTTTCTGTAGTTTATGACCAGTTTAATAATTTGAAAAGGATATATACTACACATTGTTGTTATATTTTATGCAGAGTTTGTCAAAATATAATAGATACTATGAACATTGCTGGAATAAAAACAAAACGCATTTCAGGCAACATATGTAAAAATATTTAATTTACATATGCTGGTTGAAACTTAAAAGTCTGCTTCCTGGAACCTGCTTCCTCCAGTAATGGTGTCATATGTAGAAACATGGTTGTGACTCGATTAGGGCTAGGACCCATGATCAACAGGTGGAGAGGTAGACACCTTAACCACTAGGCTACTTCTTCCCTTATTTACACATGTTGTTTTGAATTTCTTGGAGATATAGTTTCGCAGCTCAAGAAACAATTTTGTTATTTTCTTTCCAGAGAAGAAAGAGACTCCTAAATTTGTCCGCAAACTTGAGAATATTGACACAATTGAGAAACAGACTATAACCTTCGAAGTTGAGGTCACAGGAAAACCCAAACCCCATGTCACATGGTACGTAACTATTTTTACTAATAGAGGGAAGTTAACATTGAAAAATTTGTCCAGACAAACTTATTTGCTGTTGTAATATGAATTTAGTGTTTGAAGTTATTTTTTGTCCAATAGGAATGCGGTATTTCAAATGAATTGTAACACATTTACTTTGGTATATCAGCAAATAATTAATCAGTCTTGTAAATTAATAAAAAAGTAATTTTAAACACTAGATTGGTTAGTGTTCATTAAGCAAATTAATCAGTGTAATGACAGCTTTTCTACATCCATTTTTAAATTATTCATGTCTTGACCATTGCAAAATTTGATACAAATAAAAAGTTTGAAAATGCTTCTTAAAAAATTTAGAAGACAACATATTTAAATGTGTGATGATACATGATTGCAGGTCAAAGGGCAATGTGGAACTTCAGAATATGGAGAATATTGTCTTAGAAGCCACAGATCGTGTTCATACAATGACCTTGAAAAATGTCAAACCTGCTGATGCTGCCCTCTATAGTGTCAAGGCCCACAACCCTGCGGGACAAACTTCCTGCAGTGCTCGACTTAAAGTTGCTCGTAAGTTTTACAAAACCTTTTCGCTTTTTCTATTTTCTCTCTTTACTTTCCAATAATTTAAGGGTTTTTTTTATATCTGACTTGAATATCAGAAAATCTGTGTATGTTGTTTTTACTCCGATACAAATTACAGTAATACTTAAAAATTTGATTATGATTTTTGATAAAGTAGCTAATTTAGATTTTATATGACCAATGAATAAATAATACAATTATTAAATATGTTTTATACCTATTTTTATTTTCATCATTTTTTTTAAGTATTTAACAATTTAATATTTGATACTAACCATTTCCAGGTTCCATGAAACAAATTTATTTTTACGCCTGTCATTTTACAATAACATCAGCTATGCTATATGACATACTTGTTTAGAATTTTCTACAACTAAATGTAAACTTACTGGTCTGTTTATATTCTGTTTAAATATTACTTTTTCATAAATTCACATTGATGAATTTTCTATAAAATTTCTGTCTGTGAAAATGTTTTGTCTGTGCTTATTTGTTATAATTTTTTAATCAATGTCATAGGAAGTAGTTTGAAATAGGGATCTTAAAATAACTTTCTTTATAGTCAAGTACTGAAAGTAAATTTCAGAAATTTATTAACTGATACAGTAGATTCTAGATAAGTTTTTATTTTAGCTTTGAGCAAATTTAGCACTCTTGTGGGATTTTTTTATTATATTTTTTTTAATTTTTAAGTGAATTGGCACAAAGAAAAATAAAAAATAATTTTGCTAAATGATAGAAAATAGTTGTTTGTGGTGTTGGTGCTGTGGTTTTGTGTATGTTGAGAATAAATGTAACAACTTCTCCACTAGAATGTATTGATTTTAAAGCTTGCGAAGAAACAGAACTTATTTTACCAGAGGATGTAGAATTGTGTGATGAGGGTAAGACAAATAGAGGTCAAAAGTTCATACTGTAGAAAGTTCCGGTTTTGTTCCGGTTTTTATACACAAAATGTTTTTTGATTTTTAGCTATTTCATCTGCACATTGTTATGTTTATATCATTAAGGCAAAAACATATAAATATTGTTTCTCAGGGAATAGTTTCACTATATTTACTGTAAGGGATGATGTTACAAGAAATATTATCTTTATGAAAATAAAATTTAAGTTGGAATTTAGGAATATTGAAGTATGTTATCAATTAATTGCCTCTAAAAATACATTTATTTGAGAGAAAAATCTTTGGCCCTGCTTAAAATCTTTTAAATCTCTGAGAAACATTATTAGTTTTGGCCTTAAATATTTCTTTTTATGAAAGCAATGCTGCATGATTCATATAGATAGTGGCAATAATTTTGAGAATAATGTGCATGTCTTAATTTCAAATGGAAAGGAAGACAATTTGTTGTCTTGATAGACTAATATTGTATGTATACTGAAAAATCTGGCAACTGTGACTGTGTGGCTGTGGTCTGCTCCTTTCAAACAACTTTCACTAAAATCAGGCAAGATCTTCAGTTAAAAAGTTTTGCAAAAATCTAGGTAGCTTATTGAACGCCTGTGGTTCAAACTAAGTTGCACCAGCCCTCATGTATCTGGAATAATGTACAATTGAGCAACTCTGAGAACTCTGAGCATGCACTTGTAAAGCTGAAAAGATTAAAGGTATCAAAGTGGCCTGTGATTAAACTCAGTTGCACCAGTCCTCATGTACCAAAATATACAGTGAAACTTTGAGCATGCACTTATGAAGGTGGAAAGTTCCTAACAAAGTATCAAAATGTGTTCTAACATTCACATAAAAAGAAGAAGATATATTTATGTTAAAGTCTGTCCAAGTTTTTTATGCCACCGCAGCATCTGCGATGCGGTGGCATATAGCGATTCACCTGTGTGTGTGTGTGTGTGTTTGTGTGTGTGTTTGTGTGTGTGTTATATAGATTACATAGTGAACTTAAAAAATCTTCTTGTGAAAAACCACTTGTCCAATTTCAACCAAACTTGGCAGGATTGATCCTTGGGTGAAGGGCTTCCAAAGTTGTTCAAAGAATTTCATTCCATGCAGAAATCTGGTTGCCATGGCAACCAAAAGGAATTATAAGAATAAATTTAAAAAATCTTCTTGTAAAGACCCAAAAGGCCTAGAGCTTAGATATTTTGCATAAGGCATTGTCTGGCAGATCTCTACCAAGATTGTTCAAATTATAACCCTGGGGTCAAAATTGGCCCCGCCCCGGGGTCATTGATTTTCACTATATGTACATATAGTAAAAAACTTAAAATAACTTCTTGTAAAGACCCAAAAGGCCTAAGGCTTAGATATTTTGCATAAGGCATTGTCTGATAGACCATTACCAAGATTGGTCAAATTATAGCCCTGGGGTCAAAATCGGCCCCGCCCCGGGGGTCATTGATTTTCACTATATGTACATATAGTAAAAACTTAAAATACCTTCTTGTAAAGACCCAAAAGGCCTAGAGCTTAGATATTTTGCATAAGGCATTGTCTGGTAGACCTCTATTCAGATTGTTCAAATTATAGCTCTGGGGTCAAAATCGGTCCTGCCCCGGGGGTCATTGGTTTTCCTTATACAAATGTATGTATATAGTAAAAACTTTATAGTAACAAAATTTCTTCAAGCAATTGACAAATGCTAGAGGTTGGATATTTTGCATGAAACATTGTGAAGTGAACTTCTAGCAAGATTGTTCAAATTATAGCCCTGGGGTCAAAATTGCCCCTGCCCCTGGGGTCATTGATTTTCAATATATACATACATGTATAGTAAAAAATCAAAAAATCTTACTGTCTGAAGGTACAAGGCTTAGAGCTTGAATATTTGTTAAATGATATCATCTATAGGTACTCTACCAAAGTTGTTCAAATTTTGCCTCTTGTGTCAAAATTAGCCCCGCCCTGTGGGCCATAGGTTTTCCTTATATGTATATAGTAAAAACTTAAAAAATCATCTTCTCTAAATTTACAAAGGCTACAGTTAAGATATTTTGCATAAAACATTATGTAGTGAACCTCTAGCAAGATTGTACACATTATAGCCCTGGGGTCAAAATTGGCCCCACCCCCAGGAGTCATTGATTTTCACTATGTACATATAGTAAAAAAAAAAAAAAATTGTCTGAAGGTACAAGGCATAGAGCTTTGATGTTTGCTATATAATATCATCTATGGGTTCTCTACTAAAGTTGTTTTAATTATGCCCCTAGTTTTAAAATTGGCCCTGCCCAGGGGCAGTGATTCTCATTATGTTCACATAGTAAAAACAGAAAATAAAACAAATTTTTTCTGAATGGGAGAAAGCTACAGCTTAGATATTTGACTTGAAATGTTGTTTGGTGGACCTGTATCAAGATTGTTTTGAATTAAACCCTTGGGTCCAAAATTTTGCCTTGCCCAAGGAGACAGTGACCTACTTTCTTGTCCCTTGATGTACAGCAATGAAATTTTGACCATGATTGTGCACAGTTTTAGTTGTAAAATTGAACTTTGATATCAGGTGACCTAGATTTTGATGATGTGACCTACTTTCTTGTCCTTTTATGTACAGCTATAAAATTTGAACCATGTGTACAGATTAAGATGTTAAGTGAACTTTGATTTCAGCTGACCTAGATTTTGACAAAGTGTCTTACTGTGTTGTCCTTTGATGTAGTCATGAAATTTAGGCTGTGTGAAATATGACCATCAAATTCACTAGACTCAAGTGCATTGATATATTCCTACTCTGATCTTTTATTGAGTTAACAACAGATTTAACCACTAATCTGATAATAAGAATTAGATAGGTCAGGGATCTATGCATTATGACAATCTTCAAAATTGTATAGAAACAAAAAAAATCTGTATCAACACTACTATTTAGTGTTGTATTAATGCGGTGGCATAGCATTTTTCTCAAATGCAATCTTGTTTTTTTTTTTTTGTTTTTTTTCTCATTACCATCCCTTTATTTTTTGTATATTATAAGAGTCAAATCTGCTGTGGTAAATTTGTTTTGGAATAGAAAAATCTTTCAAAATTGTGCACATTGTTTTACTTTCACTCAGAGATAGAGCGAAAAGAATGCTCCATGAAAGAAACAAAGTTAATAAATAAAAGATACAGTACAGTGTAGTATACTAGTAATAATATTTTAGTGTACATATAACATTAACAGTTTTAGCTGCAGCATTTGATAATGAATTGACATTTTGCCTGGATAGTAACAATTAAAAAGAAAAGTAATCCAAACTTCACTTCTGTTGATGTCATGTCTAAAATATGTAGAAAAAGTAGTTCTAACTGCCATTAATTGTAATCTCATGCTGCTAGAAGCACGCATATTGCAAAATTTATATTTTACGCTTTAATCTGTTCTTGAAATCTTAAATGTTGTCTGGTGAAAAAAAATTGCTAACTTGTAACAAGATGTTAACGCAATATATAATAAATACTAAAATGATTATAAAAAATTAGATGTTCTAATATCAACGGATATGTTTTTAGCAGATAACTTTCACAAAAACAAACCTAATTTTTAACAAAAACTGAAAAAGTAACATAACATAACATGGCTTATTTAACAAAAATAAAATAAATACGCGGGCTGCGATACTTGCGATCACTCTATGCTGCGACTCTACACATTATAACAAAAGTGATTTTATGGGATCATATTAGATTGTCAAAAAAAACCAAACAAATATACTGGTGATTGAATATCTGCATTTCTCTAGTCAAACTAGAAAAAACTGCTCCAGAATGATATTTAACACTTCCGCATATTCTCAAAAATTAAGCTAAAATGAATATTGGGGGGGAAAAAATAAGAAAAAAAAGTTATGTTCTTTTCCAACTGCTATATATCAGTAACATAAAAATGTATTATTACGTGATACCATAAAGTCACTATTAAAATGGCTAATGAAATTAATTTGTTCATTTTAGGTAAATTATTGCTTGCATATTTTACGGTTATCCTAACCAAATATTTCTATGTTTTACAGCTGCAAGACGACCAAGTTTCATGCGTCGTATGTCAGATATTCTTGCTCCAGAAAACGGAGAGGCCAAGTTTGACTGTAAGGTTGAAGGATTCCCATTACCTGAGGTGAAATGGTAAGTTTCTTTCACCTTATTTTCTTTTTTTACATTCATAGTGCATCACTGCTTTGGCTTTTATGATTTTTAGCTTGTCTGTTTTGAAGAAAAAGTCGAGCTTTTATGATTGCTATGTCATCATTGTCGTTGTTGTCGACATTGTGCAAAAACTTTATTGTAGCCGATTATTCAAAGATTTTAAAAGATATCAACATGAAACTTTGAATACTTGTTTATCTTGACAAAGTACATAATTCTGAAAGCTATAATTTTGGCCAGAACTTTTACACTTTATTTTTGTTCAATATATTTTTGTATTTTATTTTAAAAGGTGATCACTTACAATAGAAATTGACCTTAATCTTTAGGTTTTATTTTAAAAACCCATTGCTTACAATAGAAAATATTACTTTAAAAACCTTTAAATTAATACATTTAATCTTCAGGTTCATCAATGACAAGGAGCTTGAACCAAGTGAAAATGTCATCATGGAACAGAAGAAGGACGGCACCTGTGTGTTGACCATCAAGGATGCAAGCCCCGACATGCAGGGTGAGGTCCGTGCTGTAGCTGCCAATGTTGGCGGAGAGGATCTCTGTAATGCTAATCTTGAGGTCAGAGGTCAAGCACCAACCTTTATCGAAACACCAATCAAATGCACAATCCTTGAAGGTTTGTTAAGTGAAATATTTCTCTTTGTTAAATTTTTTTATTAATGTTGGTTAATTGTTATTTTTATGTTATACATGCCCTGTTCATCTTGTTTTTGTTGTTTTCAATTGGAATGATTTTACACATCTTAATGGGTTCGTTAGCAATGCAAATCTATATTTTTTTTATTAACAAGCAGAGATGAACTTTTTTCTCCTTAGAATTTACAAAATACTCATAATTTATCATTTTAAATTGAAAAAAATATTTTTACAATTTGTAAAATTAGTTTTATATATTTTCATTAGGAGACGTTGCCATATTCAAATGCCTTATCAAGGGTGAACCATCACCCACTGTTGAATGGTCAAAGGGTAAATGGTCTAAACTGAAAAACTCTGATAAAATTAATATGTACAAAGACGAAAATACCAGTGAAGACATTCTAGAAATCAAGGACATAAAGAAGAAGGATGCTGGAACGTACAATATTAGTGCAACTAACGAGCACGGCACAGAACAAGTGGCCGCAACTTTGATTGTTACCTCCAATCCTGAAGAGGCTGAAGACTGGAAGGCCTCTCTTAAACACAGGTAAATTTTCTAGCTATTAGCAGTGGAAAAAAAATATTCTACAAAGGTAGATTGTCTTCTTCTTAAAGTCATGTTACCATTAATAGTGATAAAATATCCAAATATCAGTGATTAATGTTATTAGTTGAAATTGCTAAGCTGATGGGTAGAAGCGAATATATAGACATGTTGAACAAATCAAATTATACCAGTCAGGCTATTTTCACCTATTAATTTTGTTTTCATTGCTTCAACTTCTGTAACCATTTATATAGAATGTTTTTCATATAACCAAATATTAAGGAGGCTTTTATGGACTTCCAGCCCGCATAGCTCAATCGGTTAGAGCGCGAGTCTTGTACTCTCAACATTGTGGGTTCGATTCTCATGGCTAACCAACTAAAAATACTTATCAGTCTTTTTGAATGAGACTTATAATCTAGGTCCTGTGTATGAGTGCTTTAATACTTGGTATGATAAAAAACCATGAGAAGCTTCTAGAATTGAGATATTTTTCTGTATCTGTATCTTACACTTTCCTCCATGTACTGTATCTTACACTATCCTCCAAAATCTAAAATGACTAAAACTCTTCTTGAGGACTCACCAATATTAGCAATAGATGGCCAGTGTAAATAAAATGGAATCCACACACACACGCTTTTATTTAACATTACAGGGAATATGATAGAGAGCACGCGGAGATTGAAGCCGACTGGTTACCTAACTTAAAACATGTCGAAGGTGAAGAGGGCTCTCCAGTGAAGGAGGAAGAGAAAGAACTTGTCAAAGAAAAAGATGAACCTGTCGCATTCCAGATTCTCCAGAAACGAAGGATGTCAGAGGTATATATACATTGTTATGTCAGTTCCATTTAGATGCAGAAACACATCTAAAATTAAAGGTTTTCATCTTAATTTTTGTTTGTCTTTCATAATGCCTTGTTGTACTGAGCTATTTTCCTACCAACATCTCTTATTTTTGTTCATTTTTAGTGCTTAAAACATAACTGTAATTTTTATATTTTAATCAGCTTGAAGGTAAAAGAGACAAAATTGATGTTGAACCAATTGAGCGTGAAAAGATTGACCTCGATATGGCAGCTCCAACTAAACTTGAGAAAGATGAGGCCCCAACTGACGAATTGGAGAAGAAACCATACAAACATGAACCTAAAGAGGTTACCATAGATGAGGTGGATGCAACAGAACTTCTTATACCAAAAGTCAAGGTAAAACAAACTTTTAAGACAATTATTTTTATTATAACCTTCATATGATTTTAGAACGTTAAGTTATTTTATAGACGATTGTAGAGTTGTGCTTGTTTGATGTATGCCTAGATATATATGGTATTTCCTTTTGTATAAATGATGATGAAATATGGAGTAGCTAGGAATGAGGTATCAATCTTCCTTATTGGAATCTAAGTGTTAAAGATATTATGAGAAAAAATTCTCTAAGGTTTGAGGTAAATCTTATTGTAACACAAATGATAAAAGTACATCATCCATTATAAGTTCTTGTAAAAGCAGTATATTTTATAACTTTCCGTATCGGACCAGACCTCAAGGTTATAAAACTTTTTTCTGAGTTTTGCCTCAAATCCCATGATTTTCATTGGTCAGTGTACATTCTTTGTGGCAATTTCTGACCAATCAAATGCCTGAGATAAGAGTTTGAGGTACGGGAATTTCTTTATAATCTCGGACCCAGAAGAGCTGATTTTAGAAATAATTTTTTTAATTCATTATTATTTATCTCATTAGAAAGCTAATCATTAAATGAAAACAATTTAAACTTTATTTGTGTATAACAGTGGGAATGGACAACACCTCTCAAGGATGTCAAAGTCAAAGAGACAGAATCTGCTGACTTCCAATGCGAGTTCTCTGTAGCAGACGTCAATGTTACATGGACGGTAAAAGGGGAACCAGTCGAGGTCAGTCCCAAATACAGCATGACCTCAGAGGGCAAGGAACACAAACTCACCGTGGCTAAATGTCGACCTAGAGATGTTGGAGAGGTCACATGTTCTTACTCAGACTACACAACAAGTGCTAACTTAGATGTGGAAGGTATGTTAAGAAATTATTTATGGCAAACATGAAGAAAATAAGTTTTACAGCTTGAAATGTTAGTTTTTATGCCCCCCCACTGCGAAGTGGTGTGTATAGAATTGCCATTGTCTGTTTGGCCAGATGTCATGTTCTCAGTCCATAGTGGGACGAAACAGTGGAAAGTTGGGACTCCCTTGTCTCTGCATACATTTCTAGTCTTTTACTGGATTTAAGTCATAATACTGATAGTGTCAAATGTTGATTTTTCAGCTTCTATAAGTATAGGAAAACACCTGATGCCCTCAATGTATTATTTCAAACCTAAGTGAGCAACTCTGCATAATCATCAACCTAACACAATGTAGTCAGTAAGCATTTAGCATTCCTATGATTTCTGATATTAACATAATAATTTCTGGTGATATATCTAATTTCAGTCTTTGTATAAAAGTAATAAAAAAACATGTATTTTCAAAATCTAGTAAGTTTTCATAATAGCATGCCTTCATCGCTTTACCCATGACAAGTTCATTGTATAATTACAGAAATGGTAAAAGAATTTACTGTTAAACTTGACGACACATCAGCTGTTGAGAACACAGAAGCCACATTCACATGTGAAACCAATGATGATGAAGCTGAGGTCGTCTGGATGCTTGACAACAAGCCTCTACCTGTCTCTGATAAATATAAAACCCAAAGTGAAGGAACTACGCATACTCTCACAATTTTTGACTTAACATCCAATGATAACTGTGATGTCTCAGCAACATTTGGAGACCAGTCTACCACAGCTAAACTTGCTGTTGAAGGTAAAATATACACTTCTAAATGAAAAATACAAATCATTTAGACTTAATGTCTGTTAAGTAAGTTTCTTAATTATTTTCAAGTCCCCTTATCTCCTTTGGTTTAAATTTTGATGTTTTTCTTAAAGGAAGGATGTTACTCATCTAGCAGGCTGGTATTTCTATATTGCTGCTTGCACATGCATAAAATGATGTAGAATTATCTTAACACATGAATAGATAATGGAAATACATGCAAAAACTACACATCAAATTCTATTGACAGTGATTTATATACATTATGTGTAGTAGGCTAGGTACTATAGCATAATGAATGGCACATTTAAGTGTTTTTAATGCCTTCCTGACTTATGTAACATCCTTTGATTTTACAGAAATTACTGCCAAATACACAGTACCACTATCAGATGTTTCAGTATTAGAGAAGTCTGATGCAGAATTTTCATTTGAATTGTCACTTCCTGTTGACAAAGTGCGCTGGTTTTTGGATGATGTTGAACTTCGACCAAATAACAAAACACAGTTTATTGATGACGGTAAATTACACAAACTGATCCTCAAGGATGTTGATGTGACCGATGAAGGTCAAGTCAGTGTTCTTGTTGGTGACAAGAAATCTACAGCAAATCTATTTGTTCAGGAATTATCACCAGACTTTATGAAGCCATTATCTAATGTAACTGTTAAAGAACATGAAAATGTGGAATTCGTGACAGAGGTGAACAAAGAAGGGGTTACTGTGAAATGGTTTGTGGATAACAAAGAAATTGAAGAAGACGAACGATTTGAGATTTACTCAGAGGGTCGCACTCATAGGCTTATCATTAAGAATGCTGTAATGCCAGACTCTGGTGAGATTATGGCTAGAGTTGAAGGAAAGACCCAGAAAGCTACCCTAGAAGTACAAGGTAGGAATGCTTTGTTTTTTCCATATTTATCCTCTCTAAAGACTGGCTTTTTCTTCAATTTAGAGTATAAAATGAATGCACCTCATACTATTAGAGAATCACAAAAGTCTTCATGAATTATAGAAGAAAGTGTAAGCAAATTACTAGTGATTCTAATGTAAAATTCGTACTAATATATATGTATGGCTTTATTAGATAGTTTAGTCATTTTCTGTGGAGATTCTTTGTTCTAAAGAAAACCAAGGATTGACCGCAAAACTGCTGTGACTTATATGAAATAAAGAAGGACTCACAACAGTTTTACGATAAACCCTCAATATTAATCATCTGTTACTAAAAGCTGATATTTTTCTTGAAATTTAGAAATCCCTGTTGAAATTGTTGCTGAGCTAACAGAACAACATGTTGAAGAACATAAGGCCTCGTTTTTCACGTGCGAGGTAAATAAACCCGACGTTACTGTCACCTGGTTGAGAAATGGCGAAAAAATCAAAGAAAGTGAGAAACATCAGAAAATCGAAGATGGAACCACCCACACACTTGTTATCATGGATACAGACAAATCTGATGTTGGTGAATACACTGTTGTCATTGGCGACAGAAGAAGTTCTGCACAGTTACATCTGGATGGTAAGTCCTTGATTAGATGAATGAATGAATAATTATGATTAGTGCTTGATTATTATAGTGTTAATATACTGGAACAAATCTAAATGTATGAATATAACAATAAAATTTGTCTTTATATTAATTTTTCAATGCAATTTTTAGGTTGACTGAACATTGGGTGCATGCTTGATTATAATTTTGAATATGTTGAACACATAATCTGACAACTTTGTAATATTTGATTATTGTTTATGTTTTTAAAGTTACTGTTTTCTTTTTCATTTAAATGACTTAAATTTAGAAATTGGCTTTTGAGAATGTTATGAAAACATATAATTTTGCATGTAGGCTGTTTTGTTAATACATAATAATTCAGTATTATATTATTGCTTTTATGCATTGATTTTTGTCTTGAACTTTCATGACAAGTAAAGTAAATATGTATGGTAAATGTATTGAGATTAAAAACAATGATTTACTATAAATCTCTGCTACATGTCTAACATGGGATATTAAATCATGTAAATTACCAGTAAAAAGCCTGACTTCTCCAGGGTGTCATGGTTAGCAAAAATGCTAACCATTTGAAGGAAATTTGCTGGTTTGAAATTGAAAACCCTTAAATACATATAATTTGTTCCAAAATTAAAACATGGAAAAGTCCATAAAGATTAATTTAAAGACGATGGTAAGACTTTAACATTTTTAATGGCACTCATTAGTTCTTGTCTTGTCATGAAAGTTTTATTTATGTTACTGTGGACATGCTCATTTCACTATCATCAATATATGTAAAAAATTTCAATCTAGTACTATGAAAAATATTTTAAAATAAATGTTTTATTCGGGGAAACAACTGAAAGAATGATTTAGAAATAGGATAGTTTAGGTCAATTCACTGAATATGAATCAAGATTTATTGGTAGAATAGGTTGGTATTTGGTATAGTAAACTTGAGTTTGCATAGGTGATGTTTTTATGACATATTTTAAAAAATATGTAAATTATTAAAATCTTTATTGATCAGTACCATTAACTAGAAATGCTTTAAAACCTGAAAATGTTTTCCAAAATCATTTTTAGCTCGACTTTTCTATGAAAAGGGGAGCTATCCTACTCGCCCCGGCGTCGGCGTCGGCGTTAGCGTTGGCGTCACACCTTGGTTAAGTTTTTCGTACCACCCCACTTTATTTCAGAAGTATTACAAGTATGGCTTTGAAACTTACCATACTTGTTCACCATCATAACCTCCATCTACAGACAAGAGTACATAACTCTGTCAAGGTTTTTGACAGAATTATGGCCCTTTTTTGACTTAGAAAGTGTATTGAGCTTGTTAAGTTTTTTGTACCACCTCACTTTATTTCAAAACCATTGGAGGTATTGCTTTGAAACTGACCATACTTGTTTACCATCACGACCTTCATCAACAGACAGAGGACATAACTCTGTCAAGGTTTTTGACAGAATTATGCCCCTTTTGACTTAGAAAATACATTGAATATGGGTAAAATCCACTTATTGCCTTAACCCTTTGAGATATTGCTTTGAAACTTTTAATGCTATTTCACATCATTACCCCCATCTGTACGCAAGAGAAGGTAACTCTGTCAAGGATTTGTTTTAAAAATTAAGGCCTTTTATCGACTTAGAATCTTGGTTAAGTTTTTTGTACCAGTCCACTTTTTGACTGAACTGTTTGAGATATTAATTTGAAAGTTGGAATACTTGTTTACAATCATGATTCCCAAACATGTCCAGGAGAAGGTAATTCTGTCAAAGATTTTATTTGAATTATGGCCCTTAACTGTCAATGTTTTGTATTATAGGCAAGCACTAAAAAACTTAAAAAATCTAAAAAAATTCATTCCTATCCACTTGTTCACTTTACCATAAATTATGTCATATAAACATTGCTGTAATATTCAAGGGTATCAAACAACTAGTTCACTTTAAAAATACAGAGATTCTTGTATTGCCTTTTACTGCAAAAACTTTTTTTATTGGCAAGCAATAAAAAAGTCGAGCGCGCTGTCTTACGGACAGCTCTTGTTTTTATATATTACTTACATTGAAATATGTTTACAAGTATTCTAATAGTTGTTCAAATTTTAAATAAATTAAGATATTACATAAATTGAAATGTTATTTTACATTGTTGTCAAATCTTTGTAACGAAAAACAATTTCTACACAGTCATTCATTACACATATGCATAAAATATATTCATCTATGCAGACTGCCTTGTGTAGCAACTTGCATCTTGCATCATATATACATTATGCGTGTAGCTTATATTACAAATTATTGATTTCTTTTAGCTTTTTAACTTGTTTGCATATTATATTGTGTAGTTTGTCGTGAAGTATTTTTAGACATTCATATTATTGTAGAAAACATTTTTTAACTGCTTTATCATGGGAATATTGCAGAAGAAATCCTGAAATTCATTATCCATCAATTGGATAAATCTTAATTCTATATTTTAGACTTATAACTGTAATACAGTTATTACATTGTTTTAAAACCTGCTAGAAATTGCATATTTTATCATTTTTATTGTTTACTTAATAAATAAAGTTTTCTACAAATAATAGTGGTTTGTTAATAAAACAGTATCTGTATTTACTAAAAGTATAAACCATATCTGGACTAGTATGTAGATAATTATATCAACTTCATGAATTCAACTTCACCAATTCATGATTTCAACATCATGAACTCATATTTTGAACTTAATGTTTTCAAGTTCATGAACTTCATGAAGTTGAAGTCATGGATTAGTGAGAAAAAAACAAATTTAATTCATGAAGTTGAAATTGTGAGGTTCAAAATATGTATTCATGAAGTTGAAATTGTGAATTTGTGAACATGAAATTAGGAATTCATGAATTTGAAATGGTGAATTTGTAAAGTTGAAATCAGGAATTGATGAAGTTGAATTAACCCCACTAGTCTTTCGTACAAATTTCAACAAAATCTCTTACAATGATTATGAATGAATCACTGGCATATGATTTTAACAATGGTAAATACAGATATTGATTTATGATTGCATGAAATTGAATGACATTGTTTGATATGATTTTATATTATAAATAATCAGGAAAACTTATTTATCAAAATTGCATGAATGGTTTCAAAGGTTACTAACTGTATGATAAATTAGAAAAAAAATACATATACTAAAATCAAACAATGGCAAACTGAAATTTCAAAACTTTTTTTCCCCCCTAAAATAGTTAATTTTTGACTGGTTTTATTTTTTTTGTATACTTGCTTTGCAGGACATATAATGAGTATGGTACCAGTCCAGATTCTGTCAGCACTACATCAGTCAGAAATGCACCAGAACCAGTCTGTCATATTTACATGTCACTTATCCCATGATAACGTGCCTGTCACATGGTACAGAGATGGGGTAGAAATAAGTGATAGTACGAAATATACAATAAAAGTTCTTGGAACTTTGCATAAACTTTGTATCCATGATTTAGACTTATGTGACGAGGCCGTCTACACTGTAAAAGTAGACAGTTCAGAAAAATCGTCCTCCGCCATGTTATTTTTAGAAGGTCTGTAAAGACACAATTTTTTTTTTACATTCCCCCTTTTTTAATGTGTTCAAAACATGTATGAAAAAAAGCTTTTTTGTCACAGAAAAAAAAAGCTTTAAATTGAGGTGGGTGGGGTAAAAAATCCATTTGTGTAACATGTTATATATTAACCTATTCACTGGTTTTAAAAATTAAAATGTCACATGTGTCTAAACCTTTACTTATATGTTACATATTTTTTACAATTTTTTTTCACACTTGCCTCCTTTTACACGTTTTTCACATTGTTATTTTGCATTTAATTTTCAATGATTTTGTTAACTATTTTGCAATTAAGAGAGTTTGCCAAAAATAGGAAGATATTGATGCATGTAAAATAATGTACATAATTTATATTTAATATACAGTATGAAATACTAACAACAGTCATGGGCTGATAGATTTATGCAATGCATGTAGTATATACAGACAATATTAGTGATCTTTATACTTGTAGTTTATTTATATGCAAATAAAATCAAAGAAATTTGTGATAAAACAAAATTTTTGTAATAAAAATATGAAAACTTTTATGATACTTTGTCATGTTGTCATAGTAGATCTAGTCATGTTATTTTATCAGAAAAAAAATGACATGTTATAACACAGTCGGCTTCATTAATATTATGAATACCACAAATACTCTTTGCTTGATTATATAACCGGAAATTCTATTTATAGATTGCATGCTTGTAAACACATGGGTAGCTTCAGCACTTAGTTGCTATGGTAACAATATTGAATAGTATCTTTATGACACACAGTCTTTAATAATGAAAAAACAGAAAAAAGATTCTTAAAAATTTAAAAAGGAAACTTTAGCGAGAATGAGGAATATATTAATAACGAATGAGCATATCTGTTGACTGTTGAACTTGCACAATGAGCATGCCCAGAATAGCAGTGTGACATCACTTCCTGTGTGTGTGAGTATGTTCCTCCATGATCCTTTCCTTCCAGAGAGCCCTATAAATGTTTCTTTGACACTAAATCGTCATCACATTGAAAGTTTGCACCAGACTGAGCAACTAGCAACTTTCACCTGTTTGACCTCCAAGTCAGCTGTAGAGGTCAAATGGTATAAAGACAAAGACGTAGTTAAGCCAAGTAGTAAGTACGAGCTTCAAAACTTCGGACGTGAACACCGACTCACAGTGCATGACCTTTGCATGTCTGATTATGGGGATTATGCAGTCTCCATAAGGAGTTTACGAAAATTTCCACAAACGCACGTTTCCATAGGTTTGTCTATAATTTTTCTTGCTTTTTTTGCTCTCATTTGATTACTGACTGCATGTAAATGATTACAGTTTTAAAACTATAGTTTGTTGTAATTCTGCATAAATGCATTTTGCTCAGCATGTTAATTTGATTTTGTTTTACATGCTAAGTTAACTTGTTTGAATCTACATGAGAATATAAGTTTAGGTATTTCCTATCTGCTCAACAATGTTTTTTTAAATATTCAAATCATATGTATAATTAATTTCTCACCCTTTCAGCTTTCCAAAAGGATTTTCCTATAATATTTTGAACAAATAATGACCATTGTGTTTGCTGCATTTTCAGAGCCCCCGACACAGTTTATTATCCCACTTAGTGAAGCCACATGCCAGGAAGGTGATGATGTGACCTTCACCTGCGAAATTACCGATGACAAAATCCCGGCACGTTGGTTCAAGGACGAAGAGAAACTTCAACCATCAGACAAATATGTAATGAAAAAAGATGGCCGCAAACACTCGCTGACCATCAAGAATGCAACTCTCGAGGATAGAGCTGAATATACCATCAATCTTAAAGATGGGAAAAGCAGTGCTCCACTCTTTGTTGAAGGTATTGCTATATTTTTGTTATTTAAAAGCCTTTTATTAAAAATGCACAAAATAAAAGTCACGAAAAAAGGAAATGAGCTTATAGCGGGTAATGTATGTTGATGTACAAATAATTGAAAGGATTTAACAAGAAACCATTCTTTTCAGTTAATGAATTTTATATCAACAACATTGATAATAATGACTTTTAAATCACCAAAGCTAATATTGAAATAGTTTGATACAAATAACTTAATCTTTTCAGAAACTCCTCTGGAGTTCACAATGCCTTTACAAGAGCAGACGGAATGTATTGAAGGAGATACTGTCACCCTCGTCTGTGAGGTGAACAAGCCCAACAAACCAGCCATGTGGCTACGTGATGGAGAACAGATCGTCCCAGGTGATGGAGTGGAAATAACTGTGGATGGTAACATTCATAAACTGTTGTTACGTCGTGCATCTCTGGACAGTGAAGCAGAATATACATGTATGATTGGCAATGTTGACACGACAACCATGCTCTATGTTGAAGGTAAAGTCAATATTCCATACTTCAGTAATTACATCCCTTTAAGGACTGACAAATGGTATTTAATTTTGCTATGTTCTACTGTATAAGTTGATATTTCCATGTGTCAAAATGTTAGCAAATTTAAAATTCCAGACATTTCGCATTAGGAAATATTAGCGAATCATGCAAGGGTAGAATTAATGACAGGTTGGTTGGTATTTACGCATTGCTAAATGAACCACTTATACAGTATAACTTAAATTATAGAACTTGAAGTTGATTGGTCTTGCACATGTTTATGTATTTGTTTCTTTTTCAAAACAGATGATTACATATTATTTATACAATAATGAGTCAATATTTTAAATTTAACAGAACCTGCAGCAGAGTTTACTCATCGTCTAAGTGACGTCTCTGGACAAGAAGGTGAAGACATTGAGATGTACGTGGAATTAAGCCGACCAGATGTTCCGGTTAACTGGATGAAGAACCGAATGCCACTTAAACCCAGTGAAAGAATCCACATTTTGTGTGAACGCTATCGTCAGGTGCTCCAGATTTTGGACGCTATTCCAGAGGATGAAGGCGAATACACTGTATGCTTGCCTGATAAAACGGAATCCTCCGCCATCGTTAAGATAAAAGGTTTGTGTTACACTTGAAAGAAGTTTACTAACATCAAAAATTAATTTCATTTGTCTAAATGTAAGCTTACTAATAATAATGTTTTTCATTGGCATCAATTAATATTGTACAGCATTTACTTAAATTTCTATTTAACAATTAACTTAATATTGTAAAGTATTTACTTAAATTTCTATTTTATATTGTAACATTATGTTTGTACATTTATGAAATTATTTTTATTGAAATAATTATAAGATACAAAATATGTGACTTATGTATATCAGAATGTGACTTGATTCAGTCATTTATCATAGAATAATTAAAATAATTAAATGACCTCTGTGGAAAAGTGTTTAAAGTAGCTAATTTCAAATTTGTCTTTCATTTTTTTTTATCAGAACTTATTTTCATGACACCCAGTTACTTTTTATGTTATGACAAAATGATTTGATAGAATGTTTTATTTTTTATTTTATTTTTATTTTCAGAAAAAGCTCCAGAATTCAATAAGCCACTTGATGATCAGACAGTTAAGGAAAAGGACATTTTGACCTTGACCTGTGAACTCACAAAACCGGACGTTCCTGTCAAATGGCTGAAAAATGGAAAAGAGATCCAACCAGACGATAGAGTAAAATTCTCAGTTGACCAATACCAGCATCAGTTGGTCGTAGCCGATGTCACATTATCTGATGCCGACAAATACACTTGTGTTTGTGGAGATGTTAGCACGGAGTGTACCATTAAGGTTGAAGGTAAGTTATCTGTGAAATATTTTCCATTTTTGGTTTAAAAGAATCATATGTTGATTGTAAATGAAGTTCCTTACAATTTACTTGGTTTTATTTGACTAACCAATATTGGGATCTTAAGACGGCACAAAACATGATCCCTGAGTATGTCATAAAGCAGGCAACATTTTCTGGAAAATATTTTATTTATTGTCAAAATGTTATGATACACTTTTATAGACTGATTTGTAAGTTGAAGATTATTTTTGGGTTTCTTTATAAAAAATAACAATATAAATTTTGTTTTTTTCTGGCTTCTTAGAACAACCAGTAGAATTCACTAAACCACTAGAAGACCAAACAGTCAAGGAGAAGGAAACTTTGACCTTGACATGTGAACTCAACAAACCAGACAAAAAGGTCAAATGGCTGAAAAATGGCAAAGAAATCAAACCAGATAAACGCATTAAATTCTCAGTCGACCAGTATCAACGTCAGCTTATTATGACAGATGTCACATTGACTGACTCGGACAAATACACTTGTGTTTGCGGGGATGTCAGTACGGAGTGTACCATTAAGGTTGAAGGTAAGTTATCTGTGAAATTTTACCCATTTTATTGGTTAAAAAAGAAAATTCATCAGATGTTGATCATAAATTATAAGTTTTTTTACAATTTAGCACCTTTTTTGACTAACCAATATTGGGATCTTAAGACTGCACCAAACAAGATCCCTGAGTATGTTGTAAAGTAGGCCATCTTTTCTGGAAAATATTGTTTCATTTGTCAAAATCTTATGATACACTTTTACAGACTGATTAATAAGATGAAGATTCTTTCTGGTTTTCTTTATATTGATAAATAACAATATAATTTTTTTTTTCTGACTTTTTAGAACAACCAGTGGAATTCACTAAACCACTAGAAGACCAAACAGTCAAGGAGAAGGAAACTTTGACCTTGACATGTGAACTCAACAAACCAGACAAAAAGGTCAAATGGCTGAAAAATGGCAAAGAAATCAAACCAGATAAGCGCATCAAATTCTCAGTTGACCAGTACCAACGTCAGCTAATTATGACGGATGTCACATTGACTGACGCGGACAAATACACTTGTGTTTGCGGGGATGTCAGTACGGAGTGTACCATTAAGGTTGAAGGTAAGTTTGTTGTTACAAAATACAGAGACAAAATAAGCTATTTTACATCCAAAAGATTGATTGCTACTCTATGGAGAGTTTTGTAGACAAAACTATGAACAAAAATTCAAATTACAACATATTTTTTTATCAGCATGTGTTGAACATTCTATCAGAATCATCTCTAGAAATATCATTTCAGTATGTGAATTTGTTTTTAAAATCCTCTATATAATTATCAATATTTTATTTATTTCTATTAGAACTTCCTGTGGAATTCACACGGCCCTTGGCTGACCTCCAATTCAAAGAGAAGAAAAAGATGACATTGACCTGTGAACTTAATAAACCTAACAAACAGGTGAAATGGCTTAAGGATGGTGAAGAAATTAAACCAGACAAGCGTATCAAGATGTCAGTGGACAAGAAACAACATCAAATGGTCATTGCCGATGTCACTGTAGAAGATGAAGGCAAATACACTTGTGTATGCGATGATGTCAACACAGAATCTAGCATTACTGTTGAAGGTTAGTGTTAGTTTGAATATTATTAGTATAAATTAAGCTTGATTGCGAAACAAGTTCTTGCAACTTATATTAATCACTTTGGAGTTTACTTCTTGGAACCAACTAGTAATCATGTCATATAAAGAAACATGGTTGAGACCCAAGTAGGGCTCAAACCAATGATCCCTGGGTTGAGTGGCAGACACCTCAACCACTAGGCCACGGCTCCCCTTCTAGTAAGTATTGTAATCATTTTTTCTCCAGAAGTATATGAATTCAGTAAACAATGCATAGAATCCTATGTTAAGTGTTGTGGTTAAAGTTGTTTCAGTATATATATAAATCTTTTTTGAGCTTGCATTCTTGGTCTAATCCATGCTGGTGTCATATGAGAAAATGTGGTAGTCAACTACGTAGGGCTCTTAAAGACGTGATTTTTTTTGGCTAGATACTGTTCACAATTTGTTTTGTTTTTACAAAAGATCACTTCCCCTTTTCAAAAACTTCTATTTTGAGAAATCATGTATTTCATTGTTTATGGAATGTTTTTTCAGAACTACCAGTAGAATTCACAAAACCACTCAAGGATAAAAAGGTGAAAGAGAAGGAAACTTTGACCTTGACCTGTGAACTTAATAAACCAAACAAACCAGTGAAATGGTTAAAGAATGGTGAAGAGATTGTCCCCGATGACAGGGTTAACTTCTCTGTTGACCAGTATTTACATCAACTGGTTATAGCAGACGTCACAGTGACTGATGCAGACAAATATACGTGTGTTTGTGGAGATGTTAGCACTAAATGCACCATTAAAGTTGATGGTAAGTAACATGCATGTAATTTCATATGATCAATATTGGATAGGCATTTTTTTGTTGAATGTTTAAAGGGACTCCACGGAAGGTTTTTGACATGATGGGACTTTCAAGATTAATGTTCCATTGTCAAGACAAATAACTTGTGTGCAAAATTCAGTTCATTTGCTCACTCCATTTTATAACTAAAAGTTGTCTAATTGTATAAAATACCTAAAATTGAAAGAGGTGCTTTTCACCCAAATTGGGCTTAGAATAGTAAAAGATAAGATTTGCTTCTTTTTTTTTCTTTTTTTTTTTAGTTTATGTCTGAATTATCTTGTGCATATCTTTCTGTTTTAACAGCCCTAGCTGATCTATGTAAGAAATTAAAATGTTATGTTTTTTTTGTTTGTTTTTTTTGCCTTTGGACATCAGTGGAGCTCCTTTAAGTTAAGAATTAAGTGTATTTGAATACTGTATATATATTATTTTGTCAAATTTTCAGAATTGCCAGTTGAGTTCACCAAACCACTTACCGACCAGACAATCAAGGAAAAGGAAACATTGACCTTGACCTGTGAGGTCAACAAACCAAATGCTCCAGTCAAATGGCTGAAGAATGGCAAAGAGATCAAACCAAATGACAGAATCAATTACTCTGTAGATATGTACTTACATCAACTTGTTATCACAGATGTAACTCTAGAGGATGCCTCAAAATACAGATGTGTCTGTAAAGACGTCAGTACTACATGTACTGTCAAGGTCGAAGGTAAAACATTTTAGTTCATGTTGACTTCTGTCTTTACAAAGCATCCACTTACGGATTACAAATATGAGCTCTGTAACATGTATTGTTTTAATATAAATATTATTTTGTCATCTCTATGCAGTTATATTTCAATGTATGATACAAGCAAAAAGTCACAAATGTAAATGGCAATATCTTATGTTTACATTATAATTTTATTTTTTCAGAATTACCAACAGAATTTACCAAACAGCTTGAGGACACTAAGACACATGTGAAGGAGACAGTCACCCTCACATGTGAGCTTAACAAACCGAAGAAATCAGTCAAGTGGATGAAGGACGGCAAACCTCTACGTCAGACGAGAAACATCAAATGTTCAGTAGATGCTTATACCCATCAGCTTGTGTTTACAGATATAACTTTACAGGAGACAGGAACTTATAGCTGTACATGTGGCGATGTATCAACATCATGCACTGTCACAGTCGCAGGTTAGTAAAACATTCAGTTGTGAGTTCAATCCCTGACAGGTCATTCAATTTAACAGTATTATATTAAGCTTTCTTGCTCGTGATAAAGCATATTGGAAATAGCTTTACCTACTAGTAAACAATTGTCTGACAACAAATCACATGGTTTTGACTATTTTGGTTTCAATATTGTGTAGGAATATGAATTTCTGTCAAATTGTAATGCATAAGATCTTCAATACCACCAAAGTCAAATCTTAATGCTTGCCAGTTACTCTTCAAAGCTGTTGAATATCTTATGTTGTTAGTTTCCAAGTTATTTTCATTTAATGTATACTTTGATGTTTTAGAGTATACATTGTACTTGCATTAGAAATTTTGAGAATGATTCAAATCTATACAGAATAATTTTTATAAAGCCTATTATTTTGTTTATTTTCATGTTTTAAAGTCACAGTAAATGAATAATTGTATTATGTTCATGTTTCTGTTTTCAATCATTGTAATTGATGAATGCCTTGCTCTGGAGAAATAGCTTATTTAGTTGTATACAATGATTAGACTGGTTTATATAATCAAGTCTGTGACAAAGTCTTTTAATCTTTTAAATTAGAAGAACCAGTCAAGATTACCAAACCTTTGACTGATAGTGAAGTTGATGAGAAAGAGGAAGTAACTCTTACATGTGAAGTCAACAAACTTGGCAAGAAACCAGTCTGGTTCCTTGATGAAGAGGAAATTAAGCCTAATGACAGGGTCAAGGTCACATCAAGAGGACTGGTTCACAAACTCACAATCCAAACCTCAAAACTTCATGATGAAGGAAAATACACTGTGGCATTTGATGATGTGAAATCTACAGCTAATCTCACAGTCAAACGTAAGATTTCAAATTATTTTGCACAAGTTTTTGTTTTTTTGAGAAGACTCATGAGGAACAATAAAAATCATATTATTTTTAATATGCTTATTAAAGTTGTGTTTTTAATATTCTTTAATGTTAAAGAACTTGTTGTTTATAAGAGTTTGTATATTTACAAATTTGATTACACGTAGCTTATGATATATGCAGTAGAATATAGCCTGGGCAAGATTAATATAATCTTCAGCTGAAGCCTCAGGTCATATATCTCTTAGTCTGAGTATAATGATATAATATATGAACAATTATATTACAGCATTGCCTGTTGAGTTTATTGCTCCATTACAAGACTTGGAAATTACAAAGAAATCATCAGTAGCTCTGGAATGTGAAGTTAATAAACCTGATGCTGAAGCCACATGGACTAAAGATAACCAACCAATCAGCATTTCTGATGGATATGACATAAGACATGATCAAACAAGACATTCCCTCCACATCAATGAGGCGAAACCAGAAGATAGTGCAGAATACACTGTTACTGTTGATAATAAATCAAGCACAGCCACACTCAAGGTCAAAGGTCAGTAGAATTTGCTTGAAAATTTAAAAGTCCATAGTTATCTTTTGTCAATCATGATTTGTATTTAAGAATTGGTGCAGCCTCTCTGGAGGATAACTTAAGGGTAACTTGAACTTAATGAAAAAAAGGTTGTAATTGTTTTTTTGAGATTTTTATCATTTTGTTGAGAATTAATATGTAAAAATAACCCCCAGATATTGCAGAATCAGAAAGGTCTACCTTTAAAATGTTGTGAGATAAAATGCCCTTTTAAAATAGCAATGGTATCTTGTCATAGTGCTTTTTAATTCAGAGGGGTTTCTTTTGTAATAGTTATTTCACAAGATTTGATTATATGAATTACAGATGAGGAGGCAGTTGAGTTTACTGCACCACTAGAAGACAAGAAGATCCAGGAAGGTGAAGATGTCACTCTAGAGTGTACTGTATCCCAGCCCGACCTTACAGCTGAATGGAAGAAGGATGGTTCCCCAGTGGAGGCCTCTGAGAGGATCAAACCCAAGTCTGTAGACACCACTCACACTCTTCATATTGAAAACGTGAGTGCAGAGGATTCTGGCGAGTACGAAGTCCAAGTCGGCGATACCACATCAAAGTCTTCTATAGAAGTTGAAGGTAATTAAATGTTAAATCTTGAATGATGCTGGATCCATGCCAAATGATCTTTTGACATACATGTAGTAAAGTCCCATTGTTTATTTATGAAATATGAATCACCTGTTGTGTGCGTTAAAAACATGTGTATATAGTTTATTTTGTACTATTTTTAGAAACACCCCTTGCATTCATACGCAAGCTGTCAGATATTGATGTTGGTGAATTACCTGGTACCGCTACATTTGAGTGCGAGCTCAACAAAGACAATGTTGCAGTGAAATGGTACCGTGACAACAAGTCCCTGGTTCCCAACAAGAAATATAAGATGATTGATGAGGGGCCGGTACACAAGCTACAGGTCAATGACATTGATGGTGAAGATGAAGGCAAATACTGGGTCATTGCTGATGGACTCAAATCTGAAGCTTCCCTCTTTGTAGAAGGTAAATTGTCTTGCAGTAATTTTAGTCTAAAATTATATTATAATATGAATTAGACAACAATTTAAAATAACACTCAAACACTGAAAGACCAATTTGCTAGCATTAGGTTTAAGAAAAAAGGACTGATAAAAATAATCTTCACATACTCAAATTGATTGAAAATGAAAATGAGAAAGAATGAAATTTTGTTTGTGTTCCAGTTCCGCCAGAATTATTCTTGGACAAGAAGTTTGAAGAAACTGTCACTCTTAAGCGTGGCCAATCTACTGCATTTGAGATACCATTCAAGGGCAGCCCGCAGCCAACAGTCACATGGTTGTATAATGGAGGAGATCTTCCAGACGCGAAGAGAATGGAAGTTCAGACTATTCGTAACATGACCACCTGTCGACTTGGTAAAGTTATTCGAACTGACGCAGGCGAATATACCCTCACTCTTGAGAACACTGTTGGCAAGACTTCACTGACAATTACTCTCAATGTATTAGGTAAGAATGTTCTGCTATGTCTTTATGTACTTTTATGGCCAATATAGGACTAAAGTAACCTGAAAAAGAGAGTATTTCCCCGAATGTTTGTGTTTTCCTTTGATCTAAACTTTGGAAGTATATAAATATAGACCAAAATACAATGTAGTATATATTTATTTTTGTAATCAAAAACGCTAATTTAAATTTACTGTTGCTTTCAGCCTTGCGACCTTCTTCATCAGCATTTATTATACATACAAATATATCAAAACAAAACAATGGAAGTGACTTATATATAATTTAAACACGAAATATTTTTATTTGATACAGATAAACCATCTGCACCACAAGACGTATCTGCTGACAATGTCACAGCTGAGTCATGCGACTTACACTGGCAACCACCAAAAGACAATGGCGGCAGCGATATCAAACAGTACGTTGTAGAGAAACGTGAAGCCAACAGACGCTCCTGGAACAAAGTCAGCACAAGTGCTACTCTGGAAATGACCATTCCCAAATTGACTAAGAATATACAGTATGTTTTCCGAGTTGCCGCTGAAAATGACGTTGGCATCGGAGAATTTGCTGAACTACCAGAACCAGTAACTGCTAAAGACACATTCAGTAAGTTGTCTCAGTAAAGAAGAAAATAAGTTTACCAAGCCTAAATTTAAAAAGCATGTTATGCCCCCATTGCAATGAAACTTTAAATGGTTTCCTTTTCTGAAATGTTGTAGTTTTGAAAATAAGCATGTACTAAAGTGGTTGTGTGGAGGCAGCAGCCCCCAATAAACAAGTGTGCTAGTATTATTTATCTTCTGCAGTCCAATTAACTAGATGTGTTCACTTTATTCAATATCTAACTGCCTATATTGAGGATGAGAAACTGAAGTTTAGATCCAGTCTGCAAGAATATGCAGTAGTCCCTTGTCTGGTTCAATACTGAAGGCATAAACTACTAGTGTCATAGACAAGATATTATCATTTATGCTAGCATTCTAAGCATTTTCTTTGTTATTTTGCACTAAAATCTTATAAGATTAAATACCAGGTTATTTGTGTCTGTAATAACTACAGTATTTTATGAGACCTCTATTATTTCAGCTGTACCGGATGCACCAGAGGCACCTAAAGTTAGTGAGGTACTGAAGAAATCAGCTCTGGTTGCCTGGCAACCACCAACCAATGATGGTGGCTCACCAGTAATTGGCTATCATCTTGAAAGAAAGACTGATGTAGGCTCACGCTGGATCAAGGTCACCAAGAAGCTTGTACCAGAATTAAGCATGCCTGTTAACGACCTTGAGGAAAGCCTTACATATCAGTTCAGAGTTATTGCTGAGAATAAAGCTGGACCAAGCAAACCAAGTGAGCCCTCACAACCAATAACAGCAAAGGATCCATGGGGTACGTCTTTTCTTTCCTTACAAGTCTATTTCAAGAAATTTAGAATATATTCAATATAAAGTCTTCTTTAAACTTTGATTGTATTTAACGGTAGTGAATAAGTTCTAAGTTAAACTAAAGTCTTTAAGTTCTTACTTTTTAAAAAGTGTTCAAACAGAAAATACAAAGTTAAATGACCATGTATCTACATATGACACCAGTACTGGTTGGTTCCAGGAAGCAGACTCGAAAGTGATTAATATAAGTTGCAAGAACTTGTTTCGCAATCTAGCTTAAATAAATATGTTTAAACCAAATTTAAAATGAGAAAAAAAAAAGAATTTTATATTTGTTCTTGCAGACAAACCATCTCGACCTGGTGTACCGGAAATAATGGGAACAGATAAATCATCTGTTGCCCTCAAATGGTCGCCACCTTCAACTGACGGTGGTGATTCTGTAGATTACATCATCGAATATCGCAGACAAGGTTCGTCCACTTGGAAACGTGCCAACAGTGTCCCGGTACAAGAGACAAATTTCAGTGTACCAGGTTTGAAAGAAGGTGACGAATATGAATTCCGTATCACAGCTCAGAATAAGGCAGGCTTAGGACCATCCTCCGAAATTTCACAGGCAGTGAGAGTGGAAACTCCTCTTGGTATGTTTTTTATTATTTTTCTATCCACTTGTTTTATTATTGTCATATTTTATGTTTTCAGGGCAGGATATTGATTTATTTAGATGAAAAACATAATAACAATTTGTTTAAATATTTATGCATTTTAATATTTTAAAACAGGCCTCCAGGTTATAAAATTTTTTTTGAGTTTTGTCTGAAATCTCAGGATTTTCATTGGACAGTGTACATTCTGAGCTGGTTTCTGACCAATCAAATACCTGAGGTCTGAGTTTGAGCTTGAAGAATTTCTTTTAACCTTGGGGCCTGATCTGTTTTCTAAGGCAACAAATCCAAGAATTTGTACTTGGTACTGTAGTGTAATCAATTTTTTTACCATAACATGTATTTCTTGTAACATAAAAAAAGACAAGGGCATCATTTTTAGAAAATTATTGTTTATTTTACAGTTGGAGTACCACCCAAGATTTTGGAACCTTTGAGTGATGTTGTTGTTATTGCACCTAAAGACGCCATCTTAGAATGTGATCTTGAACTTGGCGAACCAGAATCAGATATTAAATGGTAAGCTTTGATAGTCAACCAATAATACACAAGTACATGTATGTCTTTTAGAAATGATTCTGCCAATACTGATTACGATTTTTGTATCTAACAATAAGAATGATAAATAATTTGACCTTTATTTGACCTTTCTAGGTTCAAGGGCAATAAGGAGGTTAAGAAGAGTCCAAAATATGAGATGAGTTATGAGGATGATATTGCGGCCCTTGTGATTCACAAGACTGAACCAGATGACACTGGAACCTACAGTCTCCAGGCAACCAACCCACTGGGCAAGGTCAAATCTGAAGGCAGTCTAGCTGTACATAGTAAGTGACCTTCAACTTTGACCGTCACTGATATTTTAATAATATTAAAATGTAATGATAAATTTTTACATATTTACTAAAATAACATTTGATTTCACTCCCTTGAACATAAAAAAGCATCTGTTCATTATGAATATGAGATGAAAATATTCTGAGAAATAATGCAGTTTAAAGTATATATGTACTTGTAATTTCAGCACATCCTAAACTAGACTATGATAACAGACTTAAGGGAATACAGAACATCAAGGCTGGTACCACTCTCTCTCTGCCAGTCAACACAAGTGGAATCCCCAATCCAACCATTGCATGGTTCTTGGATGAGGAACCAATGGAGAAATCATCAAGGGTTACCATAGAAACCACAGATGACAAAACAACCTTGACGATCAAGAACAGTACCATAGACGATACTGGTGTTTATACAGTTGAGGCTGAGAACACTGTAGGAAAGGCAGTGGCTGACTTTGATGTCAATGTTAAAGGTAATTATTAGTAGCACTATCATACCAATTTTACATTAATAGGCAATATCGTTTTATTTTTTGAATTTTAATATATTTGATAAAATATTAACCGTTACAGAATTGACTAAATAAGTTAATAATTTTGATTAATCGTGGTGACCACTAACAGCGGGCAACAGTTTTTCTTTAATTCATAATTGTATCAGTATCTTATATATTGAGGGTTGGCCGCAAAACTGTTGTTAGTTCTTCTTTATTTCTGTTACTGCAGTTTTGCGGTATACCTTCAATATGCTTTCTTATATTATCTATAAGGTGGGTGGAAAAATAGATGCATACAGTTATAAATGTGTTATTCTAGAGAATGAAAAAATACTAGGAAGGGTTTTTGAATTCTTTGTAACTTTTATATAGACAAACCATCCAAGCCACAAAATCTGTCCGTATCCGAGGTGATGAAGGATTCTATTGTGTTGTCATGGCAACCACCAACCAATAATGGTGGCAGTGACATCACTGCTTACATCATCGAGAAGAGAGATGCTAAGAGAAATACATATACACAAGTTGAGAAGGTGACTGGATTAACCAATACATACGCAGTACAGAAACTCCTTGAGGGTAATGAATATTATTTCCGGGTCTCGGCAGAGAATGACATTGGTAAAGGGGAACCAGCTGAAATGGAGGCACCCATCATGGCCAAATGTCCATTTGGTATGTTTAGCTTTCTTACTTTTTAAAACATTCTGAGATGTTTATTTTGACTTTTACTAATAAATTAACACCAGAAATTTAATCAATATTTCATTATGAAATGTGTGACATTTAAATGATAATTTTCACTCTATAACATGTTATGCTTAAATTTTACCCTATTAACTTTGTATTAACCATTATTTAGTTGATTTTATGTAATGATAATGGGCATGCCCTACTTTAGGACACTCTGTGAAAAGTTTGTTCAATAGTTATACAAGCAGTTGTGTAAAGTATATTAACCAATAAAATTGTTTTATCACAAATATTATGTAATAGATTAGTCTGCATTTTTTTTCTTGAAATCATTAAAAATATTTCAAATCCTGAATTGAAATAAATTTCATGTTTTTATATGATTGATACATTTAGATGTACCTGATTCACCCAAGCATCTCCAGGCACCAGAGGTTACCAAATCAAGCGTAACATTGACTTGGGAGGTTCCACAGAAAGATGGTGGCTCACCAATTACTGGTTATGTATTGGAACGCTGCCAACTGCCTGGTTCCCGCTGGGTGAAGGCAAGCAAGAAACCAATCTCAGACACAATGTTCACAGTACCAGATTTGTATGAAAACACAGAATACCAATTCCGAGTTTCTGCAGTAAATGCAATTGGTGTTGGTAAACCATGCGAGCCAACCAGTCCAATCAAGGCCAAGGATCCATATGGTATGTTTAAGAGAAAAAAATAGGTTTAATTTTTAAAGATATACAGTGTATATTTTATTTTTAAATCTGATGTTTTGTATTAATATCTGGAAAAAAGTGATCCCAAGGAAGTATTAGAAACAGTATAATTACATGAAAATTGCGGACTTGGTTTGATTGAGTCTGTACATGAGTGATAATGAATGTGCAACAAGCACCTTTTTTTAAATTTTCTGTCTGCCTTAAAAAAATGCAGTACTAAAGGAAATGTCTTTTGAAATCCAAGAAAACTTGAAGTTTTGCTACAGCTATGAAATTCTGTAAGTTCTGATTGTATTATTAATGCTCCTAAATCTGTTTATTTGCAGACAAACCAAGTGCACCAGGTGTACCTAATGTCACTGAGGTAACAAACACAACTGCCAATCTGGACTGGACCCCACCTACAAAAGATGGTGGTAGCCCAGTCTATAACTATTTGATTGAATACAAACCAGTCTCTGGTAAGAAATGGCTCCCAGCTAACAAAGGACAGACTACGCCAGAAACCAGCTTTACTGTAACTGATCTACCAGAAGGTGAAGTCTGTGAGTTCCGAGTGACTGCTGAGAATAAAGCTGGACTCGGAAAACCATCAGATGTCTCAGAAAAGGTCACAGTGAAAGCTCCAGTTGGTAAGAATCTTCTAATTTAGATGGCTCATTCTTACATATCACAGTCACTTTATAACAATGTCACCTGACAAGAAAAGAAAATACCATTATTTTACAGCGCTGCGGATTGGTTTTAAAGCTTAAGATATTCAGTCAAAAGTTAGAAACAAAGATGTTATTATTAACAATGTTTTAAATATATGTATCATTTTGTATTATCTGTTAATAATAAAATTCTGATTCTGTCCTTATAATACAGGTACCACATTGTTTTATAAAGGAGCTTGACTTAATAATAGTTTTACGTCTGCTTTAAAACAAAACTAAAAAATGAAATAATTTTAATGTATGATTTTTACTCTATCTACAGTTGGAGAAGCTCCATCTGTCCTTGAAGGACTTCCAGATGTGTCAGTCCTACTTGGAGAAAACGCTTACATAGAATGTAAGATAAGCGGGGAGCCAGAACCTACCATTGCCTGGTTCCGTGATTCTAAGGAAATCAGAGAGAATAAGAAATACCAGTTTGACTATACCGATCTTGTTGCCTCCATCAAGATCAATGAAGTTTCAGAGAAAGACGCCACTAGTATCACCTGTGAAGCTTCTAATGACCTTGGCTCTGTGAAAACAACAGGTCAACTTGAAGTTCAAGGTCAGTGTAACTTAAAACTATTCATATTGATATAAGTATTCACAGTCATTTGTAAATGAGGTCTCTTTTTTTTATTCATTTTCTTGTGTCTTTGCTTTTTATGTAAATTCTTTCGAAAAATGTGACTTTGATCTTAATAATCTTAATTCTCGTCTTATTTCATTATATTTGAGACTTTGTTACAGATAAAATATCTTAGATTTCAACCAATAATAGCATGTCAATAATTTGGTAAGCTTAAAATAACTGTACAATATTTTGTTCTTTTAGACAAACCTAAACTTGACTACGACAACAAGTTCCGTGATATTGTGACCTTGAACTCTGGCTCAACCTTGAAAATACCAGTCAAGGTATCTGGTCTACCCAAGCCTTCTGTGACTTGGAGCAAAGACGAAAAACCAGTCAGATCCCATGGACGCTTAACTCTTGACATTAGTGATAAAGCAACAACATTGACCTTGAAAAAGGTCACAAGAGAGGATGATGGTCTATACTCGATCCTGGCTGAAAATGAGGCTGGACAAGCTACAGCTAAATTTGACATTGAAGTTATTGGTAAGTCTCAAAATTATCTTGCATGTTATTTATGACTTTTATTAATTATGGAATGTTCAACATTTCACTTGAGGAGGCATCTTGCATGGAAAGTAATTGTCATTTTTTAAGAAGTGGGACAGATGAATAAATGCGAATATTTCCATATTTAATGTCTTGTAACACAATTTATTGAGAAAAATATTCTTAGATTAATGTCTGTTTGTTTGTTTTTTTCAGATGTTCCAGAGAAACCAGAAAATCTTACGATTGATGAAGTAACTCGTGACAGTGTTACATTGTCATGGCAACCACCAAAAGATGATGGAGGTACTGACATTTTATCTTACATCATTGAACGCAGAGATCAAGGTCGTTCCATGTGGATGAAAGTCACGACAGTTGACGCTGCAGAATTATCTTACTGCGTCAAAGACCTTGTTGAAGGAAAGGAATACTTTTTCCGCGTCTCTGCCAAAAATGAAGTTGGAATTTCGGAGCCAATCGAAGTAGACAAAGCTGTTACCCCAAAGAGTGGATTTGGTATGTTTCACAGAGTGATCCCCCTTTATGAGAGATGACTGCTGCTTGGAGTTCTTCCCCTTTGTTGCATCTTGTTAATACCCATAATCAGATCATTGTTTCAAAAAGATAACTAACAATTATGTTTGCATGATTCTGTGTTTTTGTTTTATTTTTTTGTTGTTTTTTGTTGTTGTTTTTAATTATCTCCTATTACACGAAATGTTTTGATTTCAACATTATCAGATAGTTTTGTTTGTTAAACTGGCAATATTTTTTTTGACTTGATCTAAAGCAGAAGGTCAGTTAACATGGTTGTTCAAATGTTAAGATATGGCATTTAAAATCTAAGATGGCATTTTTGTATTATTTTACATTGAGAGTAGCTGAGAGAATGAAAACCATATAGTCTAAAATAGTCTCTTAAAGTTCAGTTTCAGCATCTCTTTCTATTTTCTGCAGTTTTATTTTTATAAAAAAAAATTACTTGAAATTTAAGGAAAAAAATGTACTTGATAAAAATGTTTGGACTGCTGTTGTAAGTCTTTTAAGTTAAAGCATGTGTTAGACATTAATTTAGTGAGCAGCATGATTTTTAACTAAACTTAAGTATGTTAGTCTGTACTCAAGTACATAAACTGTACTCAAGTACGTAAAGCTGTACTCGAGTATGTTACGCTGTACTCTTTGTTCAGAATGATTTTTTGTTATACATGTTTATTGTTTTGTTTATATTTAAACTATTGCTTGTTTTTATTTAGTTATGTTTACATCACATTATTATACTAGTATTTCATATAGATTGTTATCTCTTAAGCTGCTTGCTTGTATGCCATTAAATATTGTTTTCTAGATTTTATACCTCAACACAATATAGTTTAAATGTGTATAAAGTTAAATCATAAACAATATTTGTCATAAACAATATTTGTCAAGGAATAATATACATGGTGCTTTTAAGAAACAGTATTTTACTTAATTAAGCTGAATAATATACAATATATTTATATACTATTAATATAAACAAGAATATTACATTTTCAAGGTCATTTCATTTATGTACATTTTGGGAAGAACTTCAGAAAATAAGGGTTTTATTTTGTTTTGTTTTTTTTGTTATTTTTGTAATTAAATATCAAAATACTCGGTATATATCCATAACTAAATCTATAATCAAAGATTATTTAAATCCTCATTTATAAATCCCAAAGATATGAAGTAGTTACCATGGAACTCTCATTGTATCTACTGTTTGCATAATACATTATACCCAAACTTATACACAATTCCTCTATCTGCATAGGGCATAATAACCAAGACAAGAGTGTAATTGTTTTAAAATTAAAGGGTTTAAAATTCAATGTTTATTCATTTTGAACATAGTTTTCAAAGATGGAAATTGGGGAAAAAAGAACAACACACAGATTTTTAAATAAAGATGGTTCCATTGTTTAGGACTTTAAAACAGTGACTTGTGCTACCATCTCTTTTCTTAAACATTGTTGCCATGAAATGTCATTTGATTATGAGGAAAATACACTATATTTACCATATCTATGAGAAATTTCATTTCTCAGATAATCTTGTGTTCCATAATATTTGTTCTCAGATATTTTTTTTTAATCTTATATTAGCTGTGTTCTTGTAACCAAGTATCTGCAGGTAAACTCTGTTTTAAGTCATAAGATTATGTAAAATTATTTTGTGTAAATAAGATGTGGTCACATTATAGTGCTTTAATTTTGCTCTAGCTTACATAATTATACAATAAATATATACAAGAAATCTCATAATATTATATTTACATATTTATGTATTATATTTTATCATATTCTATTTTTGTATACATAATTATACAATAAAAGGATGTAAATAACTTCACAATCTTCCCTGTTTGCTTTGATTACCACTATCACCTACTTTAATTCCTTCTTGCCAATTAACAAAACACATATTAATTAATATCTAATTAAAATGAGGTACCATATCATTGATTAGTCAATGATCACCCTTATTCCAGATTTTTGTCATTAAATTTATAAAAATCTGGAATACACTGGTTAGAAGCAGTCATGGAAAACCAGTCTACAAGTAATGCTGTGTTGATGGGTAAGTTTCAAATTTTAGCTTAGAATCAATCAATCTATCAGTCAGTCAATCAAGCAAGCAAGCAATGCAGTGCTAGAGTTTATTACTTTCTCTTATACCCTTCATTATCGAATCCAATTTTAAAGATAAGATATAGGAACTAAAATATAATTGGATTCATGATATTTTTCAATGTCAAACAAAAACTAGTTTTAAAGCTACCTATAAAATTTTATAAACTTTATTTTGGAGAAGACACCAATAAGTATTAATATTGAATTATCAAGATATGTATTAACACAAATATCTGCTTCCTAAAACCAATTTATGATCTTGACATCACATTAAGAAGACTGAACATATTTGTCCTATGTTATTATTTCAACTACCACAAAATGAAAGAACCACATATTTTGAGTGAATTTTTCTTAAAGTTTTCAATAGGAGACTCCAAATTTGCGATGAACTTCACAATCAGATTGTTGAAATTAACCATCATATATAATTGTATAAAATTCTTTCATAGTTTACTGCTATAAAGAATACTAGTATTGCATCACTAATGAATATGCAAAAATTGAATGTGTGCATGCCAACCTACTAGAAAATAAAACTAGGTGCCTTATGGATCCACCTATAAATTGACCTGAAAGAAGAGTGAAGGAGTAAGGGAGACAACTGGAGATGCATGCTGAAACAAACACTGAAAGGTTATGCATGAGCATGATAATGCATTTTGAAAGAAAACTTAACATAAAATGGTAAGAAATCTCTTAAAAATAGAAATTCATACAGTTTAAGTAAAGAGAACGAGTTCAATATGTTGATGTATAAGAAAATGTAACATTTTTCTGTTCACTTCCTACTTATTATGTGAAAATATAACCAAGGGATTTTAGCCCTGTTAAAATTACTGGTTTAAAAATAGAAATTCAAACATTTTAAGTAAGGAAAACTAGTTCAATATGTTGATGTTTAAGAAAATGTAATATCTTTCTGATAAATTATTAGGATTTATATAAATAGAACACAGAACCTAACTCTCAAAAGACAAGTTTAAAAAGTAAATTTTCAACAAGATTTAATAAGTGTTGTATCATTTATTCATATTTGACATCACATGCCATGATACAATTCAATTCAATGATCAATTATGGTAATTTTGTGTTGTAAAAAACAGAAGTACCATCAGCACCAGTAGGCCCTCTGGCTGTCTCTGACATCACAGCTGACAGTGTCACGTTGTCATGGCAACCACCAAAACAAGATGGCGGCTCACCAATCACAAAATACCTTGTTGAGAAATGTGACACAAAGAAAATGTCCTGGAGCCCCGTTGCTGAGGTTGATGCAAACACTTTAAATCAGACAGTCGGAAAACTGATGGAAAATCAGCCATACTTGTTCAGAGTGTCAGCCATAAATGCTGAAGGACAAAGTAAACCACTTGTGACTGACACAGAAATTAAACCTAAAAAGCCAGCAGGTTTGTATTATATAAAGTTCAGGTTTTATAAAATGAGTAATCTTTTACTGCTTCAATCCGTAACAATTGGGCACACTCAGCTATGACTTTTGGAATAGTCTATAGGTAACTTTTAAGGGATTTTGGATCAACGTCCTGAATGTGCTAGCCAACTGAATAAATAGGTCCATGACAGTTTAACACCGTTATGTGAATACTGTACAAAAACACCCTTCTACACTGCATATCTTATAATAATAGTGGAGATTTGAGGGATACACTTATGTTACCTGACTTAATTTGTATAATCAATGAGATAAACACCACTTGCCCCTCACTGCTGTTGGTTTGAATCCAGCAGTATACCTGAGGTCTTCCTCCATCAGTAAAACTGGACCGTCACCATATGACCTTATACTGTGTTAATGTGACATATAAAAGCCAATCAAACAAACATCAAAAAGATACACTAGTAACTTTGGCCTATTGTCTGATCCAAATTTGTTATTCATTTCCTTATTGACAAAATCTAACATTTCAATCATAAATGAACAGAATTCAATTGCCTCTCAGTTTATAAAGTATTTATTGTAAGTAAAAGTTAAACACCACTTGTCTCTCACCACTGTGAGTTTGAATCCTGACAGGTACTTAGGATTCTTCCATGTGAGGAAGCTATCAAGCTAGCTTATGGAATGTTGATGGTTCTACTCAGGTGCCAGTTCGTGCCTAAATTAATACACGAAAGGGCAACTGAGGTCTTCCTCAACCAGTAAAGCTGGAATGTAGCCATATGACCTATACTGTGTCAGTGAGACGTAAAACCCAATCAATCAGACCAATCAAAAAGATACACATTAGCTTTTTGACTGATCTATGTCTGAAATGCAAACGTGTTGTTCATTTCCTCATGACAAAATCTAAACTCATTTTCAAAATTGTTCAAGTAATAATTACAATGTACTTCAATTACATCTTAGAATGACCAATATGAATTTTTGGCCAACTTAAACTTACAGAAGCTCCAAGTAAGCCAGGCAGTAGTGTGACCTTCACAAAACCAACCAAAGACAGTGTTGTCCTAAACTGGACCGCACCAAAGAAAGATGGCGGTGCACCAATTAAATCCTACAAGATCGAAGTGTCAGAGGATGGCAAAATTTGGCGTGACTTGACAACAGCCAATAAATTATCGACACAATTCACGGTGAAAGATCTTGAGACGGGAAAAGATTATTACTTCAGAGTCTCAGCTGAGAATGATGTTGGATATGGTGAATGTGCAACATCAGAAGTATTTAAACCAGTTAAACCAATAGGTAAATGTTATAGTTATTCTCATTGCCAGATTGTTATGTTTTCTATAGAGAAGCAACACATTATAATGCTGAACTATCATTTATTAACTGATTTGATACAGAGCGTGGCACGCTTAGATAAGGTTAGTAGACCAAAGAGTAACAGAGTTATACACAATAGTAAGTAAACTTAATCAAACAAAATATCAGTTTTAGGGATAGATGCGATCATCAGGTCACATTGCTATTTATAAATTAAAGTAACTAACCTGATAAGATTATTTATATAAGAGTCTTGAAGGTTACCAGTGTGTTATTAACATCTTAAAATAAAGCTGTAGTGAGAATAGTTCACAAAATACATTCTGTCACATAATTATTGAATTATTGAACAAAATTTACTTTTATATAACTCTTTGAAATATTGCATGAATGAAATTTGGCAATTTCTTTTTACTTAAGTAGCTAAAAAGTGTCAGTTTCATATCTTTAACTGTGTCTCATCATTATCAAATATATAACAACATACAGAAATGCAGCCAAAAGTACATACTGATTTGATTGATCAACAAATTTGTATTTTTAAATTAACTCAAACATATTTGTGTTAATAAAAGTAAAAATGGCTCAACATTTTTTAGATATTACTTATTTATGTTGAACATTTTACCTATGTATTAAATTATTTAAATTATAGAAGCTCCAGAGAAACCTGAGTCAGTAGAGGTTCTGGATGTGCAAAAAACTACCGTGAAACTCCAATGGAAACCCCCAACTTACGATGGTGGTTCACCAATTACTGGTTACATGGTAGAAAAACGTGATATGAAGAGACCAACTTGGACAAATGCTGGTAAAACATCTAAAGACGTGACTGAGATCACTGTTGACAAGCTTCTAGAGGGTTCAGAGTACTTGTTCAGGGTCAAAGCTGAGAACAAGAAAGGTCAAAGTGAACCATGTGAGACCAAAGCACCTATTGTTGCCAAGAGTCCATATGGTTGGTGTTTTATTTTTAACTTTTAAACATAAAGAGAACAAAGCTTATTGTTTTACTTATGCATTAACATCTGCACAAAAGGATATTAAATAGAAATAAGAAAGCTGTAAATTTCATATGATTATATGCTGAATATCAACCAATCAAAATCTTTAATAAAAGAAAACTTTTATTTAGTTTTGATAATGATATTGTTTATACAATAATAGAGTAACAGCATGGCCGAGTGGTTAACTCTTCGGACTAGTAATCTAGGGATTGCTGGCCACGTGGGTTCAAGCCCCGTCCAGGGCATGTGGTTGTTTCCTTGAGCAAGAAACTTTACACTAATTGCTAAGTACTGCTTGGTTCCAGGGACAGATTCAAGAGTGTTTCAATAAGATTATAGCTTCCATCACAATCAAACTTAAATAAATTTGTATAAACTTAACTAATTATCGTTTTTAAATTTTTGATTATGAAATTAAAAATAATAATCTAATTCCAGATGTACCATCTCAACCAGTTGGGCCTTTGCTCGTTGATAATATCACCAAGGAGTCTGTTGATCTGTCATGGCAACCACCAACTTCCGATGGAGGCTCACCAATCAAAAACTACCTGATTGAATACAAACAACCATCAAAATCTAATTGGGTAAAGGCAGGAACCACAGATGGGTTGACAACAGATTTTACTGTTGAAGGACTGATGGATGGATTAGATTATGTGTTCCGTGTATCAGCCATAAATGAGGAGGGTCAGAGTAAACCTCTCGAAACAGAAAAATCGGTGAAACCACAAAAGAAAATTGGTAATTATATCCATATTATACTTGTTCTGGTAATCATGTCTTCTTGTGTAGTGCACTTACAATTGCCTTTCAATTCTTGACATGAGAAAAGATATGAATTGGGTAGTAACTGTGTTGTTTTGGGGTTTTTTTTCAGGACAATACTTGTTCATTTAATTAGCTTTAATGTGTTTCCTTATGTTCTATTTTCTATTCTCTTCAGCTCTTTCAATTATCTTTTATTCTTTACACTTGTTTATTTCGCAATTTGAAATAAAATGTTCTATGCTGAAAAAAATGTTTGAGCTGTGAGATTATCTATTTTTAGCTCCACCTTCTGCCCCAGAAGACCTCAAGGTTGTCAAAGTAGACAAAGATTCTGTAACCATTGAATGGAAGAAACCTGCCAGCGATGGTGGCTCTAAGCCCACTGCCTTTATTGTCAGTAAATGTGAGGCTAAATCAGATGAATGGGTCAAGGTCACGACCTTGAAGCCACAAGAAATGGTGTACAAGTTCAAGGACTTACCAGAGAAGAAGTTTTACTTCTCAGTAGCAGCAGAGAACGCAGCCGGTGTTGGTCCTGCAGCTGAAACACAGAAACCAGTGAAACCTGAGTACCCATTAGGTATGATAACAGTGTTGATGCAAGAAATTATATTCCATGTATAAAGTTTAGATCATTTTATTCAATACAATCCTATGAAATATATATAGATTTATTTTTAATGGTTTCAGAAAATAGTTTTTTTTGGGGGGTACTTTTATTTGCTTTAGGTGACTCCTTCATTTCTGAATTAATTTAGTACTAAGGTTACTCAGTTGCATGAAGTATAGCTTATGTTAATGTCCTTATTAATTATCTTTTAGAAATGATACTGTTGAACTTATATTGTTTCTGCATTTGTTTTATTAATTCTTTTACTTTTATTTTTTTTTACCTAGATACATTTGTCTCATATTTATACTACTTTACATTTTTCTTTGATTGAGATACAAGTTTAATGATAAACTACAAGTAACTGATTACCTTCTACTAGGTCCACCAAGCACACCAGTTGGTCCACTAACAGCTTCCGACATTGATGGAACTGAGCTCACATTGTCATGGCAACCACCAGAACATGACGGAGGTGCTCCACTCACCGGATATTTCATTGAGAAACGTGAAGGTTTCAAACAATTCTGGGGCAAGGTAGCTAGAATACCTGCAGATACAGAGACATATCATGTGACCGATTTAACTGAGAATACAAACTACCTGTTCCGTGTGTCTGCTGAAAATAAAGAAGGGTCGAGTAAACCATTAGAGATGAAAGATTCAGTAACACTGAAGAGTGCCTACAGTAAGCATAATTTCATTATCAATATGATTTATTTTTACATAATTATTTAATTTTTAAATCATCACAAGAAACCAGCATCAACAATTGCCTTTAGTAATTTAGGACATTAAGTATTTTGTTATAAAAGTTTTTTAGAAGAAAGTATGAGATATACGGATATATACTAGTTTTATGTTATACATGTAAATAGTTCAAAAGCATGGATGTTGTAAGGTGCCAAAACATTGAACTGCAATTTAAAGCTATCAGGAAGACCATACATGTCTACAGTTTGTTTATATAATTGTACCAGGTTATGGTATATTCAAAGTTTGCACTAAATTAACTTGTAAGTCAAGAAATAAAAGATTTGTCAGATCTTTTGTTTAAGTATCTTGGCTTTAATCTTGTTATAGTTAATGAAAAAAATATATATATTATTCTATTTATAGAAGCACCAGACCAACCTGTAGGACCAATCAAAATCTCTGATGTTACACAAGACTCGGCAACTGTAACCTGGAAACCACCACGTAACGATGGCGGTTCCCCAATCACTGGCTACAATATAGAGTACAGAGAATCTCGCCGCGGTTCATGGACCAAGGCTGGTTCTGTTGATAAAGACACAACATCATGGACCCAGTCCAAGCTTCTGGAGGACAATGAATATTTCTTCAGGGTCACGGCTGTCAACAAGAAAGGTGAAAGTTCACCACTAGAGGGACAGGAAACTGTTAAACCACTTAAACCTCTAGGTAAGGACATTTTGTTTGAAGTTTTTTTCTTCTTTCTTTGTTTGACATCATTTAATCCAAGAGATTCATTGTTCAATTTTATGTTACCTTTTTATTTTGAAGTTATTTTGAATTTATTTTGAAATATTTACGCAAGATATATTCCAAATGAAATTTAAAAAAAAAAGAAGCTTTTCTCTAATTAAACAATAAATGTCTTATTTAGGTGCCCCAGGTAAACCCGAAGATGTAAAGGTCAAGGATGTCAAGAATGATACAGTGTTCTTGGCCTGGAATAAACCAAAGGAAGATGGCGGGTCTAAGATTAACTCATATACTGTCCTTATGAAGGAAGATGATGGTGAATTCAAAGAAATTGCAAAACTTAAATCATTTGACAATGAGTATAAAGTCAAAGGTCTTGAACCCGGCAAAAACTACAAGTTTGCTGTTATTGCTGGGAACAAGGTTGGAGACAGTGAAGCTACTGAAACAACTACACCAACTGTTCTGAAAAAGAAAGCTACAAAACCATCAGCACCAGTTGGACCAATCGTATTCTCCGATATTCAGAAAACTTCCGTTGTGATTACATGGAAACCATGTGAGGATGACGGTGGAGCCCCGTTGACTGGTTACTATATCGAAATGAGAGAGGCATCAAAAACATCGTGGAGCAGGGTAACAACTGTAAATGCTGATATAACATCGTACTGTGTACAGAGATTAAAGGACAGACAAGAATACTTCTTCCGAGTATTTGCTGAGAACAAGATTGGCAAGTCAGACGCCCTTGTCTCTGATGGTGTGACTGTCAAATCACCATTTGGTATGTGCTAGTTTGTCTTTATAGTGACATGTTTTTAGTATTAAACATTACTGATTTAAGTTAGTTACAACAGAGTGGAGATAAAATAAATGAGAATTTTTTTTTTATCAAACACCTATGCTGCTTTTGCGACTCTTTAAAAACGCTATTGCATGACAGTGCATATATTTTGAAGTCTGTCATTTGCGTTATACAAACATAGGGTAAAGATTTTTAAATGTAAACAGTTTAATTGTGGGTATGTGATAAATAATATATTATATTCATGTAGATTTAATACTTAAATTATTGAAATATTTTAATAAAACAATATTATAGGCTTGCTTAATATGTTTTTATTCCACTTGTTCAATATGCTCTATATATCACTTTTCTTTTTTCCAAACCATAATTTACAGACAGTTCATCAAGTGGCTTAACATATACATTGTAGTTTTAACATATTATATTGTATTACTGTTTTTTTGCATTTCTTATTTTCAAATCTAGATGTACCAGATGCTCCTGAAGGCCCAGTAGAATTCAGTGACATCACCAAAGACTCTGTTACATTGTCATGGAAACCACCAAACAAAGATGGCGGATCAGAAGTGACAGGTTACGTGATCGAACAACGTGACACACGTAGATCAACATGGACGAAGGCTGGTACAGTTAACGGTACAACTACAACTTACACAGCTACCAGACTGATCGAAGACAACGAGTACATATTTAGAATTACAGCAGAGAACAAGGAAGGTCCTAGTGCAGTCCTAGAATCATCACCAGTCAAACCTTGTAGACCTAAAGGTCTGTTAAAAAACTATTATGTTTTATTTAGTTTTATTTCATTTTAACTAAAAACAAAGCGAGTTTGAATCATAGCGACAGTTTGAAAGTGATTTTTTTTTATTTCAATATTTTATTTCATATAAAATCATGTATACGTCTGGTACATATAGAATTGAAAAAACACAGTTATACAATATTAAATACTAAGCTATCTAAAATTTCAAATTTAAAGCCATTTTTCTTACAGTTCAAGTTAACTACTGCTGTTTATTGTATTCAAATGTTTATAATGTTTTTGTTATGATTTTTTATCTTTTAAGACAAAGGTTTATTTATCATCAACAAGGTTATGGTGATGATTTTGTTTAGTAATTTTTTGCTGTACAATATGTTACTTTATTTAATGATTGTGTTTACAGCTGTGCCATCGGCACCTACACTTCTCACTGTACAAGACAGGAAACCAACCAATGTGACCTTGACCTGGAAACCACCTAAAGATGGTGGCAGTGACAAAATGCAGGCTTATCATATCTTTGTTCGTGAAGGTGAAGGCAAATGGTTTGGGGTCGGCAAGGTCAAGGCATTTGATATGGAATATAAGGTTGATAACCTGAAAACAGATAAACCGTATTACTTTGCTGTGTGTGCAGAAAATTCTGTTGGCAAAGGACCATTGGCTGAGACAGACACACCAACTGTTCTGAAAAAACGAACAGGTATTGAGAATATTATATATTATATGATCATATCATAGAAATCAATAAAAAATGAACTGCGTATAGAATACATTTCTTCTTCTTTTCCAATATGTAAGAAATGACTTTATGATCGTTTGCAAAAGAAATATCTGTTAAATCTTTTATTTTAACATTTGAATGTACTTGCCCATGATACTTGTAAATTTTATTTGAATGTCTTCAAGATTTATCTGATATTATTTTTTGTCTATAGTTGCCCCATCACCACCAGTTGGACCAATTGAATTCTCCAACATAACCTGTACCTCCGTCACTGTAACCTGGCAACCACCAGAGGATGACGGAGGAGCAAAGGTCAAAGAGTACATTTTGGAAGCTAAAGAAGTAACAAGAGCATCTTGGTCTAAGGTGGCAACTGTTAGCTCAGTCAGTACATCTTACGATGCTGAGAAACTTAAAGACAAGCAAGAATATGTGTTCCGTGTCTCGGCAGTGAATTCTGTTGGCCAATCAGAGCCCTTGGTTTCAGACAAAGTCCAGTTGACCTCTCCATATGGTAAGCTACATGTAGTTTCTTGAAATTTTTATATGAAGTATACAATTTATTTTTATTTAATGTTATGTTACACTAAAAGTTTTATTTTATGTATCACAAATCTAATGAAAATAGCTGTGTTTGTAGTGTCATTGTTAACATGTGATAAATTGTAATACTAATAAATATAAGGAGATGTAACTTAAGATTTATCTAGGTTCTATTCATCTAAAATTTTATAATACAGATTAAATAAATCTTATATGAGAATTTGAATTCAAACTTTCATGTTTATCTTAATTTTGCATTAATTTTGTATTAGATGTTCCATCTAAACCTGTCGGACCAATAAACGTGTCAAAGGTCACTGAGTCATCTGCTACATTGTCATGGCAACCACCTGCCTATGACGGAGGAGCACCTGTCAAACACTACATCGTTGAAAGTAGAGAGGGTATCTCTGGAATTTGGAAAAAGGTATAGAGAATAAGAAAAGAATGTTCTAAAGTTTTAAACATACATTTCCAAAATCTGTCACCACACAATTTCTTTGTAAGATTATCATAAAAGTTACAAACTGTACAGAATTCCATCTACAACAATTATGTTTCCTTTATGATAAACCTATACTGTGCTTGAAATATTACACAGAAATTTGCTAAATAGAATATGTTTAAACTAAATATTATACGGAGAGCCATCTGTGTTCTTCCTGACGGTCTGTGACTAATCTGTTTTAGTGTTACAAATGTGACAAAAAAATTTCTAACCATGAGTTGTTAATCATCATTTGCTAATTTATACATAACTTAATACCAGGTGGCTGAAGTCCGTCCTACAGAAACAAAGTACAAGGCTGACACATTGAGAATTGGCAGTGATTATGACTTCCGCGTTATAGCTGTCAATGTCGAAGGTCCGAGTGAACCATTACAAACCTCAGAACCTGTTGAAATTAGGAAGAAAATAGGTAAGTGTAAATGATGAATGTAGTATATTATAGAAATTTTTTTTTATTAAATTCTCATAAAGATTTCATTATTAGTACAGTAAAGTTAGAATTATAATAATCCATCTGTTTTCGATCATTTCAAGGTGAACCAGAAGCTCCTGCCACTCTCAAGGTCACAAAGGTGTCACCAGACTCAGCAGACCTCAAATGGACGCCACCCACGAGTGATGGTGGATCAAAGGTCAAAGGTTATCATGTTTACATGGCAACAAGCCCAGGAGAATGGACGGAGGTTGGCCAGACAAAGAGTTTTGATGAGAAGTTTACTGTACCAAATCTGACAGAAGGTCAGTCATATTACTTTGCTGTGGCAGCAGAAAACGACGCTGGTGTTGGACCTAAGGAAGAACTTGACAAACCAGTTATTGCCCAGAAACCTAAAGGTAATTTAGTTTATACAGAATTTAATTTAGTTCGATTGTGTAGGAAGCTATTAGCTTATAAACACACTTTCGAATCCGTTCCTGGAACCAACCAGTACTGAGCAATGAGTGTAAGGTTTCTTGCTCATAGAAACAACGACTTGCCCCTGTTAGGGTTTGAACCCATGCGGCTAGCGATCATTAGATTACTAGTCCTACGCGTGAACCACTCGGCCATGCCGCCACCAAAGCATAAAGGTAATTTAAATGTAATCTCTGTTTAAAATAAAAACTTAACAGTTTATAGGCAATGGAGAGCTGAGTTTGACTTTTGTTCAAGGATATATGGCTTCTCTGTTTGGTGAGATCAGATGAATCATTCAGGCCTTTTTTGTCTACTTTTGTTTTGGTGAGAACTGGTATTTGCTTCATTGTATGCATTGATTGTGATTGGAATTATAGAAATCTTAATAATTGTCACGCAATTTTGTTTTGGATTGTATCTGATGTGTATTATAGAGGATAACTGATAAATTATACACTGTTATAAACAATGTTGTTGATTGTCCTACTTTTAACTAAATTATCTTGTTTTCTAGGAAAACCATCAATTCCAGAAAGTCCATTTGATGTTGTCAAGGTAACAGAGGACAGTATCAAGTTCTCATGGCAACCAAGCAAAACAGACGGAGGTTCTCCAATCACAGCATATATCCTCCAGATGAGAGAAAGCTGGAAATCAAAATGGAGTGAATGTGGAAACACTGAGCCCGACACATGTGACTTCACTGCAAAGAAGTTGAAGGACGGAGAAGAATATTTCTTCCGTGTTTGTGCAGAAAATGCAGTTGGACAATCTGATTTCTTAGAAATGCCTAAAGCAATAAAGGCAGAAAAACCAAAGAGTGAGTACTTAATGTTTTTCAATTTTCATCAGAATTATAAGATTGATTGTATGTCCTAATAGAAAGGTACTGGATTAGTTTTCAGAATTGCATAAAAAAGAATAATTCTTGCATTAATGTATATTTTAAGAATAAAGTCCTCAGAATAATCTCATATTCAATATCTTCAGTTGTAGTTAACTTGTGTTTTGTGTGGATTTTAAGCTGACATTAAAAATAACATTTATTTTTATCTTAGCTGCACCAAGTCCACCACAGAACGTCAAAGTTACCAAAGTATTGACTGATGGAACAGCCAACTTTGAATGGAAAGCTCCTGCTGATAATGGCGGATCCAAAATACACCACTACCATGTGTACATTAGTCACGAGGGTAAGGATGACTGGAAGGACGTAGAAACTACTGATGCATACAAACTCAACTCTCAGGTTAAAGACTTGAAGTATGAAAAGAATTACATTATTGCTGTCACTGCTGAAAATGATGTTGACGAAAGTGAAATGGCAATGATTTCTGAGCCGATAAAGATTGACCGACCAAGAGACGTTCCCTCGCCACCAGTTGGACCAGTTGTGTTCTCAAACATAAATAAGACATCAGCAACTATGAGCTTTAAGAAGAGTAAAAGTGACGGATACTCACCAATAACGCACTATATTGTAGACGTTAGAGAGAAATTCAAGCGTACATATACCCACATGACTGATATCCGTGCTGATCAAGAATTAACTTGTGAACTCACAAATCTGACAGAGGGACAAGAATACCAGGTTCAAATAAGGTCGGTAAACTCTGTTGGCACATCTAAACCATTGGAGTCGGACAATACTGTCAAGCCCAAGAGCCCATACAGTCCACCATCTGCACCAAGGAATGTCAAAACAAGTGACATTACCACAAGCGGAGGTGTGCTTGATTGGAAAGCACCGGAGAAAGATGGTGGCGCCCCAATTTCTAAATATTATGTAGAAAAACGTGAAAAGACTTACGGCTCATGGAAACCGGAAGGTACAGTTGAAGCACCAACAACAAGCCTGGAGTTGAAACGGCTACAGGAAGGTGTGGAATATTACTTCAAGGTGTGTGCAGAAAATGAAGCTGGCAAAGGCCCATTTTCTGACATGGTTGGACCTGCAAAACCAGAAAAAGAAAAAAGTAAGTAGGAAATGTGTACTTCGTGATTGATTATAAATGAATGAATTGACTTAAATTAGGATATACCATATTTATTCTGTATCAGTGATGAACTTTTTTCATTTGTAAATTTAGTGATAAGACTGATCTATTTATAATATCAATTTCTTTGAAAGAATTTTTTTTTCTGATTTCTTAGTTAATACAGTCTTCTTTTTGAGAATTATACATTAAGATTATTATTTTCACTTATGACTTTTCAACCTACATGTATCTTTTGTATTTATTTTAAAAGCTGTCCCTGACAAACCAGTTGGACCAATCAAATTCAAAGACATTGACGCCACCAGTCTCACCCTGGAATGGCAGCCTCCTAAAAACGATGGCGGCTCAAAAATAAGTGGATACAAAATTCAGGTTACCACCGATCAGAAGGTATGGACGGATGTAACAATATCCCAGAAGACAGTATACCAAGTGACTCAGCTAACAACTGATCAGTCATATAGATTCAGGATCTATGCTTTCAATGACATTGGTGAAAGCAAGCCTCTGGATTCAGATGAAGTTATCTGCACTATACCTAAAGGTAGACAATACATTTAGTTTACACAAATTCATTTCAGTTTGATTGTGTTGGATGCTATAAGCTTATTGAAACACTATTGAATCTGTTCCTGGAACCAACCCAGTACTAAGCAATGAGTGTGAAGTTTCTTGCTCACGGAAACTAATGCTTCACCCTTATGGTTTGAACCCATGCAGCTAGCAATCCTCAATTCGGTACATTTGAAGGTGGACATTTTTATAAGAGTTAAAATGTTCATTAAGTTTTCTTCTGATAGGGACAGAACTATTTTGAAATAAGAAATTTAAGTTTTAGACTGGTTCTTGTTTGTCATCTTCTTTTAATGCGATTTTCCTTTTCTTGAATTTCATGTCCTTTTGGATATTACAATAAAAGTTTTAATTTTGATTCTTTTTGTTAAAAAGGTAAACCAGGCCGACCATGTGAGCCTATTGAGACTAAGCCATTAACCAAAGATTCTGTAGAGTTGTCATGGCAACAACCAGAACATGATGGTGGACACCCAATCACTGGTTATATCATTGAAAAACGAGACAAGTCATACACACGTTGGACTCACCACGAGAAGACAGCAGACGCTAATACGTCGACCATCTTGAAACGTCTTCAGACTGGTTCTGAGATGTACTTCAGAGTGGCGGCTGTAAACAAACTTGGCGCTGGTGAACCACTTGAAATGACTAAACCAATCACAATCAAGAGTCCATATGGTCAGTTCCTATTTTCATCTTAATATATAATAAAACAATTTCTGAAAGATAAAAGTTAGAAATTTTTGAATATTTAACCAAATCCGCAGGAATAAGTTAACATAAATATGGGTCCAGGAATTGTAAATAAAAATTTATTGAATCAAAGAGATTTTTAGCTGAGTAAAAAATACATGAGAATTTGAAAAAGGAAAAAAAAAATTATGAAAAAGTTTAATTTCTCTCCAGAGATTTACTGCCTCACAAAAGTTTATTCAAAGATTAATTTTACAGCAGTAAAACAGTGTACACAATTTATGTAATATACAGTTGATGTAAATTATATCCGCAAGATTGTGTCTCTTATGGTAATGATATGTTTTTGTAGATGTACCATCTGCTCCAGTTGGACCGCTAGAGATTTCAGATGTTACTGAAAATAGCTGCCTACTCAAATGGAAACCCTCTGAAAAAGATGGCGGCAAACCAATCACCAAATATGTGATTGAAATTCGTGAATCTCGCCGAAGCATGTGGAGCCAGTGTGGTACAGTGGAACCCAACGTTACTAAATTTAGCCCAAAGAACATAATGATCGGAAATGAGTATTACTTCAGAGTGAAAGCTGTTAATGATGAGGGAGAAAGTGCACCTCTTGAGGCGCAAGAACTGGTTGTTCCAAAGAAAAAGATTGGTATGTTGTTCAAAATGATTTTACTTCAGTTTCATGATGGCTTTAAATACAGAAAAGATTATGACTTGTCACTATGATAAATAGATATTTTATTTTATTATAGATTTAAGATTAATTTCAGAAAATTCATTTCAGTTTTTTAAACAGATGAATTTACTTCATGCTCAATAGTTCCATGTTGTTGTTTTTTGAAAAATAGATTGAATATTTATAAATACACATGCATTAAGATTTTGAAATTACATTTACTGTGCATGATATAACATATGGTATAAAATAAAATTTCAGAACCACCAAGTAGCCCCCAGAAATTGACAGTTGATCGTGTCACAGACAAGGATGTCAGTGTAACTTGGCGTGCACCAAAGTCCGACGGAGGTGCTCGTATAAAACAGTACAAGATTTACAAGAAATCTGACAAACCAGGCAGTGTATGGACCGATGCTGGAACTGTTGATTCATTTAAAACAAACGCTACAATCACGGGACTCTCACCTGATGAGAAATACACATTTGCTGTAATGGCCGAGAATGAAATGGGTCTTGGAGAAATGGCTGAAACTGATCGACCAACTGTTCTTCAGAAACCTCTCAGTATGTATTATAACAAATTCATTCATAACAAATGTTTATTTATGCATAATTTATTTTTTTAGTTTTTATTACGCCTTAGGTACTTTTGTTTATAGTATTGAAGGCAGGCCAAAGCAAAATGTTTGGGTGTGAGTTTTTTGGTTTTTTTTTTTGTATTTTCAGGGTATGTGGTGAATACAATATTATGTAGGTATTAAAACTTATTCAAAAATTTGAATTAAAACTTTTTTTTAATTTTTATTTCCGCTTGGCTTGTTAAAAAAGTAGGCCGCAATTTTATATCTATTTTTTTTGTTTTTATTTTATGTTAGGGTATGATGATTCAAATAATCTAGAAACATATTTTATAAATATAATAATTTTATAGTAAAAAAAAATCACCATTGTTATAACAGATTCTCTTTGTATCATAGCTCCACCTTCTGCCCCAGAAGGACCAATGGAAATCAAGGAATTGACTAAAAATAGCGCAACCTTGACCTGGAAGGAAAGCAGCGAAGACGGAGGTTCACCAATCACCCATTACCTGGTTGAACAACGTGAAGCCTGGAAAACAACATGGACATATGTAGAAAAGAAGAAGGCCCCAGCAACGTCTCACAAATTTACACGTTTGACCGAGGGTGCTGAATACATAGTACGAGTAAAAGCTGAAAATAAGATAGGACAGTCAGAACCACTGGAAAGTGAGAAATTCACACCAAAGAACCTGTTTGGTAAGCATTATAGATTATGTAAAAATTTTGTGGTTTTGTTTCACAAATTAAAAGGAAATAGATTTCTTACTAATCTATAGAATGTCATTTTGTAGATTTTTCAAGGTTTTTATTGCCTTAAAGAATTGATAGCGTGAATCACATATCAAAAGTAAATTTGCTCCCCTTTTAATCTGTTTCCCAATTTTCAGGAAAAAATGTCTCTCTTTGCTTATATCTATATTTGACTAATTATTAAAGTTTTATGTTTAATAAAAAAACATAATTTATTGTAAACCTAGAACTGTATACATTTGTGAGCTGTAAATATTAAAAGTTGTAAAAAATGTAGTTACATTCTAATAATTTATACTTCCTTTTTAGGCACATTCTAATAATTTATATTTTCTTTTTAGGCCCGCCCTCAGCTCCTAAAGGCCCACTTGCAGTGTCAGATCTAACAGCCAACTCTTGCAAACTCTCCTGGAAGGCCCCTGAAAGTGACGGCGGAAAACCACTCAAACATTACATTATTGAACGTCGTGACTCTAAACGTTACACCTGGACTGAGGTAGAAACAGTCAGACCGAAGCAGACATCTGTTGATGTGTCTCGTCTTATCGAAGGTGTAGAATATGACTTCCGTGTGTTTGCTGAGAATGAGGAAGGCAGAAGCCCGGCTCTTGAAACTAAAGACAAGATTCTGTGCAGAAAATCTGCATGTAAGTATTAGTTAGATGTTTTAAAGTCAATTTAGTATAAATGAAATAATGTTTTAGATACTGTCTTATTGAAATTACTTATTACCTAATATACACTGATATAGGGCATGGCTTTGTTACATGTTCTATGAACAAAGTTAGTTTATATAAGTAAGTTAGGATGAAAAGTATGTCCATTAATAAGTCAGAATAATAAGTTTTCAACCATAAATATATCATTTTAATTAATACATTATTTTCTCTGTAGCAAAACCAGATACCATCAGTGGAAAACTTCGTACAAGCGACCTTGGCCAGGATTCTGTAAAATTGTCATGGCAACCACCACTAGATGATGGTGGTTCACCAATCACTCGCTACATACTTGAGTCACGTGACATTGGATCTCGAGACTGGAAACCATTAACAGATCTTCCAGCTAAAAACAACGAATATGTCGTGAAAGATCTTGTTGAGGGCGAAGAGTACGAATTTAGAATAATGGCGGAAAATAGCGTTGGTCGTAGCAAACCTGTAGAGACGGATTCTCCTGTAAAACCATACAGAGATCTTGGTATGTAGAAATTTCATCTTCCTTTTCTAAAAGGTTGATGTTTCTACTCTGGGCAATACTGCAGTCAGAAATAATGCTCTGAGGGGGCACTGTTAGTCCTCCTGTTTCAACAAAACCTGAAAAGTCTTTACAGTGACTTAAAACAGTGTTGGTTTGACTTAAAAGAAAACTGCAAAAACAAGATGCAAGACAACATAAGCATTCAAAGACCAGTTCATAAAAAGTTTTGCTTTGTGCATTATGGAACGATTTTTTGTGTTTTTATAATGAATTTAAATGATCTTCTAACTGCATTTACAATACCAGTAGCCTTGCCAGGTAAAATTTATTATTTACATGAAATATTATAATCCAAACTATTCTATAGGAAAGATAACAAATTTTGAAGATGTCATTTTACGATTCATAATGAATTTCCTGCATGATTTATACTGATTTATCTCACATATATTTTGAAACATATTTTGCAGAAGCTCCAGGCTGCCCAACAGGACCTCTGGTATCTAGCGACCAAACTAAGGACTCGCTGACATTGTCATGGAAACCACCAAAATATGACGGAGGCTCACCAATCACTGGTTACATGATTGACAGAATTGACCTTGATCAAGGTGGTTGGGTACACAGTGCACGTCTGCCTGCAGATGCCACCTCTCATACTATAGGAAATCTTGCCAAAAACCATCGTTATAACTTCAGAGTTTATGCACAAAATAAAATTGGAACAAGTGAACCAATTGAACTGTCTGAAGCTGTTAAACTCACCAGTGGCATAGGTGTGTATTCTAAAGCTCTTATGCTTACACTTTCCAATTGATTGAGAAAAAATTTATCTAGAGGAGTTTTTTTGGATTTTTTGTTTTGTTTATTTAATTGATTATTTTAAATGAAGCTTAACACAGTTTTCTTTCTGCATGGATTATGATTATGTAACATAGTAACTTTTTTGTAATTTCTGAAGATATTACAGTTATTGTCAAGGTTATATTTTTTCATATTTTTACATTTAAGAGGCTATATGAAATAATATGTGTTTTATATTTTCATTTCAGATGTGCCATCTGCTCCAGAGAAACTGAAGGTGAAGGACTTCACCAACGATTCTATCAGTATTCAATGGTCTGCCCCTACCTCAACAGGTGGCGCACCAATCACTGGATACACAATTGAGAAGCGTGACATGAGTCGCCAGCAGTGGAGCAGAGTTGATGGTGTTGACAAAAAGCAGACGTCATACACTATTCCTAACCTCCTGGAAGGAAGACCTTACTTGTTCCGTGTCATGGCTGAGAACTCTGAAGGACTTGGAGGACCAGCCGTCCTTGAAAATCCAGTCGTACCAGAACAAGAAGTCTGTAAGTAATTTTTTTTTTTAATTTCATTTATCTTTTTATGAAAAATTGACTTTGATAATAGAATTTTCATAAAAAATCATTTTTCTTTTATTTTTTATAAAAATCATAGAAGTCTTAACATTAAGTTAAATGTAGTTATTCTTAATTAGGTATGTACATGTTTATTAAGTTTTTCAAAAACTTTTTAAGTTAGGCACTTTGTTTATGAAGCACGTTTCAGTTATCTTGATTTTGTTATTTTCAGCTGCACCGAATGCCCCTGAACTTCTTGAGGTAACCAGTCTTGAGAAAGACTCAGCCTCCATTCGCTGGAAGAGACCAAAGTTTGACGGAGGAGCCCAAATAACAAACTATCTTATAGAAAAACGTGAAGAATTTAAAGATGACTGGACCAAGGTCAAACAAGTTGACAATTTCCAGTTAAACTATCAAATAAGAGACCTGGTACCAGACAAAAAATACTACTTCCGGGTCACTGCTAAAAATAGCATAGGTCTCGGAGAACCATGTGAATTGCAGGAACCAGTCGTTCCAAGCAGACCAGCTGGTAAGCTATTATTTCTAAGTCAGCATTTTTCTGTACTCAAATGCTATTTCCTGTACATTGCAAGGAAAATATAGAACATGAAAAAACAAAACAAAAAAACAAAAACAAACTTAAAGAGTTTAATAAAAGGGTATGAACTGCCATAGATATTTATTCAATTTCTATGCATAATTTGTCTGAATCAAAATCAGTATTTGTAGCTTAATAAATGGTACCATTGATATTGTTGATTGCACTTAATGAACTTTTTTTCGAATTTTGCAGATAAACCAGGTAAACCTACAGGACCATTAGAAGTTAGTGACATCACTGCTGACCATGTCAGATTGTCATGGCAACCACCAGAATATGACGGAGGTTCACGTATTACTGGCTATCTTGTTGAAAAGTCAGAGGCTAGGCGCCCCAAATGGCTACGTGTTGCACGTGTTGGACCCTCAGATTTATCTGCTGATTTGGATAATCTTGTAGAAAATACAGACTATTATTTCAGAGTAATTGCTGAGAATAAGATGGGAGTTAGCTCCCCTCTGGAGACATCCAAACCAGTGAAACCAGTCAGTCCATACAGTGAGTATTCTCTATCAGATAAATATTATTTATTATGATTTATTTGGATGTTTTCCAGTTCAACTGTATGTATTCATATGTAACCGGAATATGTCAGGTTTTATACAAAAAATAACTTGTTTGAAAATGTGTAGTAGAATTTCGAACACAAGTTAAGGAAAAAGAAAGAAAATGCATATATTTTATCTAGTCTACCATTTTTTTTTAAAAAAAGAGTGTTTTTATATTAATTAGAATAGGTAAATAAGTAAAATACAAAGATTCAGCCATTGTTCCTCTTCTTTAATCCTTTGTATCTGTTTTATTCACTATGCAAACAAAAAATTAATAAAAGAAAATATTTCAATAGATCCACCAAGTGCTCCTGTTGGACCAATCAAAGTACTGCAAGTAACCCGTGACTCAGCAACCATTCAGTGGGAACCACCCACTTCAGATGGTGGCACTCCAATAAAAAATTACCTTGTTGAGAAACGTGAGGGCACTCGCAGATCTTACATTCACATCGGCAAAACAGATGCTGACCGAAGCAAGATAACGGTTTCCGGCTTGAGAGAGGATACTGATTATCACTTTAAGGTGATGGCTGAGAATAAAGTGGGAATAAGTCCTGGTCTAGAGACCGTGGAACCAGTTGTACCAAAGAGGAAATACGGTAACACTTTAAATTGTCAAATAAAATCAGTTCAAGATTCTGTTTCATATTTTCATTTGTTTTTGTATTTAAATTTTTTTCATATATAAGTAAATGACATTTATGTATCAAGATAATCAATTTTTCTCTTAAAATGAAAAATAAATAAACGATCAAAAGTATTAAAAAAAATTATTTATTTTCATTTTTCTGTAGAAGTACCTCAGCCTCCAAATGCCCTCCGAACATCTGATGTTGGTAAAAACTCTTTGACACTAAATTGGGAGCCCCCATACGGTGATGATACCATAACCGGATATATTCTAGAGAAGAGAAAAGAACATACTGATGAATGGTCACGTATAGCACGCGTACCTGGTAAAGTTCGCACCCATCATGTGACTGGACTTACAGCAGGTGGCGCTTTCCATCTGCGTGTATCTGCGGAAAATCCTGCTGGAATCAGTGAACCTACAGAGCTTCCAGTAGTAGTAGAACTCAAAGGCAGAAAAGGTATATAAATAAAAGTTGGTGAAACCTTGAGATCATTTTGCCATTGTCAGACTCCCTGATTGTATGCATGATTTGATACTGAACTTATTAGCTTTTTCTGAAAATTTCCAAAAAATATTCTTCATTTTTATTACATTATCATTTTATATACTAGCATGAATATTATGTAGATTACATTGACATTGCATGTCATTTTAGCTTCACTCTGAACATTTTAGTAATTAATGGATCTGAGGCACTTATTTTTAATTCTTTGACATTTTATTCCATTGTTAGAAAAAAACAACATTGAATCAAACCATTTCTTTTGTTTCTCATATTGAAATTGATTATATTACTGTATGCATGAATATATATTTATTCTGGTTTCTATTTCAGTGTATAATGCATGTTTTTAGTATACCATTGTATTGTTTTCTTTTATTTTCAGACAAAATTTATTGTTTACATGTATTTTATCAGTGATATATTTTGCATGGTAAAATCATTGATTAATTACGAGATATGGTACCTATAATTTCAGATGTATTATTATATTTACTAACACTTTCACCATACCCCCTCCATAAATAATATTCTAATTTTCTATTTTCCTGTTAAAGGATATAAAAAACAACATTAAATAACTAAGGCCTTTATATACTAGATGTACTATTTATTATGAGTGATTTTGAATTATATAATAATTGTATTTTGTAAAAACATTTGATTATATTCAATGTTTAATGATAATGTTTACTTCTGGTTATTACTTGTTTAAGATTTTCTCATTTTTATCTATAAGTTTTTTGTTTCTTTACAGTTATAATGAGCAAATTAGAATTTTATTCAATTTTGAATGATTTTAAAATGAAAACACTTTATAAACATAATCAAATATATATGTAATTCTTGATATAGAAAAACCAGGAGCACCTACAAGAGCCCCTGAAATTTTGGAAGTAGGACCCAGATTCTGTGAGTTGTCATGGGAACCCCCAGCAACTGATGGAGGTTCACCAATCACTGGGTACCAGGTTGAACGTGCTGACCTTTCTGGCACACGCTGGATGCCAGTAAACAAGACTCCAGTCAAGGACACAAAGCTGAAACTAAATGACCTAATGGAAGACATACCGTATACGTTCCGTATTCGTGCCGAGAACCGAGAAGGTGCCGGAGAACCGTCGCCAGCTTCTGAACCAGTCTACTGCAGTGATAGAATAGGTATGTGTGTGTCTTAAGTTTAATAAGGGTCCAACTGCCTTTTCAGGCAATTAGATTATGGACCCCATCCTCTGTTTTAATCATGTTTCTTTTCTTTCTTTTTTTTCAAATATCTCTCGTTAAACTTTTGTCATTTGCTGTATTGTGTGTTAGAAACTTCTGGTTACATAATAACAGAAATACCAATTTGCTCTTGACTTTCATACTTAGCACACAATTTATACTCTACAATAGGATAAGAATCTAGATTATCATTCAAAAATAAAGAGATAAAGTAGAAAACTGTCAGAGATGATATAATAAAATGTTATATATTTCATATCACAATATTCAAAATTTTATCAATTTTGCATGTTGATTTTCAATGTTTTTATTTACATTTCCAGCTACTGCCCCACCTAAATTTGTCAAGGACATTAATGACCTCACTGTTTGTGAGGGCACTGACGCTGTGTTTACATGCGAGATCACTGGCATGCCTCGTCCCGAGGTCACATGGTACAAGAATTACCGTGAGATCTTCAGTGGCCAAAAGTATCAAGTAAAATCAGAAGGCACAACTTACACGCTCATTGTTAAAATGACCGAGGAGACAGATATTGGTGGTATTGAATGTTACGCCAAAAACAAGTTCGGTTCAGTGACATCAAGAGCTACTTTAGATGTTGATGGTAATTGTTGTTCTGCATTTGCATTCATATATTTTAGCTTAAAATTGTTGATACTTTGTGATTCAATCACACATACAAAGAATGTAGAACAAAGAAAATAGCCATGATGGCATAAAACATGAAATGGCGTCCTTACATTTTCAAATTACTTTACATTATGTTATTTTTGCAGTTTCAGCAACTGACTGACAAAATTAAATTTATATCATGCCTGTATTCAACAAGAGAAATTGATATTAATTTAAGTTTTCTATACTTCTTTTGAAAAAAAATCGTTACTAACTTTTAATTTATGATGTATGTTTTCAACTGACTTTGTGTCAAAAATAATATTTATAGACAACTGAAGACTCTTTATTTGATATCAAATTTAAAAGTATAACAATGTTCGTATAATCATGATTTAAACAGTTTATATTTACTGAATTAATATTTCAGCTCCGCCAAAATTCCAAGATGTACCTTTACGATACTCTGAGGGCCTTAAGTTTGGATGTGGAGACACAATCCATGCCCGTCTTATGTTTACTGGCAGACCCGCACCAAAAGCTTCTTGGACACGTGAGGAGAAGACAATTAAATCAACAAAGAGAACAGAAATAAAGAGCACCAATCGTCACAGTATTATAACAATAAATGATGCTGAGAGAACTGATAGTGGTCTTTACAGACTCACCATCGAGAATAAACTTGGCAAAGACTCCGTTGAATTTTCTGTAGCTGTCATAGGTGAGTTTGATTGTTTCTATATATAATGTCCCGTTTATTTATATATAATGTGTAACGCCTCTTTTGTTTCTATATATAATTTGTAATATCTCACTTGTTTATATAATGTGTAACGTCTCACAACATATTTTATATTTAAAGTTTCTTTAGGTTGTTTTAATGCAATATGATTTTTATTGAATTTTAATACAATATGATTTTTATTTCAACAAAAATCGATTGCATGAAGTCTTTATGTTTCTTTCAAAGATATCCATGTAATTATGTTTGCATACGTTTTATAGATCGTCCTAAACCACCTCAAGGACCAACCAAAATTGAGATGACAACTAAACATTCGGTTGATCTCACTTGGAGAGAACCAGCTGACAACGGTGGTTCCGATATTACCGGATATATCATTGAGAAATGTGACATGACAACAAACATCTGGCGTCGTGCCACAACATCAAACACAACGTCTACAACTGTCAGCTGTCTGGAAGAGCACAAGGAGTACAAGTTCCGCGTTATTGCGGAAAATCTGGTCGGCATCAGTGACGCAGGACCGGAATCAGATATCGCTGTGACCAGAGAGCAGACCCCTGACATTGATTATGATGAATTATGTAAGACCTATTTATTTAAAATACTTTATAAAACTTGCTTTATTTAAAAAAAATAATATTGGTAAGTATACAAAAAAAATTACTAAAAAATGCAGTTTTATTGTTGCCTTTAAAGATTTTGTTTATACATTTTAGAGACAAATTCACCAGGCATGTTAGAATGTTGTTTATATCTTTCGAAATTATTTTGGAACAAAATTGATCTTATAATGTTCAAGCATAGAATACAAAGTGTTTGTGATATTTATAAAATAATAATTATCAATGATTTTATACTTTTCTTTTTTTAGATGATTCTACTTTCCGTGGCAGCAAAGTTGACATTGGTAAGATCCGTGGAGACGTTCTTGGCAAATACATTATCTGTGAAGAACTTGGTCGTGGAGCATTTGGTGTTGTGCACCGTGCTATAGAGCGTGCCACAAACAAGAACTGGGCGGCAAAGTTTATCCACTGTAAGCCACAGGAGAAGGAGAATGTTAGACATGAGATAGACATTATGAACAGTCTACATCATTCTAAACTGATGCAACTTCACGAGGCATTTGATCAAGCTGGAGAAATGGTCATGATCCTAGAATTGTAAGTGATCTCATTATAATTTTGTCACAATTTTCTTAACACAACAATCTTGTCAATATTGTCACATTTCTTTATAATACAATAATGTAAATTCTTTTCTTATTTTCAAATCTGATGGTGGATAACTTTTATAATGTAGGCTATATTTGTTTGGTTTGGTGACCATTAAGGTCACACCCATACTGTAATGATCAATGGCAACTTCCCAGCTTTACTGATGGAGGAAAACCTTGTACTTTTATAATATACATTGTATATATTCACAGGTTGAGTGGTGGAGAACTGTTTGACCGTCTGGTACAACAAGAATATGACTTCACAGAACAAGATTGTATCACATACATGAGACAAATCTGCCAGGGTGTACGTCATATGCATCAGCAAAATATTGTACATCTTGACTTGAAGGTAGAATATATTACTTAGTCTAAGCATTTATTTTAATTTAATGAAAGCTTGTGAGTTTATTTTAAACATTTTTAATCTCTTGGGATAGGTGATTATCAACCTTAAATTGAGTTAATTAAAGTAACAATACAAAGAACATATTGTTTAATCTTGCTCATAATTTATCTATAATCTAACACTAATAATGTAAAGTTAATATATGTAGTTAAACTATGTTGTCTACACTCAATCTAAAACATGGACCTATGTTGCAGTCATGTGGTATTTGTAGTGATCCAATTCAAGACATGTTATAAATCTCATTAAAATCAGATCATCATTGCTCTGTTACTCTTTGCTATGAAGCGAAGGGTAGTTGAGCGTCAGTAAGCATATGATTTTAATGAGATTGGACATGTTATGTACAAGAATATATCCTGCTTCATAACAAATACATATACATCAAGTCACATTAGCTTTATGATTTTGTTCTTTTATTTCAGCCTGAGAATGTAATGTGTGTCACTAAAGACAGTACAGATGTGAAGATAATTGACTTTGGTCTTGCTCAGAGTCTAGAAGAGGGAAAATCGGTCAAAGTTCTGTTTGGAACAGCAGAGTTCTGTGCCCCTGAAATCATAAACTACGAGCCTGTATCATTCTCAGCCGACATGTGGTCACTCGGTGTCGTCAGCTACGTGCTGTAAGTATTGTACAATAAAAAATTGACAGTCTTTTATGAAGTACAATGTAAGACATTTTATCAATAGGTTGATATATATAATCAGGGACACTTTTTATAATATATTGTGTTTTTAGGTTTCACAGTTTAATTGAAAAGAATATAAGAATTGTACATATCATAATTTTAGTATTTAGAATCTAGAATGTTTGTTATTAATAATATGATGTTTCACTGGATAGATACAATATGGGTGTTATTGGATAGATACAATATGAGTATTATTGGATAGATACAATATGTATGTTATTGGATAGATACAATATGTGTGTTATTGGATAGATACAATATGTGTGTTATTGGATGGATACAATATGTGTGTTATAGGATAGATACAATATTTTTGTTATTGGATAGATACAATATGTGTGTTATTTGATAGATGCAATATGTGTGTTATTGGATAGATACAATATGTGTGTTATATTTCAGGTTGAGTGGTTATTCTCCTTTTGCTGGAGACAATGATCATGAGACATTCTCCTTCATCAACAACGTCGACTACGATTTTGATGACGAGGTTTGGGAGAATGTGTCCGAGGACGCCAAAGATTTCATCAAGAAACTTCTCAGCAAGGATAAATAGTAATATTTTTTATATACTTTCTACGTTCAAATAAATATTATCATTTTATCATTTTGATATTATTTTAAAATTATTCTTCTCCTAGTTGATGAAAAATCAGTCAAGTCTTTAGCAAGTAAAAATAGTTACAGCTTTTTTTACTTTTTACATGGAAGAGTTTAAGCCATAGGTCACCTGTTTGTTGATGTGTTCCTCATTCAAAATGCATAATTTAATCACAAGTGAAATATATTGATGTCTTCGTTGACAGGTTTTATACACAAGGTGTCTCTATGTAAAGGTTTGACAGTATTTTTTCTTTACTGATTTTTAGAAAAGATTGTAAGTACAGAAAAAATAAATTTTCGATAACTTTCATTAATTGATTTGTTGATTTTATTTTACAGCTTCACGTATACAATTGATGAAGCTATGATCATCCTGTTGAATGTAATGTAGATTTAAATCAGATTCCCTTTTACTGTTTAAATCACTTCCCAATTTGTAAATCAACGTCCCATCTGTACTGTTTATAAATCAGCTTCCCATCTTTACTGTTTATAAATCAGCTTCCCTTTTGTAAATCAGCTTCCCTTCTGTACTGTTCATAAATCAGCTTCCAATCTTTACTGTTTATAAATCAGCTTCCCTTTTGTAAATCAGCTTCCCTTCTGTACTGTTTATAAATCAGCTTCCCTTTTATAAATCAGCTTCCCTTTTGTAAATCAGCTTCCCTTTTTTATACCTTTGTTTCTTGTCTCAGCTGTTTTTTGTTTATTGTTTTGTTTTTATCACTTTTTTTGCATGCATTTTCAACCTTAATTCATTTCAGCATTTCCCAATGAATACAATAATAAATTTCATAAAACAATATTGAACTACTTATAATACTATTTATCAATATTGATACAGTTAATTTCTGATTTAATTAAGAATGGCTTGTCAAAATATACCTTTTGTCTGTTGGCAGATAACTTGAAAACAAGATTGTTGACCTCCTATTTTTTTCCTCCTCACCTGTTTCTGATAACCAGTTATATTTTGGGAGCAGGGCTAAATGGGAGGGGGGTGGGCAGGAAACAAAAAGATTGCTGACTTTGCATATTTTCAGTTTACAAGCATTAATAGAGCTTTTGTACTGCGATGAATTCCCTTTATCACACATATTCATTCATTCCATTTCCAACATTTGTTTGAACCTTTTTCCTTTCCTTTGAGTTTGTTTAGTTTAACATATTCAAACAAAGATATTTTAACTTTCTGTTTTTATTTTTAATAACTAATTAATATTTTATTCTCTTTTTTTGTACTTGTTAGATATTTTTATTTGAATTGATTTTAGTTATACATTAGATTTATATTTGATATTCAGGATGATATTTTAAAATTGGGAAGAATATATTTTATCTTGACATAAAAAAAAGATATTTTCACTTATTTTCTTATCTGTTACATACATGTTATACATTACTTTTTAACTTAAATTCATATATTACATTACTTTTTAACTTAAATTTATATATTACATTACTTTTTAACTTAAATTCATATATTACATTACTTTTTAACTTAAATTCATATATTACATTACTTTTTAACTTAAATTCATGTTCATTTTATCATTAAACCTTTTTTCAACCTGTTCACCCCTTTATCACAAATTTATCAGATATTCCAGAATGGAATCTTCTTACTTGGTAATCAACAATAAGTAAAACAAATGAATGTGGAATGTTTCAATATAGATATTGGGGTGATAAGGTTAAAATTTTTGCACAGAGCTTGTTGTGACAGCTTGTAGATTGTACATGTTTACCTAAAGCTTGCATTTGTTCTTTCTGTACTTCCCAAAACAGCCTCGCAGACGGACGGACAGTAAAGATGAAAAAGAGGTAAGGTTCAGAGCTATGAAAAAACAAATGTTACAGATTTTATGTTGTCTGACGTAATTTGTTAAATCTTTTATTCCTCTCGGTCAAATGTCACTTTACCTTGAATGTTATATTTTTTATGTTTTAAGGATATTACAAATGCTAATGAATCAGTATATAATATTGACTAATTATGGAAAATGAAGTAAAAAAAACAAAACAAAGCTGCTGTCATCTTATTAGACAGTTTTTGTATTACATAATTTATGCAGATTTTCTGCTTACCCAGATGAAGTTTTTTTTAAATTGTTCTTTATTTTTTAAATTTGTATTTTTTTTATCTGTGATAAATGTATATTAATTTGTAATTTTACAAGATATTTCATTTCTATATTTCCAGGGTGGTGCTCGACTTACAGGCAAGCCGTTGTCAAGACAACATCACAAAGATTACAGACTTAGAAACAGACATAAGGTAAAATGTTCTTGCATCAAATTATCATGATTTATTTTTATAACATTTATTTAAGTCAATTATTTCTAACTGACCCTTCACTGGACATTTAATGCAGTAATTTGACTGCATCCGTCAACAATATAATAAATGCACAAGATTTTCATGAGAATAGAAAATTGGCAATTTGTTGCACTAGAAATCTTTTCATAAATGAATTTAATTATGTTTTAAAACTCTGTTGTGAAGAATTTAAATCTAACATATTTTATTTTATAACATATTTTTCTAAAGTCTCCAATTTCTTTTTATTTAGGAGGATGACCTTGACATTCTGCCGATTGGCCGTCTGGCACGTGACAGTGCTATATTTAGAAAGGAAGGAGACAGTGGTGTTATACCTAGAAACATTGTCATGGGTAAGGTTTTTATGTGGATTACAAGAGTTTGATGAGCAAGTTTAATGTCCCTCCCCTAATAAGATTTTTGTATTAAGAAAAAGCTGTGTTGTAATAAATGCCCCTCCCCCTCTTTGAAAATAGGAATTTTACGGTAGTTAATATAGCTTTTGTGGAGATGTTAAAACAAATTGCTATTTTCTGCTTTATTTGTAATATATTTTACCCATTAGTAACTAAGAATTTATATAAAAGCTATCACCATTTTATCTCAACTTTAGATATTCCATGTATTTTCAATCATGTAGAGTTAGAACACTGATTAAATTCTATTTTTAGAACTGCCTGACCATGCCCCAGTTCTGTGTGAACCTCTCGAGGATATCCATGGTTACGAAGGATCTCGTGTTGAGATGTCCTGCAAGTTCACTGGCAAACCATTGCCAAACATTCTCTGGTAAGTCATAGTTTGGCAATCAGAGGTCGTTAAAACTTAATAAATTAGCTATCAGAAGTTGTTAAAACTTATTAAATTGGCAATCAGAGGTCATTAAAACTTATTAAATTTTCAGAATTTTTTTCTAGTCTTAGATTTCTTGTTGTCGGTTTAGTATTGTCTATCTTACTAACACCAGCCCGAATAAGAACTTGTTTACTGTACATGCCTTATTGCCTATTGGTAAGAGGTCTCAGTAATATGGACAAGTATGGTAATTTAGGCTGGCCTGAGTTTAAGTCATTATTTCCACTGATAAGTCATACATATCTTAAAGCTCTGATTCAATTTTTCTGTCTTCTATGGCCTTGGAAACATTTATCTACAGGTCATAAGGTCAAACTTTATAATTTTGGCAGAAAAATCTGATAGAATGCTTATGCATCAGTTGTTTTTGTTTTTAATATCTGATGATAGTAAACTATCAAGATGATTTTACGTGATATATTACTTGATAAAAATAATAATCACCATGGTAATATTTCCTGTAAAAAGTTATCCCACTTATAATCTTTTGATATCAGTTTGGCTCTTTAGAAAGAATATAAGGTAGACTGGCTTAAATACTGGAAAAAAATTGTTTTATTTACATCATTTTTTATATGATTTTAAGATGATAATTCCTACTATGAAGGCTGTAAGATGTAACTATGTGATGTATTGGTTACATACAGTTCTGATATATGTAGAGATTGTAATCTTTTTCTAGATACCTGTTTTATCATATTTATATACTTGTGCAAGACTTAGAAATAATATGGTAGCAAAATCTAGAAAATACAGAAGCATAATTCAGAAAAGATGAAAGCAAATTCAGCACAGTTCTAATATTTCAATACAAAAAATAATTTAAGTTGATAAAAGAATTTGGTGGTGTAATGAAAATAACGACAATTCGATAATTTTAGCAAAATTGTGGTGCATAGTTTTGGATTTTAAAGATAGTATGTAAAATCAAAGATTATTAAAAATGAGAAAGAAAGTAAAAGAATATTTTATAGTTAAGACTGGATTTGACAAATTACATGACAAGTTATATATATATATATATATCTTTGATAAACAATGTTATTTATTAGAAGAGAACAATTGCTTAATTTAGGATGACATTTTAAATTACAATGCATTCTGGAAAGCATTTCATTCGGATTCGGATGTAAATTTCTCGTTTGCTTCTTTAAGTGTAATGAACACTGTCCGGTAAAAATTGTGGAGAATCTAGTGGAAAAGAAAAAAAAATAAAGCACAGTTATTTAACAAACATTTTATTTCATAATGAACAGGACAAAGGATGGAACAGATCTTGAAGACTCTGCTAAATACACGCTGAAATATTCCGACAACGTAGCATCTCTGTTTATCAACTACCTGGAACCTGACGATGCTGGTAGAATCACATGTAAAGCTTCCAATGCATTCGGATCAGTAAAAACAAGTGCCGACCTAACAATAGAAGGTATCCGACATCGTAGAAAACGTCGTGAAGAAGCAGAAGAAGCTTTGAAAAAGAAAAAGTAAGTTCCAATGTTGTACCAGTTTTTGAATTTTTTATTTACATACAATATTCTGGTACTGAGATGCTAATTTACGAAAGGTTTGGTTTTAAATTTCCTGTCTTGGCAAAGTAACAATAGAATAGGCCTAGGATTAGTTAGCTAAAGGAGCAGTGACCTTGTAGGTCACCTGGATCAAAACCATGCTGCCTTGTACATGTATAACACTAGTATTAAGCAGACAGAAGTGTTTTTAATTTAAGAACGTGCATCATCAGTCAACATGAATAAATATGTTTTGAGCTAATGGACTAGGAGGTATAGAGGTAATGGGGTGAACATGTATATAACAGTGATTTGTTTAATTTGTTATGGTAGTTTTGTTGGTAGTTTTCACTCTCCAAATCATTGCAGTAAGCCACATTAAATTTAACAGCTCTGCGAATATGTGTAGAAAGGATTTTCATGATTAGTCACAACAAAAGTGACCTGCAACATAATGGGAATCAAACCGAGGTTGCCCGATTCACAATGCATTGCTTACCTATTTGCTATAAAATTGATTATTGTTTTTATATCAGGTACCCTAAACATGAGTATGACACTAGCATACAAGATTTGAATGTTCCTCCTCAGTTCTTACTTCCATTGGTTGATCAGACAAGAAAGTTGGGAGACTCTGTCGAGTTTACTGTCACAGGTAAATTGTTCTTCACGATAACCTCTCTATAGAAAACTTGTCAAACTAAAGACAACTATATTACATGTATTTTATTTTCCTATGGCCAAAATGATAGTGCAGTCAAGGATAGAAAATGTTAATTTTACAGGTAAAAATATATTTAATTAAGAAATAATATATCCCAAACAGTGATTTTATCGCTCAATAACATCACTGTTTGGAGTAGCCCGAGTGATATAATGATGCGCATCCGAACGACAAACAGTGATGTTATCAAGCAATAAAATCACTGATTTGGATATATTATTTCGATTCTAACACAACAATAACAAATAAATGTTGCGGTACTTGATAGTTAAGCAAAATTGCGCCTAATTTGTTTCCGAACTTATTTTCAGCGCATCGGATTTTTAGTGGTTACGTCACGTGTATAATGATTACGTCACATGTCTAAATAGAGAACGTCAAACTGTGCATCTGTTTCATAATAACACACACTTTCTGTTCTTCTATGTTCAATAGGGAAAAATGCAGGTCGTGTTAGAATTGTTCTTTACACATATTGTTGAAGACAGCCTCTCTATAGAAAACTTGTTAAAGTAAACACCACTATATTACATTTATTTTATTTTCCTATGTACAAACTAATATGCAAAATAATAGTGCATTCAATGATAGGTAATGTTAATTTTATGTTAATATTTTATAGTCACCACAAGACCAGAACCAAGTGTTGATTGGTACTGCAATGGTGAGAAGGTTGTTGAAGGTAGCAACTACAGGTTTGAGCACTCCAAGGGCGTATACCACCTTGTGATCCTTAGTGTACAAAAGGAACACCATGGTCAGTGGCGCTGTGTGGCCATCAACTCGTATGGACAGTCATCATGTTACTGTGACTTCAAGGTCATAGGTATGTCCACATTGTTACCATAGAAACAATGTTACCATAGTAACAATAATCTGTATGCATCATTGAATTTTCTCCACTTAAATAATTACATATGTTTTACTGTTGTATGTTATATGTGTTGGTGATAACACTGATAATAGGTAGTATTTGTTCTTATATCATTATTCTATAACATATTACATTTTTATGCAAAGATATACTGTTCAAAATAGAACCTTATTAAATGTAATTATATCTTTACTTGGAAAAGAAAGATCAGTTGATGTTTGAGAAGAAATTGTGAAAAAGGAATATTTTCTATGAGTTTCTGTTTGTTTTAGAAACTGTATTTTCTATGAGTTGTTTCTGTTTATTTTAGAAACTGTACCAGATAACAGCAAGGCTCCTAAGTTTACACGCACACTTGAAGACATTACAATACACGAGGGCACTGAGGCTAGACTTGAATGCAAAGTCGAGGGCTACCCAGCATGCAATATTGAATGGTTAGTTTTACATGATAATTTATCAATGAAAATAAAGTGATGAAGTTAAGCATTAATCCAGTTTTGAAGTACTTACTTTTTGTTGAAGGGTTGTTTTTTTTTTCATTCTTTTTTTAAATTTTTTTTTATTAGAATTTTTTTTAAATGTACATTTTTATTTATTTTATTTTTGATTTGTTTCCATGGTAACATTATAGGTACAAAGAGAGAAGGTTGATCCATCCTGGCCGACACTTTTCCTTTACATACGAGAACAATGTTTGTATCCTGAGAATACGAGAAGTGTTTGAGAATGATGAGGGATATTACATGTGCAAAGCTGAAAACAAGGCCGGTTCAGCTACTACTGAAGCAAAGGTCAAAGTTCAAGGTCAGTGGAATTTCTGTGTGACATATAAAAGTTTGAATAATAAAGTTTCATAAATTATTTGTTTAAAATGATATAATGTTAAACAACTTGTTGGGGGAAAAAATGTTTACAATGCAACAGATTTTTTTTTTATATTCTGTTTTCAAAGCTTACATTTGAGTTTAAGATTTGATAATGCTACCTTTAAGACTTTTAAGACTAAAATAGAAAAGTAAAATTATAAAATTAGTTCTTTCGTTGGTTTAAAATGTGCAAAACTTGTGGGGTGAATCATTAATAAACATGTTCTCTAACATTGTAAGTACAGTTATAATATGAAAGGCTTGTGATTTTCAGAAAAAGTTTAAATATTTTGTGTGTAGGCATCCATACATACATATCTTGCTTGTTAAGATTTATAATACTCATGATAAATTATATTACATTTTTTTATTCAGCCGCTGTACCAGAAGAGAAGCCCATCTTCCCAGGCGATGCTGGGCGTGGGATGTTTGCTGCCCCAGGTGATCTTCCAGATTACGCTCTCAAATTCAGTAAAGCCCCAGATTTCACTGCCAAGTTACAGGATCGTAATGTATTGGAAGGAAGCAAGATCAGATTAATGTGTTCCATTACAGGAGTACCGAACCCTAAGATTACATGGTATAAGGACAATGTAGAAATATTCACTGGAGATCGTTACCTAATCACTGTAAGTAAATCAGGCAGTTTGTCTTTAAAGTGCGTTTGTAGTACACATAGAAATATCTGAGAATTAAAGATAATCACTTAAAGTGGCATTCTGCTCATCCAGTGGTATATATGATTTAATATTTTAACATTTTGCCATAATTCCTTTTAATTTTATAATTTACTTGGCATGAATGATAAATAACTCCTGCGGCACAAGGATGTTTTCTGTAAATATCCATGTGAATTTACTTGTAGCGTTCAAATTTAAACAAAAAAGAAGAGTTGGGCAGTCTTTTTATATTTTAGGAAGATTGAGGCAGATTTATGTTTTATTCCAAATATCAACTGTTGGTCAATCACAATTATAATAGTCAATCTTTTGAAATGTATAGTCTATTCAACTGAACTTGACAATGAAAATATGAGCATAATGTCACTTTAATATTTTTGCCATTCCACAGCCTCCTTTATCAGTTATTTCTTAAACTAAAAAGCCCTGAGTAAGTATTAAAGACGTAAGTATTAAACATTTATTTGATCCCCTGTCTGGTTTTTGTGTGACAGTGTTAACTTATCAGTTGTTTTGTAATTTTCAGAACAACTTTGGTCTACTAGGACTCGAGGTTCTATCAGCTTCTTTGAAGGACGTTGGTCGTTACACATGTAAAGCAGTCAATGCTGTTGGCGAGGCAGAATGTAGTGCCACTGTCAAAGTTGAAGGTATAAAGAGGATTCTTTATTTAAAAAGAGAACTTTGAATAAATTGGCAAATTTCATTACTTTTGCATATTGCAAAAAAAAAAAAAAAAGATATGTAGTATAGTATGAAAAATGACACAGTGTTGAAAATATTTTTCAACTTAAATGAGAAATCTGGATTAACATTGCCAAATTTCATCTTTGATACATAATTTAATCGAAGGTCAGTTGTTCTAACTAGGTGCCCACTTATGTCTGAAAATAAAAGACATTGCCTTGTGCATAATGTGTTAAACAATATTGCCTTGTGCATCAGGAATCTAGTGTTGCTTTGACTTAAAACTTAACAGAAAGATTTGTTTCATAGGATTTAATGTATTAAATTTTTTTTTACCAGGCAAGAGGTCACCCTCACCAAAACGAAAGGAGATAACTCAGCGACCTTGGTTTGTTAGAATGCCTCGTGATGTAACAGTCAATGAAGGACAAGATGCTACATTTACATGTAAAGTTGGCGGCAAACCTGAACCTACCATTAAATGGTGAGATTTTATTATAATAGGCCCCGCCATGAAAAAACCAACATAGTGCGATTGCATCCCAGAATGTGATCTTAACATTTTTATGATCAGTTATAAGATGATATTACTCTTTTTTGGTTAACTCGAAAACGAGCATGGTGACCCCAATTTTTTTTTTCTTTAAAAAAGTTGCTGTTATCATATGCCAAGTTTAAAGAAATTCTATTGAACAGTTGTAATTTTGCCTATATGTCTATATGAAAACTCCCTAAAATGTCCTTAAAACATTAAGATGTTAAGATTAATTGATGACTGTTGGCTATTTAATTTTCAGGCAAAAGGACTTGTTTGATATCACAGATGGTAGACGATTTGATATCAATATTAGCAGTGACGGAGAGGTGGAACTAACCATTAGAAAAGTGACATCTAGTGACGAGGGACTTTACTATTGCCTTGCACAGAGCAGCGCTGGTCGCAGCAAGTGCTCCGCTGCTCTCAGAGTTATTGGTAAAAAATAATTACTTTTATATTATAAAAAATAAACCTCTTACTTTTTACCTGAGAGTGACTTGATAATTATAACCATATAAGTGACGAAACAACTAAGTAACAATGCTCTTAAAAATATGAGAAAGAGAAAAAAACAAAGAACAGAGATCAGTTTTCAAATATTTTGTATTTCATAATGCTATAATGTATCTAATACAAAATAAACAAAAGTAAAAAATATGTTATATATAAAAAAAATTCTTTTATGTTATATACCAGCTCTTTTTTTTTATTACATATTGTTATCAATGAAATATGCTACATCAAAATAAGACAGTAATAATAAGTTATAATAATCTTTTGCAAAGGCAACATTAAATTACTCTTCTATTTATTTTCATTTTAAATTGACATTGTTCTTATTTTTGTCTACAGCCAGAACAAAGACCCCACCAAAACCAAGACCTTCAATCTATGAAGAAATGGCAGCCGAGAAAGCCCGCGCATCACAAGAAGCACGTAGAGCTTTACCAGGTGACCTTCCAAAATTCAAGGTCAAACTTCCCAAGGTCATTGAGCTTGAGGAGGGTGATAGATTGAGGTTAGAAGTACGGGCTGACGGAACACCAAATCCACTTGGTAAGTTCTTAAATATTATTAAAGAAAAACTGTAGGATCATAGACCTTTGTTTGTAATTTTTTGTCTGCAGAATAAGTTGGGGTTTTTTTTATTGTAAATTTTACAAATCTGATTATTTCGATTTTTTCAATTTTATTTTTAGTAACATGGCATAGAGGATTATGTACATTTCTATTTTTAGTAACATGGCATAGAGGATTAAGAGACCTGTCACATGACATGAGATGTAGGATCTCGTCCTATCAGCACACAGACATCATGGAAATACGTGAAGTCATGGTAACAGACTCCGGAGAATATGTTGCCAGGGCAACCAACTCGCACGGTTCAGTGGACACAATCTGTATTGTGAAAGTTAAGAGGAGAAGTCCACGAAGAGATGAGTAAGTTTAAACCCTTCATCATTCTTTTATTATATTAAACTTAACTTTATTCTTTTATTATATTGAACTTTCCTTGCATGATTCATTAATTATCTTATAATAATTTTGCCTTAATTCAATATCAAAATATTAATTAATCAGTCAACAGTATGAAAGCTGGTCTTGATCTAAATGGTAACATTGGCTTTGTGTTATTGCCATTAGTTTTTCATGTATAGACAAACTTTTCTTTTCTTTCATGTTCAGGTATGAAAATAGTCCTAGTTCTTATATATTTTATGAAGTTGAATTACTTGAACTAAATTGAAATAAATAGTTCTAGATTGATGCTATGTTGGTGGTAAAGGGCTGTGATTGTTTCTTGTTAAATAAAATACATGCTCCTGTTTTTATTTTGCAGTGATGATCTTGCTGCCTTACAAACAGCTGGAGCTGGTGAGTTCTCTCCCTTATTGCACAAATATTGTTGAAATTATCTCCCTTTATTATAAGTTTTTTTTCCTGTTTCTTTTTCTTTCTATGTTTAAAGCTTTGGTTATTGTCTGCATTTATCTATATATATTCCTCCTACTTTGTTAATTTGTTTTTTTCTCAGAAATGAGTTGTCCCCCATTGTTCACTGATAAATTGTTTTGATTATTAATTTTCTCCCTATTTTCAAGCTTTACTGTTCTTTTCATATACATGTGTAAAGCTTTAGTTAGTGTCTGCATTTACTTTGTGAACAAAGAACATCAATTATTTATGGTTTTTCAATACTAAAATATCCGTTCTTTTTGCCAGCTTACGTAATATACTGTAAATGGTTCCTATTCCATGCGCCATTGTTTTATGCATTAAGGTCATCATATGATTCAAAGAGTAAGCCCTATCCCTGAAAAACAAAATAAATAAATATGAACAAATTGCCCATTATTACATGTGTCAAACATTCCAGCCTAGTTGATTTAATATCAATGTCATGTTTTGCAACTTAATTATTACAGAGGCTGGAGGTCCTGAGGAAGGATTTGGTACATTTTTTATACTTTCTAAATATTATCATAATATTATAATACACTCTAACATCATAATAACCTTAGATCTGTAGATTATAGCAGTATAACATAACAGTATATTTGATAGGCCTATCGTCTGAGTCTGATTCCATTAATATTTAATCTCTAATCTTTAGACTTAATGCAAATATTCTTCCAAATTTTGGATTTCATTTTTATTCTTGAAATTGGCCTAGTTATCCGTAGTTTATATGTAAATGAAACTTGGTGGTGGTGGTGGTAGTTTTCATTCCGGATCATGCCAGTAAGCCACATTGAATTTACCAGAGCACAGTTCCTTGGCAGGTTATCAAGTAGTTTACCAGTATAGTTGCCTTCACATGCAAGGAATTTATAACTTCTGTACATGCCAGAGCAGAGGTACAGTGCGAATGACCTTCAAAAGGATTTAAATCACAATCAAAGTGACCTGGACCGTCCGGGAATTGAACCCATGTCTGTCATTATCACTGCCAGGTCTCAGAGGGGTTTATGTCTTCACAAAATTCTTCTACTTAATCATGACTTTCATTTTCAACTGTCATTTCTTTTATGTATGTCCATTATCCAACAGGATCACTTCTGACACATCTCCAATTTAAGGAAAGATTTATTTTTTTATACTAGTAGATCTACGTGTCTTTACTGCTTATATATACTTTAAAGGCTTTTACATATTTAAGATAGAATATTTTAACAATTAGCGTATGATAAAATTAACTTTGACTGTATATTGTGTATTTTATTATAAATTAGAAATATAGAACTCTAAATATTAACATTAATGGTATAATGTACAGTTTAACATGATGTAATTGCTTAATGTAGATATAATACAAAAACAAAGTAAACTGGCATGAAATATTGTATAATATAATGTAATGAGTATTTTTAATTTCTGTGGCATGTTAACAATGTGTATAACCTTGGTAATTTGTAAAATAATACATAAAATGATTATAACAGATAACAGATTTTAAGTTTCTTATCTAACTTGAACTTATTAGTAAAATGTATTTATAGTATAAAATCTTGTATAATATTAAATGTTACTTTTTGTTGAATCAATCATATTTCTGGCATTAAATTACATTTAGATTTTGTCATTCCATCAAATTGAATAATGATCAATTCATCAACTTCGTGCAGTAACTGGTTAAATTAAGAAGGACTTAACCTGTAACTGAACTAGGTGATGTATTTTAATTGATAAAAAAAGCTGAACATTTTAATCAAGCACACAGAATCTTAACCTACTGTTAGAGAAAACGTACAGTCAGGCTTATTATATAGACTACCTAAATACAGGGACCACCTACATACAGGGACCACATTATTCTAGAAAAATAGACCATAAACTAAAGATTGTTTTGACATGCAATTACACTTGAAAAAAAGTAAGTTTCCATTTAGTTTCCAATCCTGGTCTTTACAGGCAATGTTGATTTCAATAGATGTTTCTGCCAATGAAAGACTTTATGCTCAACAGTTGTTGTTGTTTTTTACAGCTCCATTCTTCATGAAGCCATTACCACCCTCTATTGACGTCATGGAAGGATTCAACATTCAGATGGACTGTATTATTGAATCAAGTATTGAAATGGTTCAACATAAAAGCTCAAACATTCGTGACATGCAACGAGAATTCTCAAGTCGCGGATTTGAAGGCCGTTATTTCAAAATGGAGTCCACAGAACTGCCGATGGGTCGCAGAGGTCAGAGAGAGGTTCAAATGGAAGCCCCAGACTTCGTAACTAGACCGCAAGATGTGGAAGTTGAGCTTGGCGGAAGTGCCGAGTTTACTTGCGAAGTCTCCGGAAAACCTGATCCAGAAGTATTATGGTAAGTCACAATAAAAATCAAAATTAAAATACACAAAAATTCATTTGAAGCTTAAAGCTAAATGCTCCATTTACAGACTTCATCATAGCAATTGCTTTTAACATATTTTATGTGATTTTCTATGTTTAGGTTGAAAAATGGCCGACCTGTCCAGGAATCCTCGAACATCAGACTCACATCAGATGGTAATAGATATAGGTTGAGAATTCGCTCTGTTACTGAGAGCGATGCCGGAAACTACATCTGCACGGCCTCTTCTGATGCCGGTATGAAATCTTGCCAAGCCACATTGAAAATAAAAGGTAATGTTTCTATAGGATACTTGCAAAATGGTTCATTATTCAAACAAAATTATCAATACACAAATTTTTTCATACCAAGATCACAAATTGAAATGAAATCTCATTTAAAAGAAACATATATTCTGCTTACTTGATAACATGAAAAAAGTAATTTCATCATAAAGTTATCTTAGAAAAACAACATTAATTTCAATAAACGAACAACATCTGTGTTTCTCTTAACATACTTGACCTGTTAGAATCAATATTCAAAATGTTAAAAATGCCTCTGTCAGTAATAGATGCATAATTTTACCAAAATATTCCTAAATTTTATTTTCTACCTTTCAGCTGCCTCTGAAGCAGACACAGCAAAATTTGTCCTTGAACTTGACCCAGAGGTCAATGTCAAATCAGGAGCCTCTACCAAGATCAAATGTCAAGTCAGTGGAGAGGTCAAATCAGTAGAGTGGAAGAAAAATGGAGAAAAGGTAAAAAGTTACTTTTAATTTATTTATTATATGAAAAAAAGAAACAATATGTAGGAAAAAACTATTTCATGTCATTAAATAAAGGCTAAATAGCAATATGTGTATTTGATATCTTCAGCAACACTTTAAATTTTGAATATTATGGTCACTTGAATTCATCAAAAGGAAATTATCTGGACAAAAAAAAAATGCAAAATTATGACAACATGGATTTTAAAGCAATATTCTACAGTGCAATATTCTACAGTATGAAATGGACAAAAGATGTAAATAGATTAAAAACTTTTAAATAAGAAATTCAAATTTGTTTTCCATTATCTGACAGATAAACAAGGAAACATATTAATAAGTATAACAGGGTATATAAAGATATTAAAATATTGGATGATATATTCTTCAATTTCAATATTTATTGACTAAGGGCAAACTAAAAATGCTTAAGGATTGAAGATTCGATGATTTAAATTGTTGACTTTTTTTTAGAGAACACAAACACACACATACAAACATGGGATTATACAGGTCTGAAATGATGTAACTTTGTTGATATACAAACAAAAACTGCTCAATTTTCCTTTATAATGAGTGTTTAAAATTCCCAATTACAACTTTATTACATACGTTGGTCAATTTTGGACAATTAGATTACCTTTGTTCAAGTATTTATTCTCAATAATTGGATGGTCAGTGTATTTATGACCTGTAGAAGTGGACAAGGGGTGCAGTGTCATTTAAATTTGATACACTTGAATAAGCTAAAAGTTTTGACAAATCGCAGAGCTAGATTTAGATGAGTCAGTCTCAAGTTTTAAATACAAATTGAAGCCTATTGCCTTATGTACATGTTGACAATTACACCATTATAAAGGATATTTTTATATTTTATTATTTTGAATTATGAAATTATGTAATTGAAGCTATAAAGTTCTACAGTAATTTAACACATTAAGTTAAATGATAAAAAGACTTGGATAATCATTTGTCAAGTGAAAGGAAACTATTTGAAGGAAGACTTACAAATTTCAAAACAAAAGAGATGGAAGTGGAGGTTTACAGTGAAAATGAAGAATTTGTTAGTTTTCTTTTTTTGAAAAAAAATCTTAAAAACTATGATTTGTTTATATAGTTACATTATATTGGTTTAAAGTTTTGTTATATTGGTTTATAGTTATGTTATATTGTTTTGTATGAACAGACTTAATCAAACTGAGTCTGCTACATTTTCAATTTTGCTGTTTTGAGAGTTCTTTAGGGATTCTGTTTAACTCTAATTTACCACTTACAGCTAAAAATATTTATATGGTAAAGTGTTTATTTTATGTTGTTTTTTTTTAAGTTTTAAACTTTCTGGATACATGATTGTATTGTCTTTGTTTTTCTGTTGACAATTATGAAGGGTTTCTATGTTAACACATTTCTTTTTCAGATTGAAGACTCAGACAAAGTGAAGATGAGCCAGGAAACAGATGGCACTCTGACCATTGACCTATTCAATCTTAAACCAGCAGATTCTGGAGAATATTCATGTTCTGTTTCCATGGTATCTGGAGAGAACTTGACAACAAAGGGAAAGATAATTGTCAATGGTATTCTTTTTTCTTAGAAATAACATTTTATAAATATATATTTAAGTAATTGATACTTGATAGTAATATATATTGTATAAATTGCTAAATGGGTAATGATTGTATCTCATATTTTGACTTATTAACAGTTACCACTTTCTTTATCATTACATTTGTTAATTTATCTTTCACAAATTTGAATTGCAATCAATCTTAAATAAATATGTTTAAACCATAACCAGTTAGCCCCAATGAGTGTCATTGTAGACAAGTTTTAATGTATATAATTAATAAAAGAAATATGGATACAGCAACCCTGAGATAAATAACTAGTGAAAATGGATTTAAAGTATAGCAGAATTTAATTTATAAAGTGTTTAACATTTTGAATCTATGTAGCTTACAAGATGGTTGAGAATTAACATAACATAACATGTAGTTTATTAGCATAATATGTGTTTACATACATAGCCATTTACAATGCATGAAATACAGACATGAATTGAAATTTTTAACAGAAGAATGTGATCGATTCCAAAAAGGATAAGTATATTGATAAAATGTACATTCAGTCAATTTTCAAAAAACATGCAAATTATCTGCAACTGTGACTAGAGGTTTTCAATGGTTAACTGACTATAAAAAATTTGCGTCTCTTTGATCATTATATAGTATGATAGTATAAAATACTTTGTAATAGTCAGTTTTTAAACATTGTTATTGTTATTTCCTAGTTGAAAGGCAGAATTATACCTACCCATGTACCAGCTCTTGTCTGTAAGATTTCATGGGTTGGCATCTAAGTTATCATTAATTATGACATTAACAGTGTCTCTTTAACTGTAAAATATAAAAACCTAAACAAAACCTATAATTGTAAGGGATATTTAAATAATTCTTGTATTTTTAGATTCAAATGGAGAGAAAAATGGTGCGCCAGTTTTCACAAAACCCCTAAAGGACCTTAACGTCCATGATGGAGATAAGGTGACCCTCGAATGTGAAGTAACTGGCACCCCACGTCCTCAGATCTCCTGGTTTAAAGGCAACAAAGAAGTTCTAGATTCCCAGGTAATTCTTAAATTTCTGGAAGAAGCGGGCTTCCCTGCCTTCCTCACTGCTGTCTGAATGTGGAATTTCTGTAGTTGTATACATTAGTTCATTATAAAATTGAGGAACTGTAAACATTATAATTTAGAGGAGTTTCTGTCTTAAAATGTTTTATTCACTATTCACCTTTAAAATAATTGACCATTTATGTCAAAAATTTGCAATTTTTATTTGTTATTGCTTCATATAAGAGGGAGATAATCAGAATGAACATGTAAAAATTTTAAAACAGTGTTATTTCCCTTGTTATAAACACTAAGGAGTAATGGCCTAAAAATAAATGATTATCATTTACAGGATTTTCAAATCACATCAATTGGTAACAAATGCTGTTTAGAGTTTCTGGACATTTTCCCTGAAGATGAAGGCCGTTACTTCTGTAAGGCGAGTAACTCAGCAGGGGAGGCAACTACATCCTGTGTCCTGATGGTAGATGGTAAGTTATAAAATACTGTGTTATAATTTACCCTTCTCTGAAATCTGCAATGTGATGTGTTTGGTATTAAACCATTTCATATATAAGTATTTTCATAACCTCATTGATTTGATAATGGCATTGAATTTATTCATTGAATTGATAACGGCATTGAATTTATTCATTGCATTGAATTAATTCATTGAATTGAATTAATTTGTTGATTATTACAGAGCAAACTTTATACTAATATTTAAGTACTTTTATACCAAAAACCTGTAAATTTCCAATGGACTGAACTGTTCCAAATTTTAAGAAGGGAAAGTTCATTATACAAGCAGGCTTGTTGAAGTATGAACGTTAATTATTAAATTCTTGTCATAACATGTAATAGTTATTGAATTCTGGTTAATTACATGTAAAAATTATTAAATTCTTGTTATTACATGACCGTAATAAGTATTAAATTCTCATTATTACATGTAATAATTATTAAATTCTTGTTATTACATGATGTCAAACTACAATCATTGCAGAACTCAGAAAAGTATATAACTCGTCACAAAATTCATAATTAACAGTTAGTCTGTAAATTTTTACATTTGAAATCCACAAGTAACAACAGCATAAAGTTAACTCACATTTTATAATAACTCTCCATTTCTGAAGCAATTTATTTTTTAAATGTTGTCTGTTTGTTTGTTTTGCATTTTTCCACAAATGCAATCTTGTTACTCAACATTTTAATAATGAAAAAATCTGTAAATTCATGAAGATTTAGCAACGTTTGATCATTTTAACACATCACTGGTATCTTTATGATTTATTTAAAAGAATTCGTTGTTAATATCCTTTTAAAAAAGATAATGGAGGGAGCAATTAAATTTAACAGCTTGGAATAATTCAAAGGAAAAATCATATTCAGGGTCGGAAAATGTAGTGAAAATAAGACAGTGGGAAAAAATGCAGGAGGGAAAATATTCATAGGGAAAACAAGGAGAAATGAACATGTGAAATGAAACAGTTTTAAATCTTTCGAAATCAAGTAATAAGAAATAAATAAAAAAACAACATTTGACAGATTAATGAATTTACAGATACCATATTCATATAATATATTTATCAGACATTAACATGTGTCTATATAATTATGATAATTATGATAACATTGTTGTAAAAGTATATATATTGTTATGTGATGAATACTTATACATCATCATTGTAAATAATATTGCTAGTTTTTTTGTACATCATGTACAAATACAAGCATTCACTACCCTTTCTTGTCATTTAATATGCTGAAATTAAAGAAAACCACACACGAACAAGAAACTTAAAAAAAAAAATCAAATATTTGTGTTAATTTATGCATACAACAAGTTTCAAGTGTTTTTAGCAAAAAAATATAACAATAAAAAAGGTTGTATGTCTACTATACAGTTAAATCCATATATAAATACCGTACTTGGGAATAGAAAAAAAATGGCAGCTGACTAGACTCATATTGTGTCAAAAGTTTTGATCGTTCAAACTAGAAAAAATAAAGTCACGTCATAAGGTGGCAGATGCCTTTTGTCTTTGGGTGGTCTTTTTATCAAGTTTAACTGTATTGTGTTAATAGAAAGGGTAGTTATAGCTTTGTTATGAAGGTTTATATGCTGCATTTTTTTTAAAAAGAGATAGATGTACATGTTCTATATAAATCAGTAATGTGTCAGGGAAAAGATGCCACTTGGCTATTTATGAGTTTATCTTTATTTGTCATGGAGAAAATAACATCAGTTACATATTAATTTGTTAAGTATGAAAAGCAAAATTAACTCAAATGGCATCTAAGAGTCAGTAATCTTGTATATTTTCAAATGGTGTCTTTGTGCCTGACATGTTACTGGTGTAAGACCTGTATATATTTAAATGGTTCATTTATTCCTTTAGATGATCTGTCATTCACACTTGATTCGTCCATTGGTTCTTCCTACTCTTCTCTCTATCCCGTCCCGCGTGGTAAGTCGATCTCTCGTTCCCCTTCCCAAGGGGGGCGACGAGAACACACAGTTCATATGTAACCATTAGTTACCATAACAAAATCTAGATATTTATATAGTGCTTATTTAACCAGTTACTGCTTATAGAATATAATATTTTTACAGTTATATAGCTACAAAAAAGACGAGAAAACAAGAAGACTGTTTGAATTGAGGGGAGTTAACTCTTTCAAGACTATTTGTTTAATTGTGAATATATTGAGAAGAGTTATCTTTTCCTGGTTTAATAGAATATTGATAGGGGAATGAAAGAACTTTTCAACTTTTATAGAGTTAAGATTTTAAAAAGCTTGAAAAAATCGTCTTTAGGTAAATTTGAAGTATATGCATTTTAGAATTTTAGTAATAAGTATAATTAATATTTTTGAAAAAAAAAATCAAAGGAATTCAAAAGAACATAATCTGGTTATCATGAGAATTTGGTCCATTTGAAGAAAATAAGATATTCAATATTGTAAAGTGTCATTGAAAATTCTTTTGATTGCATAACTTAAAGTATTTAACAAGTGATTATGTAAGTTGAAAGAGACTATTATCATTTTGTTTACAGAAATTTCAGATGGTTTTTCAATATAAAGATTATGTCAGTGGCAGCACTTACTTTATGCTGTGCTGTTCAATAGTACATTAGCTAGGGGGATAAGTTGTTATAATGGTGGAATCTCGGAGGGATAAGCCCTTAATCTACTTTACTGTAGTCAAACTGTGATACTAACTGTTGATTATGTCAAAGTCTTAAAGTCAATATTTAAGATTATAATTGTACTATCAAATCATGTACACAATGTTGAGATTTATTACTTGTTTTATAAGTGCATGATGTGCTTGAAAATTCCTGTCAAATTTTTTGGGTACCAGTCATTTGTTTGTAGGCTTATGCTTGCACCAATTTTTTCTATAAATTTCAAATGTCTCTGCTCAAGTTATTATTATTAATAAGTACATTTGATGGGGAAATACTTATGCACTTGAAGTTATTTTCAAAAATGTAAAAGTCACTTTACTCTAAATTGTTCTGTGTTTTAATCTTTTTAAAATGTCTCGGACATCAATATATTCTGTTGTTTAACTTCCAGCTTTAATAATTGTCCATCCTTTAGTAAAGTTCAAGTATTTTTTTTATTGTATGACTGTATCACATGAAATGTTAAAGGTTTTAAGAAAAAGGAAAAAGTAATTTATTTGTGTTGACATTTCTCGTTGGTCTACAATACCCAAATTGTACCAGCTCACTAGAGCTTAAAAGCTCTGTCAACATGAAATATTTGGATCATGTCCCTTTTTCAGACAACAAGGGAATGTGTAAAACCCATAATCCCCAGACAAAACCACCATAATCACAGGGGTCTGGACGAGTCAAGGGTATTATTAACAAGAGAGAAAAGGGGCTAATTATTGGACCCCATTTATAAAGGCTAAAACTGTTCATTTTTTAAAGTGCCTAATGGATTAGATGAAAGGGTGTACTCAAATTAGCCATTTAGTGCTCTGACCAGTGATTAACTACATGATTTATTCTGTCCATGTCTGTCACTTATACTGTGCATGTCTATGACAGATTTTAAATTGGTTATTCTGAGGGGAAAACTAAAAAAAATTCTGTATTCTGGTATATACTGGAAAAGGCGTTTGAAATGAATAAATGCTTTAATTTTGCCTTTTCACCCAACAGAATGCATTCTAAGACATATATCTGCACACACCGATTAACATACGTTAATAAATGAAAAATATAAGAATTGGTGAAAAAGCGATATTTTTCTATTTTGTGAAGGGTCCGGAGGTACTGATAAGTTACATCCAAGGAAAAATGTTTTATGTCTCTTGTTTAGTCATTGCATTTTAAAATATATAAATATGGCATATCTTGAATATTGACTGATTAAATCTATTAAAGAAAAGTTATATAGTTTACATGTATCTAAATTATTCTACTTTATGAGAAATATTCAGATTGTCTACAGAATTGAGAGAGGAAAATGGAGTTTGAATTGGTCATTTGGTACCTTTTTATATTCATTATAGAAGAGTGGTCAGTTGTAATCAAGTATTATGGAACATTGCAATTTTTTTTGGAAGAATTTCTGTAAAATAAATGTCCATATAATAGTTTCCAGAGGGAATTTCAGTCTAAAACAAAAAGTGTAAGAAACACTGGTGGATGTTGTATTTCCATTTCAGGAATTTTCCCTGTTTTGTTTTTATTAACCAAAAATTTAAGTAAATTAAGACTGTTTCTGTAGTATCTGAAAGATATTTTAAAACTAATATGTTTATTATCTTTTCCACACATGATTGGATATGTATCAATAAAAAATAACTAACATTCTTGAAAAAGAAAATAATTCAAAATATTTTTAGTTGGATAGATTTCAAAATTTTACTTTTGGAATTTGTCAAAACATACTTTGACACTATATTGTTTTCATTTATTCTTTTAAATTATTTTCACAAATGGATGTTTATGGGAACACTGCCTTAACATTGCAAATGAAACTTCTTTGATATACGCCAGTGTTGCATTAAGACACGTTAATTTACAGACTATCTTTAAAAATAGTCTACAGCTAGTTTAAACATAGACACAGTTATAATGTGTTTTGTATTTATTTTTGTCAATTTTGAGACACTGTGAGATCATCAAATGTTACTTAAGCACCTTTATATAATACCGGCCATTATGAACAAAATGATACTAGTTTTTATAAAAGGCTATGTAATTTGTTTTAAATATTACCCTCTAAATAAGGGGTAATGTTAAGAAATAATTACGGGCTATCCAAGATTTTTGAAAGATAAGTTTTCTTGATGTCTTCAGATGTCTTTAAAGAATTCCCGCCCAAGCTGCATGGTGAAAGAACTCAGTTGATCTATGGCCCCAAATGTTATCTTCAAAGTTTTCATAATGGTAATGATTGAAAATAATTTGGTCAAATTGACAGCAATATTTGTAATAATGTGTGTTCATTTACCAGTATAAACCTACTGACCTCTCTCACTAAACCTTGAGAAGAACGGAAATCTTTTAACTTCTTTATATTTAAGCAAAGTCATTATTAACTTTACATTTATGGCGCCCTTCTGGTAAATAAACATTTTTTTTTAAAATGATTTATATGAATGACCTCTGTGTTTTACTGCATAATGTAATAAACTTCCCAATGTTTGCTAACTCGGTAACAAATAGGGGGTTTTTATGTCTAAAGGTCAATGGAAGGTATATAAATATTCATATAATTCATTGTTTTAGTACATATCATTTTTGCTACTGATTTTAAACTTTATAAAAGTACAATTAATAAACTTCATAATAAAAGACTAAAGTTCTTTGTAAAATGTGCACATATAATAACAAAGTTTCATCCGGTTAGCTCAATAAGTAGAGCATTGGAGTGTGAATTGGGTGACCGGGGTTCGAATCCCAGACAGTGCAGGTCACTTTCGTTGTGATTGCATGATCATGAAATCCTTTCCGGGGATTATTCGCTCTATACCTTAGCTCTTGCATTAACAGAAGTTTTAGTTCTTTGCAAAAGTAAAGGCCAGCCAAGGAATGATTCCGTGGCTGAACTGTGCTCTAGTTATGTGGCTTACTGCTGTGATTCGAAGTGAAAACTACCAATACCACTAAAGTTTAGCACAATAAATAAAAGACAAGACTTAAGTACTGAACAAGGGCTGGCTAGATCATTGGATTTCATGATTGGAAAAGGTACTAACTGAATATAAAATAATACTTCATGATAACTTTGATTTGTGAATTATTTCACTTTTGCCATGTCAGCAAAACGGAACAGTCTTTTAGGTTTGGAGCTTCCATGTGTGTAAGCAAATTTACATGTGGTCAGTGGACAAACAGTTTATAAAATCCTGTGTAAACAGTGGTGTGCTTGATTGTAATAAATGTTAATAAACTCAAAACTTAATGTAAATAACTGACCACTGGTCAGATGCCCCCAGCAGGCACTAATAGTTGACATTCGTTAAGCCTTCTTTATTTATTTTCCTGGCCGTTCATTAATGAACAAATTTTGTTGACGGCAACACTTATATATTACATCATGTGAGTCATTATAGAGGAGGGTTGGAGTTTAAATGATTTTTAAAATGTGGCTTGTCCACTTTCAAGTGGAGATATCTGGGTTAACTCTCAATAGGGGCATGATACTTCAATACAAATTTGAAGTGATTGTAGTTTGATATAGAGTAATGAAATTTTGAAAATTCTTCAGTTATATAATAATATCCCCCACAAAGCAAAATCTTTTTCATTATTTATCAAATCAAAAAGATGAATAGCTGTTAAATTTACAAAAGTGAACCTGACTGGTACTTAATGTAGGTGTAACCCAAAGAGCATTTGACAGACAAAATTTATTTGCTTTTCAAAAAATATATTCGCAAATTTAACAAACAAAGACCAATCTAATGACGTATCATAAATAGAAAATTTATGAATACACATACAACATGTGATAAAGATGTTAAATTAATTAAAACAATTATGCAGATTTTATGCTTTATGCATAACAGTGTGGTTGTAGAACAATCAAAATAACTTTGTAATAATAATGTTCACTAAAATGCATGTTTAAAGTCATGAGCACTCACAATCAATCATTGTTCTGGTGAAATATTTATTACAGAATAAATATATTCACATAATTTAACATTTAGACAAAAGTATTGGCTAAGTAATAAGCCTACTTAACTGCCTGACGAGCTAGACCTACTGGACTGTAACAAATAAAAAACGCAAAAAACACTGTATGCAGTGCTTAGGTACATAGGTACATTGAAATTCCGTGACAATGGTCAAATATTTTGACCTCTTATATCATAACTTGACTGTAACGGAAAAAAACGATAAAACCACTGTATGCAGTGCTTACGTACATTGTCAAATTCCACCGCATTGGTCAAATATTTTTTCCGGTCATTTCCTTGTCGTAAAGCTTG